GTTAGTTCCCAGTACACCAACCCGGAAGAGACATACAAACAAACGACAGTCACAAAATTTGGTATAGATCCGTGTTGGGATATCAAAATAGATATGACATCATATGATGCAAGCTGTTTTAACACTTAGAAATGCCATCAAACTTAAAGATCACATAAAAGTGGTATGTGAATTAAGCCAGTGAGTTTGATAAAATGCACTACATGTATAGTATAGATCAGTGTTGGGATATCAAAATAGATGTGACATCATATGATGCAAGCTGTTTCAACACTAAGAAAATGCCATCAAACTTAAAGATCACATAAAAGTGGTATGTGAACTAAGCCAGTTTGATAAAATGCACTACATGTATATAGTATAGATCAGTGTTGGGATATCAAAATAGATGTGACATGATGCAAGCTGTTTCAACACTTAGAAAATGCCATCAAACTTAAAGAGCACATAAAAGTGGTATGTGAATTAAGCCAATTTGATAGAATGCACTACATGTATATACACCAATTTTTGGATTTAGAGTAATACTAGTATTATTAGACATGATGGCATCTCTGGTGCATATTTATTCAAACAATGATTCAATTAACATGATGACTGCACTATCTATATAGGCTAATCATTGCTTATTCCTTGCTTATTGTATGCAATATGTAAATTGACAATTAATATAGAATTTATGGCATAGGAATTGTGTTCAATGAGTTTATATTCAAAAATTTATGGCATTTTTGCTGTGTTGACCGATTTAATATTGAATTATTAGTCAGATAAGCCATGTTTTAATTCAGTCGTGTGACAAAGATTACCGAATGCACTTAGAGCTGTGACAGCTTCTTTCATGATCTACAAACTTAACTTGATAACTCAATCAGCAATCTTAATCCCCTCAACTGCCAGATGCTAATTAATTTATTTCATTGGTTAGTATTCTTGTGAACAGTTAACACAATGAACTGTAGAAATGCAGGATATTTGAAAAACTGAGGTGTCATTATGCAAGAGCTAAATCTGCCTATTTCAGGTTTTTCTTTGGGCCTGAAATGTTTTCTAAATTATTAATTAGACATTAATTAACTTATCTCTATCAAGACCATAATCAACTCTCGATGCCATTATTAGCCTGCAATACTCAGTGGATACATTTTGTGATGGATGATTTAACGTAAAAATGGATAATAAAGACTTTGTTTATTATCGTACCTCCGCCTAAAATTAAATTGCTAATATCTCTGTTCAAATTGAAGCAATTTGACTGAAATTTTCAGCATATTCTGTTTTCATTATCTATTTTTTAAATATTATAGCGAGAACTGTCAGCTCTTTATCTAATCTTACCTAACTCCCCTTTAATTAGTGTATGGTGATTTATGGCTACATCACCACAACCAACAAAGTGAATTTTTTATACTGTCATACAGTACATGGCATGCACAGTCTTCATTAGACTAGTGGGTGCAGAGCTTTAGGACATTAAACCCCATTTAATTTACACTGTCATATACATGTAGATGCACCACTGAGTGTATTACATGTGTGAAGATGCACATAGGGAAATAATGAAAGATTACTAATGTATGAAAAGTAACAGACCAGTATTACTTCATTTATATTCAAAGGAAAATCCTGACATGTATTCAATGATCGTACATTCATGGATACAGGTACATTTAATGTATACAGATTCTGATATCTGGCGATATACATATAGAATGAAGGAGGAAGATATTGTTTTAAAGGCCGAATAAATGTTTAATTTGACACACTTTAGTAAGTACATGTAGTGTGACAATGTTGCAGTTGGGATGGTATAGTGGTCTAAAGTGTCGCACTTTGAGCTGTAGCTTTACGGTCACCTCTGGCTTGCAGTCATGGTTTCGATCCCTGGTGTGAGCATACAATCATGTAAGTGTTGTAGACATAGGTGCGCTTCTCAACCTTGTGGGTTTACCCCGGTTTCCTCCCACAGGAAAGACCCCTGCACACATGCTATGGTAATAAAAATAAGACAACTTGTCTGCAATATCACTCTCGGTGGAAGCAGACGTTAAACACCATGAACAACAACAACTCTATACTAGTCCAAAAATGTCATATAAATTAACACATCAATTGTGATCAAATCAAACATTTTCCATTTTTCTACCAATCAAATAGGGTGTGTCTTTTAAATGTTTACACATTTCAATTTATATCAGTGCCAATTGCCGTTATTTAGGTCATGTCAAAATGTACAGTATGTACAAAATGTACATGTCCACCACACATACATTTATTACTCATATTGCTACATGTGTTTTTATTGTCAACATAGTTTTATTAAACATTAAGAGACTGCACACATTGACTAGTAAAGATTAGAGATGGTGTCCATTTGTAACTTGTTGAAAAATATTGTTAATCAGATTCCTATCTTTTATTTTTATATTTAAAAAAAGCTTGAAAATGGAAACCAACCAACTTCATAATTTCAAGGAAATTTACAGATGATGATATCATTTTATTGACTTTTAAGTTTATGTATATAAAGACTATCAATTATTCTAACTTGAATAGGTTAAAGGTCATGGTGTATGTGTAAACATATGAGTCATATAGAGGTTGATTTATATATGTTAGGAGTATTACAATGACAATAATATTGAATAGAAAAACAGCCACCCACTCATAAGCGTCACAATGTAATAATATTGTCATTTATCATTTTCACAATACATGGTCAGATCATAATCTAGAAAAGGTAGATAAGTTTTAAATGTACATGTAAGTGTTTAAAATCCTATGGAATATATTTCATTACAAATAACATATTTTAATTGTTAAAACACTGGAAACAATGCTAATATCATTGTCAGATCGTAGTCTGCTAAATAGTTTGTAGTATGTGAACATGTAGGTCTGTATTACACACTCGGCAAACCTCGGCAGATTCAATTACTCTACATCTAGCCTCGGCTGTATGATGGTAAGTGATATGTACCTACGCCTATACAATTGCGATGCGGCACAGGTTTACTTATAAGGAAAACTTCCTGTTTTTAAAAAGAAGTTATCAAATTTGCGTCGTTCGATGCGTGTGTAAAATTTTTCGTGCAAAGTTGTCCTTGTTTGAAGAAAATCGGATAAACTTGAAAGAAAAACAGCTTCAGACTTTGAAATATTTGTACGATAAAATATCCTTCAAAGGCGTTGTCATGGGCAATGCCGTCGGTAATCTGGGAACTTGAAAGTAGTTCCAATGGAGGATTTCGTCATACAGCCGAGACTAGATGTAGGCTACTGGAATCTGCACAGGTTTGTCGAGTATGTATTACAAATATAGGCCTATGTGTCAGTTTTAAAATTCTTAAAATTCTAGGCACTATAATTTATTTTGATAGTTAAAACATTGGAAACCGTTTCAAGTATTACACTGTCAGAACACATTCTCTATAATGTAAGGAATAATATCCCTGTTTGAATTAAAGGCTAGAACTAGTTTGTCTAATGTATAGTTCAATTATCAATATTAAATTGTAAATTTTATAATTTTTGAAATTCTAGTAAGTGGAGTTTTTTGTTCAGTTTCGAATGTAAGTTTTAAAATTCTAGACCGTACATGTATGTAATGGGTACTATATAATGTAAATTACATTTAATTTAGATTAACCTTTAGCATGTTTTATTGTTGTTGTAATACAAATCTACATGTCACGTACCAGAGTCAGAATCCTTTACAGTTTTTTTCAAATCCAAATGTTAATCCAGATATTGAGTGAATATGTAAATCCACTTGATGGTGTGGATTCTTTGGATTTGAAACGGTTCACAACTCAACAACATAATTTATCTGTGTATGTCTGTCTCTACCCACAAATACATAAAAGTTTTTATTTTAGAATTATAGTGCTTAAATTCTAGTAGTGTTCCGTTTCACACTTTCAAACCTAACAGTACTGGACACTATTTGGTCCAGATTGATATTTATTCCAGTTCATCCAGAGATAATTTGGGGTGAAGTGATCAAAACTTGAGGAATTGGTGATCTTATTGCAGGACCAAAGCCTAAAAACCCACTTTGGGAGACCTTTTGTGTAATTAATGCGAACACAGGAGACCTTCCCCACAATTGGCATCAGAACCTAATAATTGATCACATAGTTAGATTCTGTTCACCAAGTTTATTAGATAAAACAAAAAAACTAAGACCATGGCATATTTCCAAAATTATGACTCACACTCGTAATAACTACCCAAAGTGTACTTATATTTATTTATATGAAAGTTTTAAGTTGCTGTGGTCAAATTCTCTGAGTGAATGAAGATAATTTGTGACTAAATGCCTTCAATTTCCATTCCAATCCATCATTAGTATTCCCCACAGGCTCATTTATATAACACCATATTATGCAGGGTATGGGGCCCAGACCTTGCAGACGGTCTAGTGCCAGTCCTATGGATGATTAAGTTAGAATTATCAAGGGTTTTCTGCAGAGCTTTGAATTGAATTAATAAGTTAGTTAATCAATATATGGATATGTTGTTGCAAATTGGGTACACATACATGAAACATAAATACCAGAGAGATGGAATGAATACTCTCAAATATAAAATACAAATACACTAATGAACAAAGGGCTAAGATTTTTTTTTTATCAAACTCGTTCAAAATTAATGAAAAATAAATAAAAGACCAAAATACCATCTTTAAGAGTCTCTGAAGAAAATGCTTGAAATATTTTCTTTAAAAATACCTCCCGAAAATAAAACAAATTATAACCAACTACTAGAATTCAGAGCAATTAATCCCAGGAAAGCTTTAAAAAAAAAAACATCAATAGAGCAAAATTCAAAAGGCATTTCAGTAAGAATCAACTGGCTTGATTCATTCAAATTGGTTATTGTGTTGGCCAACACAAACAGATCTTTAAAATATTGCATGACAGTTGGGATGCAGTACTGACCTTTGAGGGTCGCAGTTTGATATAAATGTAGTAAAACATGTTTTTATATATTTTCAGTCAAATGAAGGATGAGTTTGAAAATTACCAACAATCGGTTCTTAAATTAAATGAAGAAACAATTAAAAATGTTCCAGAGGACATCGGTGCTGTCTGTCAAGTATGTCACAAGACAAAATTTGCAGACGGGGTCGGACATAGTTGCCATTACTGCCAAATCAAATCTTGTGCTCGCTGTGGAGGACGAATGCCTATCAAAAACGCCAACATGAAAGGTGATACGGTAAGTGAAAGCATAAATGTTTTTTTTTGTAAGGTCCAATAATACAACAACATGTACACGTACCAGCAGCAAATTTCATCTATGCTGGCTTTAAAATCAAATTCCTCTGAGCAAATTTTAAAAATTCCAATAAGCTTTGAAAATTCCATACGGACTAGATAGAACTCTGTGTATCAGCCAAAAAGTGACAGAAAAATAGTTCTGCAAAATGCAATGTAAACTAATGAGATGATAACTCCAGGATTTTTATAATCCAAATATTAGGTTTTCACCTTATGCCTCAATGAACAATTCCACCTGACTGCTGGAAATAGAAATAAGGGTAGGTTGTAAAACCATTGTCCTGGTCAACTTTGTCTCGTAGCACAATGCCTGTCTTCGAAAGTAAGACATTAAAGAAACCGGTTTCCATTTGTTTCAAGTTTCCAGATTTTTAGTGCTAGATAAATGTTACCTTACACTTGTGTACTATATCCACAAGGATACTACAACAAAACAAGCATAATGATATTGTTACCCACAAAAAAGAATTTTGTCTCTCATTGCAGATTGTTTGGTCATGCAACCTTTGTCGAAAGAAACAAGAAATTTTGGCGAAAACAGGGGCTTGGTATCATGGGGGGATGGCTAAACCAGTTGCTCTTGACATTCTTAGTGATGGGGCTTCTGGTACAGGAAGCGAGACAACGTCTACAAAAACTGACGTCAGCCCTCCCAACGAAAAGAAACCGAAAATTTTAGAAAAACAGCAGGATAGTAGTCAAGGATCAGAGAAAGAAAATATTGAAAAGCATGATAAAAGTTTTGTGCGAACGGGGAGTATGCAAGGAAAAGAACTCAAAAGACAATTTTCAATGACAGATGCAGTGACTAATAAATCTACTGAAAATAAAGACGGTACTTCTATTATTGAGAAGGAAAAATTACGAGAACACGGACAAATACCCGAAAGGGGACGTGGAAAGGAGCGGGCTCCTGCCAGACAGCGACATCATAGTGAAAGTCGTCTTTCGGAAACGGATAAAAAATTTCATGCGCAAGAATGGCAACACACGGAAGGTGGAAGGGATCGTCATGGTGTTCCTAGATCACGCGATCAATCTGCTGATGTTCTAACGAGTAGTCAACCAAAACATCCAGAAGATCGCAAACATGAGCGCGACCGAGATCGCGTGAAACATGAAATGAGTGATCATAGGGATCCGAGAGATCCTAATGAACGTAAGATGGATCCCACTCGTGAAGGTCGACACAGGTAGGAAATCTTTGTTCAGTCAGGATACTAGACTAGAAATCACTAGATTGAATTTTGGCATTTATCTTATTAGGAAAGGTTGTCTATAAATACAAGTTAATATCTAGTACATGTAGGTCTATAATTCCTTGCATTACATGTAGGTCTCCAGAGAGCAATGATTTAGAATCATTCGAATCTTAATTTATTACAGAGTTTTGACATGAACTTCGAGATATGGAATCGCTATATTTTCGTGATTTGAAAATATTTATTAGTATTGCTACACCAGCTTGCCATCTGGGAACAATTTAAATGATTAATGAATTTGGTTTAGAGTCTTATGCCCAATAGCTTCCTTAGAACACACATTATTTGTTAAGATGCTTATGTAACAATGTTCATATGATATATATAAGACTATTGCTAATGTAAGACAAACCCTAAGATAAATTGAATTGGGACCGAAAGATAATTTAGAGAAGTTGCTACTCGGTTTATCTTTCAAGAGATTATTATTTGTTGTTGGTACATCTTTGAACTTTAATAAAAGTCTATAAATAGAGGTTTTTGTTATTGTCCAAGTTCAGCCAGCCAAAGTGTCTGCATCCTCCCCTAGCCATTAAAGGAGGTTGGAATGATTTTAACAAATTCAGGTTTCTTGTACTTTGTTCTAACATTAACATATTTGGCTGAGGTAGTGATTTTAGATTGGTAACATTAATATATTTTCCACTTCAGGGAAGGTCGAGATAGGGATGGTAAAGAAAGAGATCGTGAAGGTCGAGATAGATCAAATCACGGCAGTACTCATTCTTCGCATTCATCCCATTCTACACATAGTTCTCATCCTCCCCACGGTCCTCATGACCGTAGAGAGGAGAGACCCGAAGATCTTGATAGAAGACGAGATCGTGATGCCACGAAAGATAGGAAGAAAGAGCCAGTACCTGATAGATATAGACAATCTCCAATAAATGGTCGTCGTGAACATAGCACTTCTCGCGATCGAACGGCAGAAATGCAGGAATTACGCGATACTACGCAAAATCGTGAATCTAGGGAATATATACGGGATCCGTCTCATGATCCTCATGCAGTAGAAACACAAGGGGATGAAGTTCGTGTCGAGAGAAGAGGTAGTAACAGACATCATCGTGATCGTGCTGGAAAAGATCAAAGGCGATCTCCAAGTCGGGAACGTGGACGATATAAGGAAAGTGATGTGTCAGACTTCAAAGATTCTCCGATCCCGAGACATCGTATTTTAATTGATCATGCGAGTGATACGCCAACTGCTTCCGAGGACTCGAGAGAATTTTACGACAAAAGACATCTGGACCCGAGTTCGGCCAAGAATAATCGTAAAAAATTGGAATCAATGCTTAGAAATGATTCACTTAGTTCTGATCCATCAGACTGTGTTCGCCCACCTCCCCCGAAACCCCATAAACATAGGCGGGGTAAAAAACAGCGTCAACAATCTCTAAGTAGCTCGGAGGACGAGATTCGTTCCACACCTGAGTGTTCTAGTTGTGAGGAACTGGATTTAGAATCTGAGAGTGTCAGTGAAAAAGGTTTGTATAAAGGTGATTGTGTTTTATTATTCTAATAATTTTGATTATTTCTATTTTTTCATGACTTGAGAATTACAGAATTACAGATTTTCATTTGGTGAAAGTCGAAAGGTGATTTATCGTTCTGCTCTGTTGGTTTAAGTTTATTTAAAGTACTTTACAGGTCAGTCATTGCAGTCCATCTGAACTTGAATGAAAAGTTTTGTTGTGATTATTCAAAATGGCTCAGAATATAGAAAAAAGGTCGAAATGAACAAAATCCTTGATGTTCTGTTCAGTCATGTATAAAAGGCAAAATGTTATTAGAATATTAGAACCCTGCAATTCTCAGGTCTTGAAAAAATAAATCTTTACACATAGGCCTCATACACATCAGAAGCATTGAGAATTTCAAAATCCAAAATTATTCTACAGTTGCTTAATGCTATTCTGATTTATATCATTTCAAAATTTGTATAGTAATAATGCAATGAGACAGGCCCATGATTTTACACTTTCTCCTTCTTTTGTTAAATCTCTGGCTTTGGAAATCTGTTCCTCCTAAATTGTTTCTATTTGATGTTACAGAATTTTAAATTACTTTCGCTCTAGTGGTACAAGGAAAGAAAAATGTTCTTATTTTAGATTTTGTACACTGTTAACTGTAGGTTGTGCATGAAATTGATGCACAAATTCCAATTCATAAAAATGTTGTGAGGGCAGGGGTTATCTTTTCAGGAAGTGCAGACAATTCCTGTAATTAATTTGAATATATCTTTACTTTATTGAAACTTATTCCAATGTAGGTGAATTTAATGAAATATGTAATGATGACCAGTGGAAAAGAGATGAAATTCTTGCTGCAAAAATCAAAAAATTTCTGTCGGTGAGTTCTTGTATCCATGGCAACTGATAAATGGCCACCCTTAGTAACAAACACAAATAAGGGCTTGTGCCTGGTTGTCATGGGAATACATTTAAATAAATTGGAGATTTATAATTATATGAAAACTGAGAAAAAACATCTAAAATTTGGCAATAAGATGTTTCTCGTAATATATAAATCTCCTTTTCATTTACATAAAACTGTGGATGTGGAAAACTAAAAGGACTAATCATATGTGCTTATGTGTGAACCAAAACACAATTTTTGAGTGGAGGAAATTAAGTGTGACGGCCACAACTTGCAATGGCTAAACATGGATTTATGGAGAGATTCTCTGTTTTAATATATACATGTTAGTGGGCTGTAACTGTTCTCAAATTAGGCAAATTTTCTCAAATTACCGAAAATGTCAAATGAGTTGATGCATTAAATGACCTTATTTATGTTATTAGTCAGGCAATATTGGTTAATTTGGATATTTTTTGACTGTGAAATAAAGGTTACTTCACAATGAATATATCAACACAGTGTTACCAAATGTTACCATATTAATTTTGAGAGTATTTAGCTATTATTAGTAATTAAAAAAAATAAAATAAAGACTAAAATGGAGAAGGGTCAATGCCTTGAGAGGGTGGGTGGGTCATATTTGAGAATTTTAAAGGAAAAAGTGCGGTAGTACATATAACTACAATTAATACCCTTATCTCACCTCACTTCAGATTTTGTTTAAAGAAATTAAACTATAATGTGAATTAAAATTTCATTGATAAGTTCTTCATATTGCATGCTAAATTTCAACTTTATATTAGAAATAAATGACATCTTATAACCATGGGTCAGTTTTGAAGATAGGCTTGGCTGTAGCACCATCTGGTGTCCTTATATACGCTAATTACCAATATAAGGGAAGAATAAAGCTAAACTTTCTGCCATTATTTCTGTTTGGAATAGAAAATAAGTAGATATTGATTGAACTGTTTGTTGATATTGATTGAATCTAATAAATATAAAAATGTCCAAATATTCATTATTCTATTTAGATGGTTTGTCCGGAGAATTTTCCAAATTATTTAAACTAGAATATTTAAACTGGACCTCTGGGATATTTCCGGGTATGGTTATTTTAATTCTATGGGCACTCATAACCTGTGGTATTTTTTTTTGCCAGCAGAACAATTCATAATATAAAATGAAGTTGACTTTTGGCTACAGAAGCACACAAATTATTCGTCCTATATAGTTCCCGATGTCACAGTTTTATGTAAATACAGTCTTGTTACTTTATCAGAATTGATATTTATTTCCGTAATTTTAGGGGACATATATACAGATGTCCAATCAGGGCGATTAAACTCGTCCAAGTCTTCTGATTCTCGACCCAAATTACAATATGACACTGGGAGAGGTACTAGTTTCGAAGAATCCTCATCCTGCATTTCGGAGCCACATAATATAAAGGATTCTGGCATTGACACCGGCTTTTCAAGTAGTTGCTATTCACTTAACGAAGAACTTCACAAGGTAGCTATGAAACTCATTCTTAACAATCTTATGACTATTTTACCTTTATTATCTCTAAAAGCACAAGAGTTAATGCCAGGGTTGGGTAACTCTTGCTAGACTTCTGGTTGGATTTTTTTCTTGTAACCATATAATTCTTTTTATGTGAAAAGTAATTTGCTCATAAGTAGAAGTTCTTTTCCTGTTTTGATAACAATATGTCAGAACAAGATTTCCTTATTTTAACTTAAATATCTTGATCTATAAAATACTTTTAGGATCTCAGAAAGATCTCAGCTATGATCTGTATACTTACCGGTATACAAAAAATATAGTAAAAGGAAATCTGCATTGCATGATTCATAATTCACGATTTGAGAACATTTTGTTTCCTAAAAAGATTCCTATAAGAGTCACTATGGATGTTCAACACAAGGCTATCCCCCTCTTGAAAGGAAAAGAACTTCTATTTTTGGTTTTTATGGATATTGGGTATACATGATTTTGTAATGCTTGACGTCAAGGAGAAAATTGCACACACATACTTATCTTTTTTATTTTTGTTTTATTTTTTGTTGCAATGAATTTTGTTTTAGTTTATTAAAATAATAACAATCTTACCTAGAGAAAGAGCATTCTTTCTGAAGAAAATCGCTATTTAGCTTTACTTTTATTGCATTTTTTATCAGTATTTGGCCTATTAATAAATTTCACATTTGATTTTATCAAAATAAATACTATACATTGTACCTCCACAATTTATGCCTCATGAAACGGACAAAAATGATTTGTTAAGGTAAAGTTGTTAACAGAGCATTTAGAAATTAAGAAAAAAATATGTTGAAATGGACCTGCCCTCGCAAACTTATTGTCCCATATGTTAGTGTCAAATAACTGAAGGTTGGTGTTGACAAAACATTGTGCTTTGATGCCAGTTATTTCATTTTCATCCAAACGTTTTTACATTTGAATTCTCAAACTTATCATTTGCACATCTGCATGCATGGTTATTATTTTGCTTACAAAATGGTAAATTAATGGATTAAATTAAGATGCTTTGTAGACTTACATATTAACAATGCCTTATTAGTTATAATGCAATATTTCTTTAATTTTGTTTGTAGTTTTGCATTGGTCTTTTACAATTAACTTTGCTTTACTGTTCACAGGAAACATGCACTCGAAAATAAACTTTTGTAATATATCAGCATTATTATGGCTTTTATTTCTTATAAGAATATCTGAAATATTAGTCTAAATGGAGCTGAAGGCAATACCTTGGTTTCAAATGAATATATCTCTTTCTGTTCTGTATAAATCCTGCTGTAGTTTTGATTTCTAATTTGTTTTTCTCCTTATTTGATCTGAATGCTTGTCAGTAAACTCTCAATTAAATATTATTAGAATCTTTACATTTTTTCCATATTTACATTAGTCACCATGACAACATAGCAAGGAATAGATTCAAGGTATAATTCCCTTTGGTTGCAGTTACTCCTTATCTAAATTGTTTTGAAAAATGTTTTGGGGATTAAACAAGTTAAAGTAACTAATTCTTAGATATTTTGGTTGATCTGAAAAAATCAGCGCAATATTTGTAGATTTCAGAGGAAATCAAACAAGAATATCATCTATTGTCTGGTCTGACCCATGCTATCTGGAAATCAAAACTTGGAGCATGCTTCTAAACTACATTATTAACAGATTGAATTTATCAAAAACTACAACTATGTGTGATTTAGCATTCATATTGACCCAATTTGGAAAAATTGTTGCTTCCATATTTCCAGCAATTAACTTGTGTAGGAAATGAAAATCTATGCAGTTTCTTATAAATCAAGACAATCTACCAGCAAACACTGCAGTTTGATTTTCAAATGGCACAGATCAGAAATATATCTTCACAGATTGAAGTTAACTTAAAAATAACAAAAACAATCTGTAGCCTCCAGGATTTCTAGTTTTATTTTGTGGGAACCTTTAAAATTAACAGTTAAATAGGCTATATATTTGGCAGAGATTAGATTTACAAGGGGAAAGTTAAATAATGTGACCCAAAATATCAGAATTTATTCCTTGTTTTTTTGTCATAAATACCCAATGTCTGTTATAATGAATTACAAACCATAAAATAATCAAATTTTATTCTTGAAATTTGTTTTATCTGCTGGACAGAAAAATATATTTATTGAGCTTTAACGTCTGTGTGATTTATGTAGGTAATTAAAGGTAAAATTGGATCATACTAATTGTTTTGAATGCAAGTTTCAGCTCCTTACCATGTCTTTCACTTTTGTATGAATGTTTAAATGTTAGGGAGAGTGTAGCTGAACGGCTGTATATTGAAAAGATTTCATTCAGATTATTTTCTGCCAAAGCTGTTAGAAGCTCATCGTCACTTTTTTAACATACTGGCTCTGTGCGCATCTGAAACATTTGGTTTGATATTCATTGTTAATTTTAAAGAAAATCGTCTTTTACTTTGCGAGGCAAAGGTACAATGCTGTAAAACATTATTGAAAATTCAAGCTATGGCCAACTTGAGTAAAACATTTTGCACAGTTATCTGCAGAGTTCCTTGAAAACTGTTATCTGCTATAATAAATTTTAAAACCTCTACGACTGATGGACAGATCTGTCCCCAATTTTGCATACACCCCACCTCTGATATTACTGTATAAAAATTCGTTTACTGACTGGCAGAGATAATGCCTCGTTATGTACCGTATCCCACAAAATTATCTACTGTACAAAAGTCAACAGATGTTTTTGCCATTTATTTGCCATTCTCTGTATGTTATATAGTTACGATGGGTTTCAGGAATTCAGTATTAACAGAAATGTGCCCTACAGTGGGAACTTACTGTGCATTCCACCTACCTACAAATTGCTAAAATATACTTAATACAAGATAAAAAAAAGAATTCCCAAACATTTGAAAATGCAAATAATTAAGAGCTCATTGTATTCAGATCATCCTCAAAGAAGAATGACTTGAATTATTAAAACATTCAAAAATATTGTTGTATATTGTCATTCCAGCTGTCTGTCTGTTCCTCTACTTTTACTCATTTTAGGATCACAGTTCGTGAGATTTAAACAGGAAAAAAGTGATTCTTCAACTAGTCATAAACATCATTAAAACTTTGTAATCACATTTTGCCAACTAAACCTTAACACCCTACATTTAAAGTTCTTTAGAAATTATTACCAAAACTTTAAAACAATAAAATAAATGTAGTGGCAACCTTTAGAAACAACATGGACAAGAAAGTTGCTAGTGGGCTAATATTTAGATATATTATCTAAGCTGACATTCCTGAAGAATATACATAAACTTACATGATGTCTTGATCAATAACTGGTGTATATTGCAATATTTAGACAATATGTAAAATGTCACTGGTTAAGCTCGCCATATATTTGCATAATTGCACCAACAAATAGTCCAGCCATAATAAAAATGCAAACTGTTAATTTATTCTGTAGTCTACTAATGGTGCATTACGTATACATAACTGTAATAATTGACAGTTTTCTCTGGCTGGGGAATATGTTATGGTAGAATGGATGTTATTACAGGACTTCACTGAATGATACATATAGCATGGTCGAGATCACTCTGATCCTCCTCCCATCGTTGACTTTAAAAATTACCATGTTAATCTCAGATAATGAAAACTGTACATAAAACAACCCCAAAACAACAAAATGATAAAATAATACCGCAGATACAATAGATACACAAGCTGTGTTCACACTAAAGATGTTAAGACAAAGTTTGGATTTTGAATGCTGGAACTTACCCTGTTGACAATATCAATGAGAATAGAAGTGTTCTCATCACACAATATGGGCTGATTTTTTTCCCCATCAACACTTTGGTAATGTAGGATATAGAAGTCTATGAGATCAACATAGTGTTGAAATAGTTGATTTAAGACCTATAGTGTGAATCCAGCTTTGTGTGTGTTGACATGACAACAATCTTCATTTTTAAAAAAAACAATTGCTATGGTACCTATACAGTGTTCCCTCTAAAAACTGTCTCCATTTATTGATCCTGTCTAGACTGACTTACAATCACATGACATTTCAGTCCGCTTGAACCAAAATCATGTTCTGTAATCAGCCATATCAGCACACATTTGAATAAATGCACATCCATTGCTTCAATATTGGATCATGAGTTATATATTCCTTTCTGTTAAAGGCAGTCCAATAGCTTATGACTGCTCCTAACTTTAGTCTCCACACTGAATTATTGTGAAGTCAAATAAAATGTATATATGTTCCCTAAAATTTACTTCATGTTAAAGTGTTAATTTGATTACTGTATAAACTCTCTGATATGCCCTTTTACTTTAAATTTAAAAATAAATTTCATGCATTTAGCTTTAGTCAATGTTTTGAGTGAATAAACACTGACTTTGCCTGAATCTGCATGCCTGAAATTTTCATTTGACATTTTATGGAGAGAAGCAAATTAGGCATAGAATTGTATTACGATTTGATCACATACAGCACTTGGCGCTAATTTTCCCGAAACATTGCTGGGAAATCAAATATTGGCCTTCAGACTAGAATTAGTCTTTTTTTGATTAAGGATACATAAGTACAAGATAAATTGTTAACTATGATGACAAGTTGTATAAGGTGTTCTGGAAGGAGTACTAGAAAACAGGCGCTGCCTTGTACATGATACATGTACAGTATATACCAATACTTATAACCAAGGAAAGCAAAGTCCTTCTTATTGTAATGTTTGGCACTACAAGCAATCTTTGAATATAATCTGTTTGAAAATTAATTATTACTAAAATTAACAATGGCCATTTTAAAATGTCGATAGAATTTTGGGAAAAAAGCGCAGCAAGGTGCAAACAAAGGATTTTCTCTTATTTTCAGCACCCAGTTACCTGGCAACCCTCGGCAGACGGACAAAAATGGATTGGTCACATGATTTTAAAGAAGACGGTACTGGAGGGTGGACGTCAACGCAGTGACTCTAGTGCCATTTTAGGTACTGCATTAGGTATAGTTTGCAGAGTTACCTCCCCTCTTTCTTTCTTTGCTTTTTGTGATTGAAATTTGTTGAGCTTTTAGCAAATGCAATTAGCTTTAGCAGACAATTAATGTTTATTTTATCAAATATTTATTATTGATGAATCGATAGACCTAGTCATGGAACATACTTTTCAGTTACATCTTTGATAACCAGGGCCTACATGAGTGAAAAAAATTAGCTGTTTATGGAGAGGCTTAGCTGAATATATATGTACAGCTTGTGATTATAATATCAATCCAATCAGTGGTCATTTGTGGCTATATTCGTCATTCGTCGTCTTCATCGCATCATGTTATTAATGAATTAATACTAACCAGAGGTCTGGTGTTCACTCCTGATATTGGCAAGAGAATGTTCCTCTGTATATTCCAGTGTGGTTTCACCACGTTACGAAAGAGGGGATGCATTTAAAAGAATCCATGACAGTTGAAATTTGAAATGAAAGTAGCATTTAACACCGGTGTCCAGGCAAAATTTCCCTCACAGTACACTGCATGACGTATGCCCTTTTTCATTAGCCCGGGTGGTGCAGAAAAGTAGGACGTTAAACTCCATACCAATTTATTTCATATCACATATATTTAGGATTAATTCTTTTTGATGCTGTATTTTAGACGTAGCAAGCTTTATAGAGAGATAGGCCTGCATCTATCTCAGCACTGTACTGTATTTCTTTTTGTTGTCAGTAATGCTACCCACCCTACTCCATCCCTCCACATTTGCAATTCATGAATGATAAGTAGTTTTACTGGTATACAAAAAATATTTGGTAACAGAAGATAAAGACATTACTTATTTTAGGTTGATATAGCGAAAGTTTTGATTTTGGGAAGTCCAGTAGCAGATCTAGAAGCTGTGAATAGGGGGGTTTGGGGGGGGGGGGTGTGACAGTTCCAAATTTAGGGCTCCGTCCACTATCCCACCCCACAATGAATGGCAACAAAATATGTAATAAAATGCATAAAATAACTTTGAGCACCCCGATAGAACATAGATCATATTGCCTATATACTTGTTCACCTATTGTTATCTCATCAGAAAGCAGTTTTATTCAAGTTGACATAAAGGTTCATATCATATTATGATTTTTATTGAGTTTGTTATTATTTTTTTGAGAACCTTAGGGGTGCTTACTTGGTCTCAAGGGGGCAGAGGAGGCGACCACTTAAATTCGTGCCTCCTTAAATTCACGTCTGTGTAAGTCTTACGCACACATGTATTAAACGTTTAAGTGTATACGTCTTTCTTGAACTTGTTTTGAAGTTACCTACATGCAAGAATTTGTAACACTTCTTATGATTAGTTACCTCCTCAACAAACCACTGTCATTAATACAAATTAATGGGTGCTTTTCATTATACCTTGACATAAATTGTGAAGATAAAGAACCTCAGTTTTGTATTCTTCAAAACCAAGTTTTTCTTGATAGCTGGACACTGATTGACTGTGTCATTGGTTAAAGAGTGTTGACAATGGAAATTTAGTATCGAAATATTACAGTCTTGACACCTAATGCTTCTATTTCCATGACAACAGGTTTGAAAGTTATTGGTGGTAAAATGTCTGAAAGTGGCAAACTTGGTGCTTTTATTACGAAAGTAAAGAAAGGGAGCATAGCAGACACAGTTGGCCATCTTAGACAAGGTGAGAATTTTAGGCCTACAATTAAACCATAATATCTTGAGAGCTTTGTACTATATTTTGTATCATAGATATTTCATCTATGCAAACCTTTGAGTTGGTTCCCATAATTGTGTGTGGTAAAGAGTACTGTCGCCTGTATGGGTATCCTTCAGAATTACTCTAAAGAGCCCCTTGCATGTGTTAATTAAATCAAATGAACTGGTCATGTTTAAAGGATATTAAACTGTCTTTTATTATGGTGGTTGCATGTTAAGGACACAAGGCACAGAATGGCCCCGGTTTGAGTCTTTGAGTCCCAGCATGGGTTGAGGAGAATCTTCATGATTTCACTAGCCTGCTTGTCTCTGGTCATCAGTGGCATTTCCTTGCTGATAAGAAAAGTAATCTAATCATTTAAATGGAACCAATCAATCAGGTCTTCTATAAAAATTGGTAGAGTAAGATTTTACTGTGAACCATAAATATAAATTAATGAATGTCTGTCTCAAAATAACCCATTTAAAGTATCGATGAAATTTGTTAAATTCCTTTCCATTCAGTTCTTTTATATTCTGAAAAAACTTTTCCATCTCAAATTGCCTTTAAGGAGGCTATATCTTATACATAAAAGCAAAATTTGCAGATAAATGTATACTTGACTAGATTTTGAAATAGGCTATCTTCAAGAAAAATAATTTACAATTTTTCAACAAATTATTTTATTTTCAGGTGATGAGGTGGTAGAGTGGAATGGTCGATCACTGCAAGGTGCTACTTTTGAAGAGGTGTATGACATTATATTAGAATCAAAACAAGAACCACAGGTCGAACTTATCGTTCATAGAAGCACTAAGTAAGTAGGATATCCTATGATGTATTGATTATAAGAATGCAATATGTTTTAATCTATAATTTACATTTTCTGTCATTGGTGAACGATGTTCTCATTTCAACCTATTCATCCGGGACTGTTATGACTGTTCTAAGTCTTTAGTAAGTAGTCATGGCAAAGTGGATTAAGCTCAGTCCTTTAGACCATAGTGTCTGCCATTGATTCTTGTGTTGTGGTTTTGATCCCAGGCTTGTGGAAGACTAGGAGTCACCAGCAGAACTTTGCTGCTAAAGACTCCAGAGCACAAACAGATATTAAGGTATGCTAGTTCTATAAAAAAAAAATGCGAGGTCTTTTTGGGAAGACATTAAACTTTGTTTCTCTCCATCTCTGTATTTAATTGATTTATATTTTTTTTACAGAACTGGCGAGGTTCCTCCTGGAATACAGTCAACTTTCACTGATCATGCACGAGGTTTGTAAACATTTGATCATATTCTGAATTTATTTGTCTTTTCTGTTTCGTTTTTTATAGACTTCTTTTACACAATTATTTGTATATTTTGTGCAGCTGAGCCGTTTAGCACCTTGACCACCTGAAACTACTATTCCCTCAAGACTTCAAACAACCTGTGAACTATACAAGGACTGTGTATAGTAGCTATGTGACTTGGGCAGTTTGAGGCAGTCTAGGGAGCAGTAGTTTCTGGCAGTTTCGAAACTCAATACTTGGGTACTTCGGTAGTCAATATTTTCATGCACCTGGAGCTAAAGGGATAAGAATTTAATCAAATTACTTAATGATATTTTGTAATCTAAGCTCCACAAAGAGTCAAATATGATGAACTAGCAGGATACCCGGCTTCGCTCGGGGGTCATAACTCCGAAACCGGAAGTGGTAGACTAACGCCACCTGGCCTATGTTACTCCCCGGTCCGAGCTACCCCTATACCCCAATTTTCAGACTCGGGGCAGATGTAGCCACCAACCCCGAACAGACTTTGCTCGGGGGTCATAACTCTGACACCGGAAGTGGTAGACTAACGCCACCTGGCCTATGTTACTCCCCGGTCGGAGCTACCCCTATACCCCAAATTTCAGACTCGGGGCAGACCTAGTGTAGCCGCCAACCCCGAACAGACAGGCTTCGCTCGGGGTCATAACTCCGAAACCGGAAGTGGTAGACTAACGCCACCTGGCCTATGTTACTCCCTGGTCTGAGCTACCCCTATATCCCAAATTTCAGACTCGGGCCAGATGTAGCCGCCAACCCCGAACAGACAGACAGACAGACAGACAAACGACAGTCACAAATATATATATAGATTACTGGGGCAAATTTCCACCATTTACTAATAAGTAATATAAAAATCTTGGTGTAAATTATGTATTTAAAGTCTGTTGTTTTCTCTTTTTTTCTTTGTTTATTTTTGTTTTGTTTATTTCTTTTATTTTGTATATTTTTGTTTTCGTTTAGTTTTTCGAGTTTTCAGCTGAAGTAATGTAAGTTAAAGAGTAGACAATACCAGATAATGCTTGAAGCTATATTATTAACATGATCAAATTATTAACCCTTCTTTCCGCCTGCTATAGAAATTTGAAATATGATTGAAATAATATTTAAAGTTAGATATGTTTGAATAATCCTAAGACAACAGTATCTTGGCAAAATCAAATTTTCAAAAATGTTTTGTGCTGTCAGACATAAGTCAAAATTTATATTGAGATAATTTTGCTCTCTGTCCATCTCCTGCAAAATGTGGGTGTACATGTATCTTGCATGACAACTGCTTGTTTGAAAGATGCCCATTAAATAAATATAGAAAGATGTTTTAGGAAAACTTAAAATATTTCTCAAGTTGATTGAACAAAGTTTATTTTGCCATTCAGAACTGTTTTATTCTGTCTGTAAAATATTTTCTAAAGAATCCATCCATTATGAATTTATGTGCCAGCTTTTAAACAAATAGCATTATGTAAACACTGAACAAATGTTTGCAATTATTTTCATCGGTGTGTGCCGAGCTTAAATTTAGACCTATTATGATCTTGCCAAGATAAATTAACCAAACCAAGTAACATTTATATTCCTTGATCAATGCCTCCAACCGCTATGTCATGAACACCGTTTTATTGTCCCCAAATTTGAAAATTATTTGCTTTAGTGCTGTGACGGAATGATCAAATTTGATCAAAGAAACCAGCCATGGATATTTTATAGCCTGCTTTCTGTCCATGGGCATATATATTTACTGTGTGGATTGTGACTCTTAATTTGCCCTATAGAAACTAACTATTATGATATAATTAATTAATTAATTCAGCTAATTATCATAAACCTACTAACATTAACATTTGAAACGTTTATCAATATGCGACAATGGTATTAGTGTAGATTATTTTATCTTCAGTATGCTACTTTATTATAAAAGTAAAACGCATATGATATTATTACTGAAAGGACAACAGGGCAGAAAAAACACAGACAATTAATTCAAACTTACATTCTACCCGAGGACAATAATATTCTAAAACATTATTGTATCCATACATTTAAAAAATCTGTCCTGGCTCAAGATTATCTTTAGATTAAAGATGAGGATACTGGATACGAAAATGTTGATATTGTGTTCACTTATATCAGTTTCAAGAGATTATATACCCTATAAATTTTAATTGTAGGCTAATATTTCATTACCGTATAAATATTACTTTTAGTAGGTTAATTGCCTAATTATCATTTAATCTTTATTCATATGATTAATAAGGTTATTTTAGGATTGTATAAATGGGGTTGTCAGAGTAATTATTAATAGAAATGCATTTCAATAAAAATTATTAATTACATTTTGAATCCGAATGTATCAAAGATTAATATTAGTATCATGAATTTCAACTTTGATGAAAGTTTTCTGACATAGTGACCATAGATACTTCCTTTCTTTGCTTATTATTAAGGAGATTTCCATTCCTTATTTTTTACAGACTATGCTTTAAGAGATGCGCTTCCAGCCCAGAATCAGCACAGAAATCGTCACAGCCTTACTGTGACAACCACTGGTTCAAGATCAAGGTCAAGATCTCGACCCCATTCACCACTTATTACAGGAAGGTTACAGGTAATGATAACCATAATTTTGTCAAGAGTATTTCAATGACAGGGTTATTGGAGGCTGGCATTGCAGTTTGACACCGAATCGCTTGGCTCAATTCCTTGTGCATGGGACTTGAATGAAACAGCATCATTTGTATGTCTATTTGGTTCCTTGTTTATGATGGAACATGTTTTATAACAACCAAGTATTGATTGATCATATTGCTTAGATCTATTACTGTATTATATGTCTTGTCATCTGGTAACTAAAATGAAATAAGGATCTGAGTTAGACTTGTTACTGAGTGAAACTGCGACACTGGGTGGCAAAACTCTGAATAAGCCTTTATAAAAACAGACATCAGTTTTAAAATGTATTATATATCTTTTTCAGGTCAAATTATGGTATGATAGTAGAAGTTTTCAACTTATCGTTTCTGTGATATCGGCTCTAGAGTTGACTTTGACAGATAATGGAAAGTTCCGCAATCCTTACTGTAAACTATATTTATTACCTGATCGAAGGTTAGTGTGCTATTTTAATATTTTATGCCAAATGACAGTGTCAGTTAAAGAAAAAGCATTTATATAAGACTTTCTTGTTCGCATTTCGCGTAAGAATTTCAGAACTGAATTGATCCATTTTCAACTGACTGCTGTAATATTCTTAGCATAACAATATCTCAAATGGTTAAACTGTTCATAATACCTGCAAGGAAAACATTGAATAGTTTGAATATTCTTTGGTAATTATTTGATTTGTGCTCTTTTTTCCAGTGAGAAGAGTAAGCGAAGAACCAAGACTATAGCTAATACTATAGAACCAACATGGAATCAGACGTTTATTTACTGCCCAGTTAAAGAAGTAGATTTACGGGACCGTCTGCTTGAAATCACTGTCTGGGATTATGATAGAATTGGTGCTAGTGAATTCCTGGGAGAGGTATTGTCTAATTTATTTATAATCATCATTCAGATCGTGTCTGGTCACATAAATTTGAATTAAATTGTTACTTCTGCGCACTGTGTCTTTTAGACAGTACTATGTATTATTTAGGTTAGAGGGTTTGGGGAGTCAAGGATACAAATTTATGTAGAATCTGTGGAAACATATTTGAATACAGATTTGGGGAGCCAAGGTGGTTCAGTGAGCAAGACGTTGGCTTGTTAACCTGGGGGTCCTGTGTTCGTCCTGGTGTTGGTTAAGAAGGTTCATCCTGATTTTCCAGCATGGTTCCCCCCATGCAGTACAGAGGGCCTGGCAAGGGACAATGTATAGTCCTTCGGATGGGCCATAAAACCAAGGTGCCATGTACACAATGGTGTGCATGTAAAAGAACCCTTTACCCGTTGCTGTTGGAATTCAATATAAATTATAAGAATACAGAAATGTGCTTCTACATGCTTTTTGTGATAATTGTGACGTTTTCACAGATTATTATCAAATAGATCTCAATGCTAAATATTGTATGTATTAAGTATATTATTCCTGTACATAGACTTACTGTTGTCTCATGTTACAGCACAAATGTTTCACAAAATATATGTTTACTCTGCCAACTGAAATGGTCCACTTACATCTTTCTAAGAGAGTCAAAATAAAGAGGCCATAAACAGTCAAAAAGATGAATGTATCTTCATTGCAAAACCACAAAATTTGACAACCCAAGATCAGTTTTCATTCAAATGTAATAGCCAATCATATAATTTAATTTTATTTATCTCGGTTTTCAGGTGTTGATAGATTTGACGTCTGCTAATTTAAATGATGAACCTTACTGGTATCAACTAAGTCACCATGATGATGCAAGTATTCCTTTGCCTGCTAACTCCCCTCGAACTGTGAGTTATTTAACCTGAAGCTCTCCCTTTGGCACTTCTGCCATTTTCTTATCTCCATAGGTGATTGTGAGAGGTCTAAAACCAATATTGTTTTCCTAATATTTTGCATTTTTATAACCATAGACTAAAAGCTGTATGGGACTCTTTATGATTGGGGCCACTGTAAAAGGAAAAATTGCTCAATACTGCCTAAAAATATTTAACAGAAACTGTTTATTTTGGGGGGAAACAATTTGGGTCACTCCACCTACTTTCTAATACACCACCTGTGCTTATCTTTCTTTATTCTATTTCCAAATGCCTTTTGACACTATCTTTTTTGTAACTAATATTTCTATTCAGGTTATTTCTGAACAGGGATTGGGGATCAGCCTTTTATTTTCATCTTTCTCTTTCTAATAAAACTCACAAATTTTATATACTTAAAGCCGATTTGATGTCTTTGTTTTTTAAGCTTTGTAATTTAAAATGTATCATGTCAAGCCATAGTGAAGTCATATGTCAACCTACTAATTGTTATATTAATCCAGAGTGTCAAAACGTATATGAACACCACCTAGGTTATGTGGCAAAAGGTTTAATGTGTTCTAGAAACCAAGCAAACCTGTCACGTATATGACACCTATATAGATTAAATATTTGCTTTATTTATTTTTTTTCAGAAAACCTCAAAAGATCCATACGACCTTCGTAAAGACCATTTGTCACCTCCTATCAGTGCCCGTGGTTTGAGTGACAGTGACGTATCAGAGTTAGATTATGACGACAGTATTGGTGTTATCTCCGGTAATGGTCATTTACTATTTATATTAAATATGTACAAATGAACAAATAGATATTGGCATTGAGTTGAAATGAAACAGCAAATTTATGCATTACCGTATTTGAAATAGATACCTGTCTATCGATGGGCAGGCATATGTCATTTTGGTTTTCCTGTTCATTGGAAGAACCAAATTTTCAGGTAACATGATATCTTCTTGGTGCAATAGATGTCATAAATTATTTTAAAAGGCATGTATTATACAAATAGTGAACAACATTATCTAGCTATGCAAAATGAGAAGTGATACCTGGTGTTCTAAAAAGAACTAGCATACTCTGCCTTGTGCATATCTTTAAAGAAATGACTGTTTTTGTATTAAGGTACTGGTCATATAGCTCGGGAGGGTAACAGTGTCAGCTCTATCCCCTCCTCTTGTAGCCCTACTAATACAAACGATGTATATGTGGAGGACAGGCATCGTTCTTCTAGACGCGATCATGAAGAATCGCCCGTTTCGAGAAGGCGAAGTGGGACAGGTATTTTGATAGCCCAATCACATAGTTGTTTGTGTAGTGAATGTCGTTAACCCATGCTTAGATTTAACAGTGCATAGATAATAGTCAAACAGCTTTTTATGGAAAAAAAACCCAACTAAAAATAAAGTGAAAAAAATTCAAAATAATGCCCCAACATGCCAAAATAATAGAAAAAAAGAGTCTCAACACCATACATAGATAAAGTAATTTATTATGGTCCAAAAATTACATAATTCAGACAGTCTTGCATTAGTTTCTATTAATTTCATGAAACCATCTTCAGTTTTCTTGGTTTTCTAAAAATGTTGATAGTTTTATAAGCTTTTCCATGTAAACCAGGCTGTTGGTCATAAAAGGTCTTTGTGCTTGGATTTATTTCATTAATTAGATTGAACGAACTTACATGTATTTTAGAATAAAAGTATGTACTTATTGTTGATTAACCCTTTGACCACTGAGTCCATCAAAATATAAGACTGGACATAAACAAATAAAAGACATGGCGAGAACCGGATGCTGCAACAGAAATCTGTCTGTTCAAACGGTTAAGACTTAAGATATTGGTAGACCATTTGGCATGTTGTGGCTTTAATATTGTCAGAAATTTTGCCTTGAAATATGAAACGAGTTGTATTTAATTTCTGTGGTTGTTGTGGTAGTGTCTGACATGCGATCACTTTAGTTGTCACCTCCAAGAAAGTTAAGATTTAGTTAATTCGTCATAAATAATTAGCATTAAGCTGCATGTTAATTGTTTGAGTTTGTCATTATGGTTTACATTGAAAAAATAAAATTTTGTGTTTCAATTGCATGACTGGTCAACTTCGAAACATCTGAAGTTCTTATAGATGAATTTTAAACTGTCATTTTAGAGAATTACTATTAAATGATATTCTTTGCCCTGCACCCCGTAATTCATCATATGTCGGCAAAATCTTGACTCTGGGAATACTAAGCAAAAATTATCTCTAAAACTAGTCTTTTCATGTTTAAAGCAGCAAAATATATGATTTAGGGAAGCCAGGGAAATGGGTATTCGGCTTTTCTATGTTCCATAGACTGAAGGGCCCCTTTTAGCAGTTGGATGTTGAAGAAGAGTAGGAAGATTCACCACTGTCCGGACAATATCCCCCTCTGCATTGCACTAATAACCTTTGACATGTTAGAATGATCGAAGTATTGTCTTGTTGGATGTTAATCTCCATTTCATTTTCAATGGCATAAAATGTCGATTTACTATAAGATTCCCAGAGTCACTGCATTTAGAAGATGATATTGAGAATAGTATTATCAGTATAGCATATGACAGTATGTTAGGGGTGGCATGATTTACCCAATACTACCCAATACCTCCCATTACTAACTAAATACTACCAAATACAACCACATACTACCTCAATATTGTGAAAAACTAACATAATACTGAAAAATTCCCAAAAGTGATGGTCAATGTATCGCTATTCCAGTTTGCTCCCTTGATCGCCCATTGCTAACTATTATTAACCCATACAGTCAAAAATCAATTCATTTCTGTAAAATAATGGGCCAATATGACCCCAAAATGGTATTGGGTAGTATTGGGTAAATCGTCCTGCCGGTATGGTTATATGTATTAAGTAGACTATGGCTAGTATGAACACAACATTGTTTAGAAAGTTACCGATTTATCCTGCTAGTTTGTATCTCTAACCACCATCCATCCTTTCCAATCACTCTCCCAATTCAAATCACTCTCCCAATTCAAATCACACCCCAATTCATCATGTTCTTTCAACACACCTGTTAATATTAGGACCCGACAAACTTTATTTGATTTCATTTGATACAATAACGAAAAATAAAATAAATAGTTAAAAATGTTCTTGTGGAAATACAAAGGTGTATAGTATTTAGGTTTGAATTGATTGGTTTGTTCTACTTACTTAATAAATAAAACAAAAAATGTTAATTTGATGTGTTATTTTCAACTGGCAGAAACACTGGCAAATATATATTCTTTTACTAAATTGACCTTTGATCTCCGCTTATAGTTGTAGGAAGAGAAGAATTGCCAGCCAGAAGACGACATGCAAGCGTCAGTGATTCCCTGGAACCGCAAGACAAGACGGCCACAAAATCAGGTCGTGCGGTGCCAAGAGATGGAACTCGTCTTAGATCTCGTTCACCAACTCACCATAGAGTGCCAGAAGTGGCGTCAAGGTCACTCTCTCCACCAGAATTAAGGTAAACAATATGGATGAACATTTTGAGAATATATAAGCTAATATTTGCATTGAGTATTAGAATGTGGCCACAAGCTTAAGAGTGGATATTGAAAAGATATGAAATTGTCAAGAATATTGACATTCTAGTAGCTTGGGCCAAGAAGCTGTAGAATTTTTCTGTATGGCTAACAGCAGAAGGCCATAAAAAAATAATATTCTGGTTCTCAGACAGTCCCTCAAAAAGTCTGATGTAGAAGGGAGGTTTTTTATTCTTTTGTATTTATTTTGCCAAATAAATGACTTGTCACAAACATCACCATCTAAGGTTCTACAATTATCTTACAGGAATTCACTTACGTAAGAGTTAATTCATGCGTAATCAGAACCAGAATAATTTTGTTTTGACCTAAATTTATGTTTTGTTTAGAGTAAAAATACTTGTAGAGGCAGGAAGCAAACTTTATAAACCTGCATTTGTAGGTTTTGCCAGCCACTTAGATATTAAAATTGAATATTTCAGATCAACTATTGCTAGCAGTGGTCGAGGTATAGGAGGATTATCATCACGTTCTGCAGGCGGAACTCCTACCAGTACCCCATCACCTAAAAAACGCCAACTACCAGCCATCCCGCTAGAAGCGCAGATGGCTAGTAGAGATCGAGGTATTTATATTTTATTTATTATTTACCTTGTCAAACACCTCACTCATGATTTCATATGATAATTTACAGACAGTGTATGATGTCTGTCATTATTGTTGTGTCTCTTCCAACATTTACTTTTCTAACAGCAACACATGATTAATTTCCATTCAGAAATTCCTACACCAAATATTTATATGTAAGCTGGAAAACTTTTGGCAAAGTTATTAGATACTACATTCCTATGGACAGTTACAGCTAACTTCAGATGAGTTGCATTGTAAAATGTTTGATTTACATGTACGCATGTGTTACATAGCATTTTAAAATTGTCATCTAGGCCGATCCCCAGTAATCTGTAAGATTTGCTATCTACAAGGTTTACAAGATATATAGTATCAATATCATGGAGCCCTTAGGCCTATTCTGAGGGCACCTATGTAGTTTATACACACATATTTAGTAACATTAATATTATATGCAATCAACTAACATTTAAAAATAAATAAACAGATAATGTAAAATGCAGCAAATAGCTACATGTATATAGAGTGCAAACATCAAACATGTAAATTGAATCAAATATTCAAATAACATTGGAATAACATTCCAATATTCAAATAGCATTGGAATAACATTCCAATATTGATATCTGGATTGGATGTGACCATGATTTTGACGGATTCCATGTTTATAATTTATGAAAACTGTTTTCAGTTACACAAGATCTAGAAGAAAGAGCCCGAATAATGAAGATGAAAATGAAGATGGGACGAGGGGGATCAGGTGTTTCCCAATCAGACAGTGAGTCGTATTATAGGTCACATGACACTTCAGATTACCTCGACAGACAGCTACGCGCCAAGACTCGAGAGAGATCTGAAAGAAGTTTAGAAAAAGCTATGGAGCGGCGAGAAAGAGAGAGGAGTTATGATAGGTCACGTGATGTTGAAAGAGGACATCATCATCATAGAAGCAGACGCAATAAAGGTAAAAAAACTGAAATAAAATAAAAGCTTTCCAAATTGAATTCTAATTGTTTGAAATGCCTAGTTCTACACCCACATTTAATCTAGAGGTATATCATCATGACACACATCGTGTGGTAGACTTGCATCGATAGTCGTCATTTAGCAATACAGCCGTATCTCCTCATTTTCGTTTTGAATCTTAAAGCTACAGGCAAGAGGTATTGTTCTTACTAATAATATGAAAAAATACATTGACCAGAGATCACCAAATGGCATATCATAGCCAAACTTTGTCAATTGTTATTAATTTTATAACAAAATCTGTAGCAACATTTATTATCTAAACAGGAACACATGATCAGTTTTGATTCAGAAAGCTAAAATCGTTTTTTATGCAAATTTTGCAATGGGAATAGGTGAAATTCCCCATACCCCTTACCCAAAGTTGACATGTCACGATGTAGCATCATAGTGGGATGGAATAATATTATTAGTCATAATTTCATGTTTTACCTATAAATGATTTTTGATATTTGTCTTTTTGTCAGAATTTAGTCCCGATGTCTCAGATGATGTGGCCAGTGACGTTTCAGAGACAAGTGACATGTCAGAAGTGTCAAAAGTCAGCACCATTAGTGTTCGCTCTACACAGTCCGAACGACCTCGTAGAAAACTTAGGTAGGTGTCTGTTATTTTATTCTTTGTTTGTACTTTTCCCTCCAGCTAGTGGACCCCTTTCATTAGTATATTTTAACTAGGCCAATAAAAAGGGGGTTTTGATTTACTGTAAAGTCTAGTATTGTTTCTGTGCTTAAAGGTACCATCCCAGATATATTTTCGTGAATAAAACAGGTTAATTTAGTGTGAAAGAATCTTGTTAACTGTTATCCGTATTCTGTGCAACTGTATGATGCTATGTGGTAAGCTGTGATGAAATACAAACTTTCAAGATCATATTCCTAATAATCCATGTTGTCTAAATGCCTAGATAACCATGTCTACATGCTTGCCAAAGTTATACAGATAAGCAATCATTGTGATTATCAAGTCACTTTTATAACTGAAGAATGAGTTTATTTAAATGAGTTACTTAAGCCTGTTAAGCATCCTCTCCAAACGGATCAATATTTTGATTTGAAATTTTCAGTACTTTAATTTATGGTGTCCTGTGGAATCTGGGCTGACTATTTAAAATAAATTCCTTTCTGAAGTGCAGAATGTTATTCTTTCAGTGAATTTACCTCAAAGATGGAGAGTCGAACCACAATACCAAGGTCACGGAACGTGGTTAAAAGTACAAGCAACGAGCAAGGGCTAGATCAAAATGACGGCAGTGTGTCCGACTCTGCTATATCATCCAGTATCACTGAAGGTCGTAAGAGACGACCTAGTCTTTCCAATAAAGTCGCCAATTTTGTGGGTCTGAAACGCAGGAGTAGCAGTGCCAATCAGTTAGCTGGTAAGTGAGATTAAACATACTAATCTGTACTATAAAGATGGTATCTGATATCTTAAAGATACATTATGTAAGATTTAGATAAAGAACTAGCCATTCTTGCTATAATAGTTTGAAAGTAAATGATGTAAAATGAATAATTTGAAAATTTCATTCAAATTACTCGATTGCAAGCGAAGATATTACCCTTTGAAGGTTTGACAGACGTGTGCAATAATTTCAACCACCGTACTGGTTGATCGAAGCTAAGTCTCGGTCCTCCATATTTGATTAAATCAAAGTATCGCTGAACCATTCTAATCTATTATCGGAGAAAACTGATGCCATCGAGAGTTGATTAAGGCCTGGATCAGTTAATTAATGTCTAATTAATACTTTAGAAAACATTTCAGGCCTAAAGAAAGACCTGCAATAGGCAGATTTAGCTCTTGCATAATGCATGTTTAAGCAGTTAATTTCAAGAATAAGGTATTCCAGAGAATTATAACCTTGTTCAGGAATATTTATAATTTGGCCCATATGTAAAGCAGCAATATTGTGGTTAATTTATAAAAAACTGACCACATTCAGTTGTTGTATGGAGTTATAACATACTATATAATGGTCATTTACAAACGTATTGAATCTTACAAACCTCCATCTTTCTCAAATATAATGTTCGAAAACTCTATTTCTTAAATTAGTTGACGACCAATATAAAGTCGGTTTACAACCTCCATATTTCTCAAATATAATGTTTGAAACTCCATTTCTTAAATTAGTTGACAACCAATATAAAGTTGGTTTACAGCCTCCATATTTCTCAAATATAATGTTTGGAAACTCCATTTCTTAAATTAGTTGACAACTAATATAAAGTTAGTTTACATTGTATAATATTTGGAAACTCCATTTCTTAAATTAGTTGACAACCAATATAAAGTTGGTTTACAACCTCCATATTTTTCAAATATAATGTTTGGAAACTCCATTTCTTAAATTAGTTGACAACTAATATAAAGTTAGTTTACAAGAAGTTACATTGTAGAGAGGTACACTATGGGCATTACTCGAGAATATTGCAAATCATGGAGCTTAAATTGTTCAAATTTCTAAATTACTATGCATATTTAACAAAAATAATTATGATTAATGCCAACATTTTATTCTGGTTTGCATAAATTATGGCCACTTTTTGTAAAAGTTCTTTTTTTCCCTTGCACATTTTCATATCTACCTGTTTTTGGTATTTTCACAGAAAAAGGCAAAAAGAAAAGTTCGTTTCAACGCAGTGAAGAAGTGGGACCTGTTGATCTTCGTGGAGGAATGTCTAAACAAGCTAGTAAAGATTCAACCGATGGCAGTATGGGTAGCGTTAGTAGCGACTCATCTAGCGTGTAAGTTTTGTATGATTAAGATAAGGATAAACAGCTGAGAGACCATAGAAAGATGTGGTTTTCTGTTTTTTTATGAAATCTGTGCCCTTTATAAATGGAAATTCGAGTCCTGATCATACAATGTAAATCTAACCATCTTTATTTATTAGAGTGTGTTTAATTCACACTTCATAAATAATATAATTCATGAGAAGTCTACACCCTAGCATATAACTCACTAAAGACTTTACAGTATAAGTATATTTATTATAATTACATGTATTAGTATTCTTTTAATATTAGCGTCAACATTGACAATATCCTTTCATTAGAGTATTATCTTCTAGGTTATGGCTTCCAACAGGAATGCGCTTGGGATCAGAAGGTCAGTTTGGCGATTTTATCGAAGGACTTGGTCCATCTCAGTTGGTTGGCAGACAGGTACTCGGTGCTGCATGTCTCGGAGAAATACAGCTGGGATTGTACGATCGTAAAGGTCATTTAGAGGTCGAGGTTATTCGGGCTCGTGGATTGTTATCAAAACCCGGTGCACGTGTTCTACCAGGTAGGTAGTGTCTTGAATTTCAAATAGTAATCTCAAGTTATAATAGGCCAACAAAGAGTTACTAGTCTTGTTTATTAAGTCTCATAGTCTTTTATGTCATCGTTGAACATTATCAAAAAAGCAAAATTAAATCTGCTCCATTCTCCTGATTTCAACTGCTCGTCATTTGGCGTTGGTAATCTCTGGGTTGAGGTCGCTCGCTGTCTTAGAATTTTATTAAATCGTGACACATTCTCTTATTTCCGACACTGTAATTGATTTAAAATTGTTAGCAACACCTGATGTCACCCACTGCGATATTGATATTAAATAAACTTGTTCAACGAGCAGGCTTAAATTTACCTCAAGGATGATAATAACTTGTTTGTCTATTAGTCAATGGTGTCCTAGTCATATTTTATAAAAAATTCAAAAGACATGCAAAATAAATTTGTCCTTTAATTTAAAGAGGCAATATAACCTTACTTGAGTATGGTATTTTACATTAAAAACATTTGTATGACTCATCGATTGAAACTTCAAATTTGTAAATCTGAGCAATGACATAATTTCATTGACAGATTTTGAATTGAATTTAATGTTTTCCTTTTTATTATTCAGCCCCATATGTAAAAGTGTATTTAATAGAAGGTAAAAATTGTATAGAGAAACAGAAGACTACCATAGCTCGTCGTACTTTAGATCCCTTGTATCAACAACAATTAGTCTTTAATGAATCGTACCATGGTAAAATACTACAGGTAAGTAGAAAAGCAGAAATTAAGTACTTACATAAAATCCATATTTTAGCATTAAAAGGCCTAATATACCATAATAAACAGTATACATAGATGAAGATAACATGGAATCTCACCAAAAGGCCAATTGGACCAAAAGTGGTTATAATCAATGTAGGTTTTGGCCATGTAAAGTTCATGATTTAATACTGCTATCCTTAATTCCTTGTAAGCGTCTGTCAACAGCTAAATAATATGTCATTTCTATCCACGAACAATCAGTGGAAAGTATCTTTCAGCTCTTGCATAGTGAGGTTAATGCTAAATACCCTTCTGCCACGTCTGTCCGTTATGATTTTTGAGCAACAAATTTATGTTTGTATAATTATTCGATCTGTGCTTAATCCTTTCCAATACAAAAACATGTACTACTTTCATTTCAACATTTCTTTCTGTTCTACAGGTGACTGTTTGGGGTGATTATGGTCGAATGGATAAGAAGGTGTTTATGGGTGTAAGTCAGATTCTATTGGAGGACTTAGATCTAAGCAACATTGTGATTGGCTGGTACAAACTGTTTACTACTTCCTCATTGGTTGGACATCATTCTTCCACCACTGGACTTGCTCAATCAGCGAGAGGATCCTCCACCTCTTTGGATAAATATGGTCGCTCCTAGTGCTGTACTTGTTAAACTCCCTCTTTCTCTCAAGCGTGCTCTATATCTCTTTTAAACTTGTCTGCATTCGATCAACTTGAATTGATTTATGGAATGGCCATAACCTTTGTCGGTGACCTTTTGATAATGCCTATCATCATAACAATCTTCAGCGATTTCCAACTTTGTAAATATGATTGGATTGTGTGCTTATCAGGAACAAAAACAGTATGCTCGCAACCAACTTAAAATTTGATATTCGTTACTGCATGTAAAGAAAATTCCCAAACTTTTAAAATTCTGGTTGAGTGTTAGCTATGTTAGATGATGAAAAATTTAAAGGTTTCAATTTCCTGGAAAAAAGTTCATTCAAAAAAGATGGATAAGAAGGCCCAATGAGTTGGATTCCTGGGAGAAGTTGTTGGCCATTCTAAATTTTGGAAGTATTGCAGAATGTGCTTTTTCTATACAGATAACCGTATATCCGACATCTGCTTAGATACAGTCATAGGTCATGAAAATATTTACTGCTGAACGCACATTTAACAATTCTTATATTTACATTTATACATATATTACATTTACAAATATGGAGCCTTTTCATTCAAGTTGCCATGGAAACCATCATAACTTTATGCAGATGAGCAAATTATGAAATGTGATTGGTATAAATTGAATTTGTTTGATAATGTCCATTCTGTATTACTCTAATTGGAAGATCATTTATAATCTAAATTTTGAATTTATTAAGATCTTTTTTAATAAGAATCTGTAATGAATGACGAGAGCCTGTTATCCTTAAAATCGGAGGGAGGTTAAAGCAATAGCCTATTAAAGCTTTTGAAATAGTTTATTAGAGTTTGTGTATAAGGATACAGTAGTTTCAAAAGAGTGCGATGGTTGCTTTTGGAATTTTTTGAAAAATAAGAAATTTTGATGCAACAGTAACACTCTTTTAGAAGTATATGAAATAGTTGATTAATGTTTGTTTACATACAAAATTTATTTACAAAACATTTTAAGAAAGTACCAAAAAAAAAAAGTTTTTATCCAGTTTTGAAAAAAAAAAAATTACTGTGATTTTAACAGAATTAATTAGGATTATGAATATTTATTAATTAGTTCATTAATATTCAATTCTATTAATTAATATTTAACTTTAGTCTGTATGATGTTAAATCTTTAATTGTGTGTAAGTCTACTACCAGTATTTGTTTTTTTTAACACATGACACTTGATGTATGCATAAATTTGCATAATTGAATATTCATAATTGATTTCATGAATATTAACTAGTAAGTGATGAATATGTATTAGAAAGTTTACTACTCTTACCAGGGATCAATTATTGTGCCTATTAATAATTTATTCAATGTTCCATGGATGTTGATTTTTTCCTTTGATTTTGGGGAGAAAAATAAACAAGTTTAACTAACTTGAGATCTCCGTGTGTTATAAAAAAAATGTGTCTTTTCGGTTACTAATGGATACGAAAGTGTAGCTGTTCCCATGGAGATATACTATTAGCATGTTGTATTCCCATGGAGGAATAATGTGACTGTTATACAGAAAATGAATTCGAGTGATGTGATAGGCTGAAATGCTAAGTATTGAGGATGCTGCAAGAGGTCTGCAACTCTGTTAAAGTGTTGTGATTTATGGAAATGTTGTTACGCGGCAAATTGTTATTAGAAGTTGTTGAGAGTTCTTAAGTTTGTCCGACATATTTGGGACTAACTATTGTAATGCAATTTTAATTGAAAGTTATGTAGGCCGTTGTAGTTAAATATTGCTTAGTACTGAGTGATTTGTTTTAGAACTTTATTAATTGCATGATTTTTTTTTAAGTGACTGCATGAATAGTTTGTTGAAAATTAAAATAAGGTTTGTTTAGCCAAGATTCAGTCTACTTCTAGATAAAACAAACCTCAAAGACTGACAATCTGGTAGCTGAGTATACAAGTTATTTTAAATATTTCTGTTTATCTGGAAATAAGGACTTTTTGGAATACAGTATATCACAATTTCTTCAGAACTCGAGTAGTGTTTGCATTACTATAGTTTCAATTAAATAATATTAAAAATTAAATTGTTTAGTTCAGTTCCAGGTAAAAAAGTAAATTTCTTTGAGATCGCTAAAGAGGAACCATTTTACTACATTGTATCTTCAACATTGAAGTTCATGTAAAGATTTTTATGTGTTTGCCATGACTGGTGCATATGGTTTGTTACTTGGAGTGTATTTCAAAGACAATTTTATTAAATAGTTTTAATTTTTATTTCCATTTCCATTACAATGATCAACATGAAAATAAATAGTATATGTGTAGCATGATGTGGTTTTATGTTGGAATTCATTCACTGATCACCGATTGTCTAAAGGAATTCAGTTCTTATTGATGATTGGCTAACAGAAATAGGTATTTAGTATTGATTGGCTAACTGAAATAGGTTTTTGTTGTTGATTGGATGATAAAATTTTAATACGTAGATGTGTGGTTGATATTTAATATGTATAGTAACTATTATTATTAATTAATATTATTATAATTATTATTATTATTATTACTATTATTAATATTATTCAATAAGAAAGATTTCTATGCAAAAACTTTAAATACATTTGAATTAACATTATAATATATAAGTTTGAATGTAGCTTTTTTTCACAGATTTTTTTGTTCGTTTCTGAAACCAGTTTGTGATATTTAAAGTAGTCTCGTGTTTTTAGATTGTTTTGCTTGTATGTGCATGCACGGTTGTAAAATGGCAACTGCGTGACTTTAGAGCAATGCCTGTGCAAACCGACATTGTAGGTCGGGTTGCCTTTTTTTCACGATTTAAATCTGTTTGTGTGAAGTTAAAATTTTGATTCGTATATGAAATGAATTGTTGAATATTAATATATATAATATATAAATATATATTAACGTTGACTACAAAGAAGAATTATTGATAGTAGACAACTTTTTTAGACATTTTTTTTTGTGTTACTTAAAAGGCGTATGTACCTGTTTTTTTATTTAACAACAACAAAAAAGCGTGAACTAATCATTGCCAACAAGTGCAAATATGTCATGCGTTTTTTTGTTTGTTTTTGTTTTGTTTTTATTATTATTATTACTGGTAATATATATATATATATATATATATATAGATATATATAAATATAAAGGCCAATATGGCTAATATGTACATACAACATTCACATAATTTACTTAAAGAGGTTGTACGTAAATAATAAATGGTCAGTCTAATTATTAATTATGGATAAGCCTTTGTGATCATTGATAATAAGCTGTGATCCATTTTTCGTAGGAATTATACTTAAGTACTAAATTTCAAACTGAGAAAACCAATTAGACATGCATTCATCTGTTTTTGTTGAAATTATACTTTACTGCCGCAGGTAGGGTAATAATTTCTTTACTCAGATGCAATAAATTATTAATTGATGAACACAATTGAAATTGAAATTGAATCTGAAATCTGATGTCTAAATTTTAATTAGAAACAAAGGTAGCAAAAAATGGCTCATTGGGGTAGTAATTAATTTATTTATGAATTCTACCAAAAATTGGATTCTGGATAAAAAGTAGTTGAAAGGACATGATTTTCATTACAATGTATTTAATCATTTTAAGAAATTTTTAAAGGCGTTTTAATATAGAAAGACTTAATAAGGGCATATATGGTAAATTATTTAAAAAGTTACATGTAATCAATGAGCTAGTTTACTGATTTACATCCCATAGAATTTCAATTAATACATATGTATATCATATGAAAGTTTGATTGGAAATTATTAGATTATAAATGTTATTAATATACCATTTATAGTTTTTTAGTAAATAATTATTAATCCATGGCTTAATGACAGTTACAATATTGGCTTGAAATCAATAATTATCAAGTATTATGATTTAACCATTGGAAAACATCAAATTTGAATGAATATTAAACAATACATCATATGTTTCATGAAGATTATTAAACTATAGGTTATGATTGGTTACTCCAAGCTATATGTTTTTATTTGATTGATTCTTTGATAAAGTGTAGGTTTTGATTGACGATTATTAAACTATTCAGTTTGATTATTAAACTATTTGGTTTGATTGATCATTGAACTCTAGGTTTTGATTGATTTTTTAATAACATTAAATATTGATTTGTTGATTATTAAACCATGGGAATGTTTGATTTTTTTTTAAAACAATAGATGTTCAATTGACTATTAAGCCATAGATACATAATTGATAATGAAGCTTTTGGGTTTCATTCCTTATTAAACCATAGCTTTTTGATTGGTACTATTCAACCATAGCTTTTTAATTGATATTAATTATAATTAAACTTCAGGTTTTAATTAAGAATTATTTAGGTTTTTATTAATTAATGATAATTATTATACGCCATATACAACTTTCATTTTTCATTCTGTACATTTTTGAATAGCACTGTTTTCATAGCCATCTGACTAATTCAGTTTTTAGTCGGTATTATTGTACATTGTGCACTATTAAATTTCTTGTACATTGAAAAAAATATTTCTGTTTGTCTTTTGTCAATTCATCGTTTGGGCCAAGAAGAAAAATGTGGGTCTTGTTGTTCAGTTAGTCCCATGGACAAACTGGTTATGCATGTAAAATATCCCTTGACAGCTGGAATTTGAACAAGAGTGGGTAGAAACAATCTTGTCTGGACAAAATTGTCCCCCTCACATTGCACACTCAACTATAGATTAAAAAGATGAAAAATTAACATAGGTTAGTCTTAAAATGTTAAAATGACATTAAACCTCATTCCTTTCTTGTCCGTTTTGTCAATTGAAAGCTAAGCCCATGTTAACGAAACTGTGAACTTAGTATGCCTAAAGCATATCTGTGGCAACCATTTACCGGTATATACTGGTATGCCGTTGTTTACTGTTACCAAAATGTCAACGAAAAGTTGCCCCGATTGAACAAGAATGAATGATCATATTCTTAACAGCATCCTTGGCAATGTGATTAAATATCATGACAGTCCATATGAAAGAAGGGCATGTTTTTTTAGTTGCCTGGAAACACATCTTTAAGCAAAATCTAAGAGATGATAGGAATGATTCTTTTCTACAGTAAAGATAAGATGGGGAGCAGAATTAACACAGTTTGCATTATGTTCAACTTTGATCTTTGAGAACAAAATAATACCTATCAGAAGGGTAGCCATAAGTTCTAAATTTCCACAATGCCTAGATAACCATGCTAAGATATAAGTAAACTGTATACAACTGAATAATGAAAATCCTTAAATGAGTTACGTATCTCTGTAGTGTTAAACAGATCTAGCGATCATTTCTGTGAAATCTGGTATCTCCTCTTTAAAAATGCATTATGTAAGAGCTAATTCTGCCTATTGCAGGTCTTTATTTAGACATTTATTAACATGACAAGCCCATAATCAACTCTCTAGAACATCAGATGGCAGAGATTTAAATGGATTAGAATGCCCATGGGATTTAAAAATTAAACTACAAAATGGATAATCGAGACTTGGTCCTTTTTTTTCCAGTACCTTAGGTACGATAATAAACAATCAACGCTACATCTTTCAACACTCATAACTTGGCTCAGAATAAAGTAATTTTACTTAAATCTTCATTATGTAGGAGCTAAATCTGCTTATTGTAGGTCTTTCTTTAGGCCATAATCAACTTATCCAGACCATAATCAACTCTTGATGTCATTGCTAGTCTGTGATTTTTACTGGATTTGGATCCGATCTGCTGCTCTACGCTCATTCATGATTAAATCAAGAAATGGATAATCGAGACTATGACTTCAGTAATGATGATCGAGACTAGGCCCAAAATTCAATCGCTAAATTCTTGGTTCAGAGTGGATCAATTTGACTGAAATTTTCAGCAAATTCCCTTGACATTATCTAGTTTGTAGACGCCCACATTTTCATGTGGACGTATTATGCCGTCGCCCCCGTCCGTCAGTCCGTCCACAATTGTTTGTGGACTCTCTACAGGTCACAATTCTTATTCGATTTCGACGAAACTTGAAATATAGGTTTATCCCCAAAAGATCTTGGCTGCTTTCGATATTGGCATGTATCGGATCGAAACTTCATGGATTATGGCCCCTGTTTGTACGAAAAATCACGTTTTTAGCTTGTGGACCCTATAGAGGTCACAATTTTTATCCGATTTTGTTGAAACTTGAAATGTAAGTTTATAACCCAAAGATCTTGGTTCCTCTCGATATTCACACATATCAGACCGTAACTTCCTGAATTATGGCCCCTGATTGTACGAAAAATTGCGTTTTTAGCTTGTGCATCCTATAGGTCATAATTTTTATCCGATTTAAAAAAACGTATTATTATATCACCGTTACACCCTGAGGACGACTGAGTTCGAATTTCGTGAAAATCGGCCCAAAATTGACAGACAAAATGGCTGCCGTTCGTTCAGTTCCTTTCGATATATGCGCATATCGAATTGTAATTTCCTGAATTATGGCCCTTGATTGTAGGAAAAATCACTTTCTTGTTAGCTTGTTCTCTATCCATCTCTCGAAAATGTGGGCGTATACTGCCTGGCAGCCGCTGGTTAACTATTATAGTGAGAACTGCCAGCTCTATCTATATCTCATAATGTATCTTAAAATTTTCAATATATTCATTTTTTTATTATCTATTTTTTAACTATTATAGCAAGAATGATCAGATCTTTATCCAAATCTTACATAATGCTACTTTAAATCAAAGCAAATTAATCTTTTGATTTATCTTAGTGTTATGATCAACATGGTTAAAAGTAAACACTATTTTTGTACCACTGCTTACACTGACCTTTATTTTTTTTTAACATCAACAAATATAATATATACATGTACACATATAGTACACCAATAAAAAGATACAATAAAAATTAGTAAAGGATTTATCAGGGACTGGCTTAGACACCAAGATTCTACTTAATAAAGCACATTGAACATTTTACTATACAAGTCTATTGAACTTGTGTGTAGGTAACTAGAGCATTATGAAACATACTTCAGCTCTCCGAAACTTGTACTCTCAATTTCAGTACATGTAAGACTTACATACATGTAAGTAAACTGAACAGTTTACTATACAACTCTATGAAACTGGTAAGTATAACAAGAAACTAGGCCCAGGACCTCCTTGTACAAACAGTTATGTCTAAATACATTTAACATTAGACACTTTATCAATGTAAGGTTACTTAACATGAGTAGAATCGTAAAATGTTTGATTTAAGTTTAAGGTTCTTAAGTTTGATTTGCAACATGGTGCTGTGCAGATATCCGTTTAAGGTTAGAACTAACCCTAGTGTCTAAAAAAGCTAAAAATAACTCAATCATGTTCAAATTTCACTAGAATACTTTATTCGACCAAAAATACATATTTTTACAAAAATATGCAAATTAATTTATGCAGAAGGATTGAATTACTGAAAAACAGCACTTTTCAAATACAGATTACTGATATGGACATTACACTACAAGTTGCTAATTTGTACAAGTTTTAAAGTACAATGCTGCTAAGGTTTTGAGTCATTGGTGTTTTGAACCAATAAAGTATTTTAGTGAATTCTGAACATGATTGAGTTATTTCTAACCATTAAAATGCTAACCATGAGGCATGAACCCTATATCTTAAGGTACATGCAATATCCAATTATTCAATATTCAGCCATATCAACAGAAAATCAATAGGATAAAAGCGGATAAGCTGGATATCTTAAAGCTGATTTCTCATTATTTCCCTTTAAATAAGTACCAGGGTATGCTTAAGTTGTGCAAATGAACATAGTGTACAATGATCTTAACAATAGTATTGCTATTGTAAATGAAGTTGACGGTAGGCAAGTAAGTGAGTGTTTTCTCAGGAGATGAGTTTGATCAGTGGATGATGTCATGTGACTGATGATGAGACAACTATTTGTTTATTTTACCAGTATTTCTGGTAATTGAACAGGAAACAGTGAGAAGATTCTCATGGGCAGTATTTCAGAAAATCAATTGGTCCAGCATCATAATCCTGTTTTAGAGGTTAGCTTCATGCCAATGGAAAGGCTGCATGCTTAAACTATTTTAGATCAGGTTTTCAGTAATAAGGCTTCAGATACGTTTTACTGATGCTATATTAAAATCGACAGCAACATAGAATCGGTTTAATCAAAACTGGAGCTGTCAAAACAAACTGATATATTGCAATAAGATATATCGTCACATAAAATTTAGCGAGTCATGGTGGAATCTTTTTTGAGTTATGTAATCCTGTTAATGCCTATATAAATTATAAATTCTGAAACAACAAAGGATGTTGACACCAATATATGTAAGCTGACATAGAAGGTACTTCAAATTAAACTTCACAGAGAAAAATACAAATAATTTCTCCCAAATAACATAAAAGTCATTTTTAATGTTGATGTTGATGAAAATGCCAACAGAGATGATTGCCAAAGTGGCCATCTTGAACACTTATGGAATGTTATTCTCTTTTATCAAAATATGGAGATTCATATCCGAAAACCAAAAGTTTTACTTGAACACCACATCGTTTCATCTTCGGATTTCAATACGTAACATATCTTGCTGTAAAGCATCACGTTTTAAACCAACAGTCTTTAGTTTTGGAGTATCTGATAGGCTAATAATTGTAGGTGTTGTAAGGTCAAAGTTTGGATCACATACTGCTAAACCACAGAGCTGATTAACTGTTAACCTGCAGAAGAGAAAAAAAACCCCTGATGAACAAATGTAACAATATCAGGACTTTCACATCAAATTTTTAGACAGTTTGTCTATTTTTTAAAATTTGGTGTTTACTTCAGAAAAGCAAGATATTTTTCAAACAACTCTTGCAATTTCTAGAACCATTCCAGTTTAAAATGTTTTCACTTATACCCAAAAATTCATAAATTTAAATGTAATTTATGGTTAAATGCTTCAAATTTCTAATTTTGTGGCATGTAAATTTCACTACCATTCAATTATGGCTGACAATTATGATGGATATGATGGATATTAGAGCCCTGGTCTATTTCCTAAGATTAGATTTTAGAAAAATTGAAGTACAAGATAGAAAACTGTGAAATTTGTTATTAACAATTTTAGACAATTGAAACCATGTATCACTGTTTTCTGTGGCTGTATTAAATGTACCTTGATTCAGACTACAACCATAATAAACTACTACAAAAAAACCTGCTTAAACCCACAACAACCAATAAGTAAAACCACACTAATTTGGGCCATTCACCTTTTTAAGTCAAACAGATCATGAAAACTCTGGTATTGTGGACAGATCTTGGGATAAGAATCAATAATTCATTTTAATAATTGGCTAATGTGAGTGATATAGTTCATAAGATCTGTCAATGAGGCAAGTGTTGTGGTTTCAATCCTAGGCTTGTTATACTTAACCAGAGGAGTTTACTATGGAAAGGTTCCTAAATTAATTGACCTTTTAATCAGATCTCAACAAAACCAAATTCATTAAAGAGACCTCTTGAAATTTAATACATAAATAAAAAACTTACCAGAGCCCATGTGTACCTGTTATTAAACCTCTAAATACAGCCACTGATAACAACGACCCAACAATCTGTTGAAAATACAATATAATCAAATAAAAGACACATTTTATTAGTTCTATTAGTATCATGATTATTGCTACTTCAAATACTTCATTCTCTTATTTTTTACATATCAAAATTAATCATGAAATATGTAAGTATTTTACAATATATAAGTATTTTTTTTAACAATATTATGAAAATTCTTTTTTACATTTTTACTACTTTTCTGAAAACAATTTAGTAACTGATTTATCACTTACTCAGAAAGGTTTCAGAATCATAATCAAGCATATCAATCAGAGATATACTATTCAAAAAAAGTAGGGGATATTTGATTTTTAAGTGTTATTAAAGTCACCTAATGAAACTGACGAAGAAACAAATGACAAAATGAAATGAAGTTCACATTCATCGATTTATTCCAAATGATCGTTAGACTAAGTAAGGCACAGACTGACCATTATAAGGGTAAAATGATACCCGGGGTCAAACAGCAAAGTTACCACAGCATCACAACCAAGTCAGTAACGGGTAAATCCTCCTCTGTTTGCCAAACAAGCATTGGTCCGACGTGGCATACTCCTAATGAGACGTCTACGGTCATTTTGGTCCAGATTGTCCCATTCCTGTTGCAACGCAGCAGCAAGTTCTTGGACATTGGCAGGACGTTGTTGACGTTGACGTAACCTCTGTCCAAGCATGTCCCAGACATGCTCGATGGGGGAGAGGTCGGGACTCAGTGCTGGCCAAGGTAATGTGGTGATGTTCTGTTGTTGGAGGTAACCTGTAACGATCCTGGCCCTGTGACATCTTGCGTTGTCATCCTGGAAGATGAAACGGCGGCCATGACGTCGTGCGAACGGCACAACATGGACTGCCAAGATGTTGTCCCGGTAGTACTGGCCTGTAACACGCCCTGCAACAACATGTAAAGCCGTTCTTCCAGCAACAGTGATGCCTCCCCACACCATAACAGAACCACCCCCAAATCGATCATGTCTGATGACGTTAACGTCTTGGAAGCGCTCGTTTCGACGACTCCACACCCTCCTACGTCTGTCCAAAAAATCAACAGTGAACCTTGACTCATCTGAAAACATCACATTGCTCCAGCGTCGATTATCCCAGTGTTGACGATCCCTACACCAACGACGTCTTGCCTGAATGTGATGATCTCTCAAACAAGGGATCACGCGAGGACGTCGGGCGCGAAGGTGACCCCTATGCAGTCGATTCCGAATCGTCTGGCCACTCACTCTCACACCAGTGTCTGTTTGAAGACGAGCGCTGATCTGATTTGCTGTGATGACACGATTTCTCAAGGCCAAGGTACGGATAAATCGATCCTGGGCTTGAGTTGTCGCCCTTGGTCGACCTGAGCGTGGTCTGTCCTGTACAGATTGTGTATCACGGTATCTGGACCATAGCCTGCTTATGACAGACTGAGAAACATTCATCGTCCGCGCCACAACCGCCTGTGTTGTGCCGATCTGTAGCATGCCAAGGGCACGTAACCTTTCATTTTGGGTAAGCCGACGCATATCAAAATTTGTTTTCTGGTCACTAAAACAATTAAACTGATGTTTCCACCCTGGAATTCAATGCCACAATGACTGTAACATTCAAAGTCAGAGTCGTGCAAATCTTGGGTTGGACCCCCATGATGATCCCAAGCATCACCTGCATCCCATGCGGTAGCTATTGGTGCGTTTGGGCGTCACATGTAACTGGAAATGTTTCTTCTGTTAGGTTCTATAGTGACTTTTTTCGTAGTCATTTGCATATTTTAGTATTATGCCCCCAAAATCAAATATCCCCTACTTTTTTTGAATAGTATACATATCTTACATATGGTTACTACATAATAACTTACTTATAGCTAGTACAGATGATAATACTTTACTTACAGCTACTACAGATGACACATATCTACAAATGATACATATCTAACCTATAGCTACTACAGATGATTTTTTATCTACTACAGATGACACATACCTTACTTATACCTTACTTATAGCTACTGCAGATGATACATACTTTACTTATATCTACTACATATGATACTATCTTACTTAAAGCTAGTACAGATGATACTTACAGCTACTACAGATGCTACACATCTTACATAAAGCTACTACAACTAATATATACCTTACTTATAGCTACTACAGATGATACATATCTTACGTATAGCTGACACATACTTATAGCTGACACATACGTATAGCTGACACATACCTTACTTATAGCTTCTATAGATGATACATACTTTACTTATATCTACGACAGATGATTCATACTTTTCTTATACATGTTTCTACTACAAATGATACATATCTCACTTATAGCTACTACAAATGATACATACTTTACTAAAAGCTACTACAGATGATCATACATACCTTACTTATAGATACTACATATGATGATAATACCTTACTTATATCTACTACAGATGATACATACCTTTCTTATATATGTATCTACTACAGATGATACATATCTTACTTATAGCTACTACAAATGATACATACTTAATTAAAAGCTACTACAGATGATCATACATACCTTACTTATAGATACTACATATGATGATACATACCTTACTAATAGCTACTACAGATGATAACTCTACAACTCGAAGCTGGGTATCTTGAAGTTTTATTGCACATAAATTCAAACATATACCAAACACACCGCTACAAATTACAAAAAGATGTTCAATAAATCCAAAGTACAAAATTACAATGGTTACAAGAGGGGACAAAATTGGTGTAATTTAAACCTGAAAATGAGCTAGAATACAGTACATTGTGGAACTGTTCCAAAATAAAAGCACTGACCAGTAAGCACTAGAACTCAAGCTTAAGTCACATTTTGCCCATCGATGTTATAGTATCAGTAATAACCAATCAAAATTGAATGTCAGCATTATGTACCTTTGATATGGGAAGTTACTTACCTCATAATACAACCAATATAAAACTTTGTAAAATATAAATAAGGAAATTTCTGAGCTTCTAACGCATCCCCTAAAAAGAAATAATGATAAAATGTAAAACTTAAATTTCTGGGAAATTTGCAATAAATAATTGAAGACAAGAGTACAAAATTTATCTCTTGCATTATTGCAATCATAGACCACATGCTAAACCCCTGGTCCAAAAAATCTGAGTTCCTGATTCGTATAAATAAATCAATAACAATTGAATATAAAACTTACCAAGTAAATAACTTGAAGGTGCTAAAATAATGACACTGCAAAAAAGAAACATTTTATTATCACAACAATCATCAATAATACTTTTTTTCAAGCCAATGAAAGTAATTTAAGTTTCAAGACCTGCCAATGTTAGAAAGAAGGAATATTCGACTACAGTCCAGCATGGGACTACCACAGTTAGTGGCTAGTGCACAATCCAATAAGAAGAAAATACAATAGATTGAAAACTTACCTATATATATAACAAGAATAAAGTCTATCATGGACACTAAAAATAAACAACACTATATATTATTACTGATTATATATTTTGGTAGTTTGGTACTGATGCTGTTTTTGAAAGAGTTGTGTATTGTTACCAAGATGTGACTATTCTGTCAGATTCTACAACATCATATTAAAAATATGTTGATGATCAAAATCATGTGGACTATTCTTTGCTTTAATAAATCATATTCTTTTTAAAATTCACCCTATAGTTACTCTTATTGCTGAAGTTTTAAAACTTCGATTACGGCATGTTTTGGGGAAACAAGGGCCATATCTTAAGACATTAACCCTTTTGCGGATACAAGGGGTATTTCGGGACCCCACGGCCATATCCATAACATTTGTCGGGGACCGGTTCATAATTGTCTATCGAGAATTTTATACTCGTCAGTAACTAAATGTCGGGTATAATGCTGCAAATAGAATGGAAGTCAGGCAGTGGCAACATTCACCATTTGACAAGAAACTAAAAGTGTTACATTATCGGAAACAAGTGGTCTTGTGGAACCCCATCCCATCCCCTTTCCTTTAAACATTTTGCTGGTTACAGGTATCTAATCTGTTCTGCGCTCAGTGCAAGTTTTGTATTTCAAATCTTTCTTACTGATGATATTGTGTTGATCAATGATCATTCTAGTAATCTAGATCTGAACAAATCTAGGTACGCTACAAACACTGTCAAAAGATGATTCTACATGGAAATGACAATTAAGCTATTTGCAAATTTTGATGGTTTCAAAAATAAGTTATAATCCATATCATCACTGTTAATACCTCAAATATTTTTTTACTATGACTGATTATTCTTCAGTCTTTATATGAAGCTCTAGATCGTATTTGAATAAAATTATGCATACAAAAACTTATTTATGTCAGGTCTTAGATTACCCCTTGTTGCCGACAAGGTTTTTCGTGTGACGTGTCCAGACAATGGTTAATCAATATGCTTCTTGGTCTTATGAATATAAACACTGTGCATTAATTTTTGTTGCAAAGAAATTGATTTGGTTATCAATTTACATTTCATTGGGTTCTTTCTACATTAATATAGATATAACATTGCTTTATCTGTGCATGTGAAATGTTAAATATAGATAAAATATCATTCAAGGAAATATATCAAGATATAAAATCCAATGAAACCACCAATTTATTCTTTGGTCCAGCTTTAAGTGGCAGTACCAATTTTAAATTTTAGAGACAATAGATATTTATGTCAGTAATGAAATGATACACTGATGAATTAGAAGAAAGGTGATATAAGATAAGGACAACATAAATAAAACAAACTTACTTTAATTTTAATCTGCCATTTATTAATTGTGTATAAATTTCTATTAAACCTATAAAAAAAACAAATTCTTGAAAATATATATATAGAATTAATTTTGATGTTTTATGGCCGAACACTTGTAATAATAATCTCATAATAATTTTAGTTGAACCTGACAAAATATCTGACACTAAAGAACTAGTACTTCACATCTTCAACTTTGTGCCAGGCCTGTATGAAATATATCATTAAAAACATGGATAAATACTCTGATTTGTAAAAGCATTTACAAGAATTCTGAATGGACAATTCATTAGAAATTGCTAGTAAACCAATTTTAACAAAACAAACAATATTAATTCCAAAATGAATGTTGACCAAATGTGCCATGCACATGAAATATGTTGAATGATGTATAATGGACTGTCATTCATGGAAGGTTTTAGTTGTATTTGATGGGTATTAGCCATTACCTATAAGAAATAAAATAATTTCACTTACCACTACATACAACATGAATAGACACCCAGAAATAGCCCTCAGCATTAAACTATAAGATCAAATCATATTTAAAGTTATATGTATGATAATATTGATTAAATGGCATACAAGTGGGGACAGGTGTCATGCGATAGGCAGTGTGTGTTTAATTTTTTACAACACCTGTTACCACCTAACTCATTTATGATTGGGAGCTTACTGTCATCTATTCAGTAAACTAATTTAAAAGGTTTATTGGAAACAGCAGAAGAATAAAACATGTCATTGCATATCTAGAATACATTTCTGCTAATGCATGAGCTTAATCTGCTTATTGGAGGTCTTTTTTCTGGTTTCAAATGTTATATAAAGTATTACTTAGACATTTGCTAAGGGATCATTGGCGTGCACGTAAAAGATCCCTTGGCAGTTGGAATTCGATATAAGAGTAGGCCGTAGTGCCACTGTCCGGGCAAAATTTCCCTCATAGCACACTGTATGGCGTATGCCCGTCTTCATTAGCCCAGGTTAGGAGCAGAACAGTAAGACGTTAAACTCCATTTCATTTCATTTTCATTTATTCAAATGACAAGCCCATACTCGACTCTCTAGCCCAACAGATGGCCGAGATATCAAATGGATTAGAGCATCCACACTATCTAATAATTTAACATTGTACTTGACCATAAAGACTGTTAACGTCAAAACATTTTAAAACAAACACTCATATAACTTTGTTCAGAATAAAGTAATTTAACTAAAATTTTTGTTTTTTATTGTCTATTTATTTAACTATGATCATTCCCCAAAGTTTCAGTTATCTTGGTGGTTTTGCATAAAAGTCATGTTCTTTCCAAAATATACTCCATGTGGCCTCGGCCGCATTGGAGACAAATTTGCATAAGTTGCGGAAAATTGTCAATTACTCAAACACATTCCCCTTTGGGATTCTCCAGATTTTTGCTGTGATTGCTGACTTCACCAATCGTTTGAAGGTTGTTCTGGTACACATTATCCTCGAGATAATCAGGGAAACCCCCAAAAGGAATGTGTTTGAGTAATTGCCAATTTTGCGCGACATATGCAAGTTTGCCTCCAACGTAAGATACCATTTGGAGCATATTTTGGAAAAGAACATGACTTTTATGCAAAACCACCAAGATAACTGAAACTTTGGTGAATGATCACACACAGACTGAAGTTTAAGTCAAGAAATTTGCTGGGACCTTTGTAGGATTTAATAAGAATTTTATGGGTTCTGGTGGGTTTTTTTTGGGGGGGTGGGGGGTCACTGTATTATAGCAAGAACTGCCAGCTCTTTATCTAAATATTATATAATTCAACTTTAAATATAGTTCATAAGATAGGTTGCCAGGCAACAAAACATACGCTCACAGCAGCTAAATCGTCCGGTAATGATTTTGTCGGTAATGATTTAAGAGGAACAACTCAATAAGCAATTATCAGAAAATCATTAGAATTTGTTTGGCTTCTAGTTCTGCCCCATGCTAATCTTTAGTATACAACACATTTAATATCATGGATTTAGCTGTTCAAGTTATCAAAAATCATTCAAAATCAATAAACTTTTTCGCCATAAGACCTTAAACTCTGTGTACCAATCTAAAGTCAATCGAATGATTACTTTAGCCTCTAGAGCATCCACAAGTAATTTCAAAGTGATCAAGGGCCATAACTCTGGCAGTAATTATTGGAAAGCGTTGAAAATCAATAGGCTTCTTCATAAACACTGTGTATAAATTTAAAGTCAATTGGATATTAACTTTAGCCTCTAGAGTGTCCACACGATTTTTCAAAGTGATCAAGGGCCATAACTCTGGCAGTAATTATCGGAAATCATTGAAAATCAATAGGCATCTTCGTCTCATGACCTTAAACACTGTATACATTTAAAGTCAGTCGGATATTAACTTTAGCCTCTACAGTGTGCACAAGCAATTGTGGATGCCGGACGGCCGACAACAATATATGGCCACATTTAAATGTGGCTGTATAAAAATCTACTATTTTGTTTTGAAGCTGAATAACTTTGTCAATACTAATTATACATTTAGGACATAATATTTAAACATGCAAGTTTAATTAAAATCCGGGGGATCACGTGGCTAAGTGGGTAAGACGCTGGCTCGCTAGCCTGGAGGTCGAGTGTTTGATCCCTGCATTGGCCGAGAAAGTTCATCCAGATTTTCCGGCGTGGTTCCCCCTTGTCAGTGATGCAGGACGGAGGGCTTGACAAGGACAGCTGTCTAGTCCTTCGGATGATACGAAAAACCGAGGTCCCGTGTATACATTGGAATGCACGTAAAAGATCCCTTGGCAGTTGGAATTCGATATAAGAGTAGGCGACAGTACCGCTGCCCGGGCAAAATTTCCCTCATAGCACAATGTATGGCGTATGCCCGTCTTCATTAGCCCAGAATAGGAGCATTTTAATTAAAATCCAATTAGGTCCCAAACAATGTGGACAGACAAAATGAAATACTGGATGACAAAAACATATTTCCAGTTCATAGAGTGGGCGTAATAACGGCTAAAGCAATTAATTTTGTCTATTTACCATTGGATCTGTTTTAATGACAGCAACACAAGACACAACAACTAACATTAACATAACATAATTAAATAATGATGTCATCTGTTTGTTGATTGACATGGTGGCAATCTGACGAAAGACTAAAACCAGATTCTGTTGTGTAAAATATATTGGTATTGTCTGAAACAAGCAAATACATAAATAATTCTGATTTGTAGAACATATATGAATTTTAATGGATTACTGAATACTCCCACTTCTTTAACCTTGTGGCCTTAGCAGTCGGCTCATGTAAATATTCACTACCCCAATTCTTTGAAAAAAGCAGAGAAAAGAGGGGTTTTTTTTACATTGAGTTAAAGGAGCTAAATCGCTAATATTTGAGACTTAGAAATTCACACAAATAGATTGCAACGCACATAATACATAATAATGTAATATGAATGTATATAAACTGATTTACATTCAATCTGTTCTGTGTTTACTCTTATTTCAAATCACTTATGTTCGGCGGAATACGCCAGAAGTCTCAATCGAATGGTAATCTCTAGCGTCTCGTTATTCCAGTCTTCACTGATAGTATTTATTGTGCATGCTCTCCAGATAAGAGATTGGCGTAACCATTTGACATGACTTGTGGAATATGTCTAGCCTTCTTCTTCCAGTCCCTTGTTACAAATGGTCCTGAAACGCATTATGGTACACGATTCGTGTACCAATAATAAAATGTTTATTATGTCTTAAATATTTGATATCAGAAGCCCATCGTTTCCCGGTAAGATCACAACATCAATGTTGATTTAAATTGACAAATAATTCGTGTTTTCAATGTTGAAGACTTTGGATGATATTGAGTTAGAGACTTAGCTACTTTATGTAGCTCATTTTCAAAATGACCTCAAACTGTCTGAGTCACAGAACCAGTTTACAGCCCTTAAATAATTCTGTAGGATATTAAACCTAATATAACTCACAACTATTTCTTGGTTAATACTAAACTGACTGAGCTCAAATAAATGTTAAAATTTATTAGAATTTGACTGTAATTGGATTTTAGAATAATAATCAAACTAATGAACACTATTATGTGTATTATGTCCCTTATTTATACTTTATCTGACTGTACTGTCTTTTTGACGGTAGTGTCCATCTGTACCGGCTACATGTACTGACTACCTGTACTGTCTATCTGTACACAGTTTACATGTACTGGCTACTAGATAAGAAACCTCATGGTACTATATAGATCCAACTGGTAAACCCCAATGCTAATCACATCAGGCTTCAAATAAGCAAAATTAACAATTTTTTTCGTTGAAACAACGCTTGATTATTGTTATTTATAACATTTTTGTCACAACCAACTACAATTAAGCATATAATCCTACCTGACAAGGGTACAACTCCCCTCTTTTAAGTCGAAGTGATAATAGATTGCTTCCCCCCCCCCCCCCCCCCCGACATTTAAAATTTGACATCTTTACCTCATGAAGGCGAGGTCTCGCTTACAACAGCCAATCAAAGTACTAGCTTGATCAGAGTTGCGCAGGACCAATATACATAATAACAAATGTTTGTATCAATTTTAATAAAAACAACGCTTGATTTACTTTATTGAAAATAATTGCTGATAAACCAAAGTTGTTTCATTGGATTGGGCTTAGTATGTTTGATAAGTTCTAATACTATAATAGTACGAAATTAACTTAATTTTAAGATGCTACATGCATTAATAACGAAATTAAGTTTGCCAGTTGAAAATAAAGACACTCAATCGTAGCTATAAACAAGCAGATCAGTATATCTCAATGGTTTTAGCTACGTTCCTGCATACCGTCTATTACTTACCAAACTAGCTAATGCTTTAGAACCTGAATAAATAGATATAACATACAACATCATACCAGGTAACCATAATGCTACATCAGATCTGAAAATAACCACACCATATGTTATAGACAATTTTAGCCATATGTAACTAAATTAAAGATACATTATGGGAGATTAGATAAAGAGCTGGCAGTTCTCACTATATTAATAATAGTTAAAAACTAGACAATGTAAAGGGAATTTGCTGAAAATTTCAGTCAAATTGATCCAAATTGATCCACTCTGAAACGAGATTTAAGCGATTGAATTTTGGGCCTGGCCTTGATCATCATTACTAAAGTCGGTACGATAAAAAACATAGTCTCGGTTATACATTTTTTGATTTAATCATGAATGAGCACTGAGCAGCAGATCGGATTATTATCCAGTAATTATCGCAGGCTACCGATGACATTGAGAGTTGATTATGGTCTGGATATAAGTTAATTAATGTCTAATTAATAATTAAGATAAAATTTCAGCCCTAAAGAGAGACCTGCAATAGGCAGATTTAGCTCCTGCATAATGTATGTTCAATGCAAAATAATATTGCCATGATGTATTGTTAAAGCTATGTATCAGGATGCATATATCTTCCCACAATACACTGTATCCAATCACACATTGATACTTGACAATTCTATTCTATAATGTGCTATTAGTGCTATTATGTATGGTAGAATAGCTGCAATATACGAAGTGAAATGAAATAAAATGGGGTATAATGTCCTATTGTTCTGCTACTAAAGTGGGCTAATGAAGACAGGCATATGCCAATGTATACACAGGACCTCAGTTTTTCGTCCGATCTTGCACCAAGGGGAATCACGTCAGAAAATCACTATAAACTTTCTGTCAACACCGGGATTGAACACGGGACCTCTACGTTAGCGAGCCAATGTCTTACTCACTGTGCCACAGGGGTCCCACCTGCGATTCTGTTATCAGTACCAATGCAAACCACTGCAAATAGGAAATTCACCAAATTCTACTGTGAACTTCAGCAAATTCCTTGTTATGGGGCTGGCTAAATGTGTAGAAGACTTTAATTTAACATATCAAAGGCAAGTTCAATAGCCATATATAATATTAACACATTTGCAAAAATCTTTTAATTACCTGTTAAGAGTTGGGGTAATTGGTTCCATTATGCCAGCAGATATGAGAATTTTTATCATCACAGCACCAACTAAAGTCTGCCATCTAAAATCAGTCAAAAGGGAAACAGTTGAATAATTTCTAAAATTTTGATCAATTTTATTTTATACATTGAAAGGTGGTAAATGCTTGGCTCCAATAGTCTATTGACTAACTAACTCTACATTACAGGTTGTCAATCACCAAGAAAAATTACTAGCTAAAATCACGATTTGTGACCTCAAAAGTGCTTTATTTTGAAAAAGATTTGAAAAATAGTTAGGATAATCATTAATGTACTCGGTCATAAAATAATTGGGTGGGGGGGGGGGGGGAGCATAATAAAAAAAAACTTACCCTTGGAAAATGGTAGGATAGGTAAACTTTAATACAGATAATACAAACTGCAATAAATTCATTAAAATATCTGTCAAAGGCGTATATATAACAAACAAGATATCAGTTGTTCGATGAACAAGGTAACAGATATCTAAAGAACAAGATAGCTAACAGTTGTCTAATGAACAGGATGTTGTCTAATGAAGAGATAAATCTGTTTAATGAAAAAGATAACAGTTGTGAAATGCATATATATCTTAAACATAAGGAAAACTTCTACAATATGAGACAAATGGTCATATATTTTTAGTTACATGGGCAATGCTTCCTGCAAATGTGGGGAGATGCAGATGTATTCAACCCATGTCAAATGCTATCTGAAGAAATTCTTGAAATGTTTTTTTCTCTGTTATTTTGATGTTCTAGAGGAAGAAGATATTTTTTAAAGATATTTTATGTTTCACCTTATTGACAAAATTAGTGGCAACAAACAGAAGAACAAATAGGACTGATAAATAGAGAGCCTTTTTCCCATTCGTTGAGACAATCATCGTGATTTCTTATCTTCCTCTTTTCTAATTGGTCTTGTCATTGTTACTCCATTCTTTTTCTTGTAAGCTTAGTACATTTTATCTGAGATTATGGGTTATAATTATTTTACTTTGTAAGAGCTGAAAAAAATAATAAATAATATAATATGTATATTTATATCACGCACAGTTCCATGCTAGTATGCATGCTCAAGCCACTACACAGACTAGGTGCCATAATAGGCCGTAAAAAATAGATGAGTTTTTAAATTAGTTTTGAATGTTTCTAGGCTAGATGACAGTTTAATGTTCAGTGGTAATGAATTCCATAGAACAGACACAATATGAATAAACGATCTGTATCCAAATGATTTGAGTTTATATTTTGGGACTATAAGATGTTCTTGTTGAGAACAGAGTGGACGTCCTGGAAAGTATGGTAAATACAATTTGATTGGAGATAAAAGTGGCATTATCTCTTTCATCATACAAATAAATGTAATTAATATCACAATCTCATGACATTAGAATAAATCAAGCAGTATGGCCGACTAAGTTAAAGTAAGGCACATATATTCTGTGTGAACGTTTGTTAAGTTTATTGGAAAAAATGACTAAAAATTTTTGCACAACTTGTAAATTGATGGTTGCAACATTTACATCTCCGCGATGGCTCTGCTAATTTTTCTGTGATTTTGTATACAATTTAATAATTTAAACATGCACGATGTAGCTAGCTGTACAGTCAAATCTATACAAGTTGAAAATTAACGTTATAACAACCTGCCAAATCTCCAATAAACAATAAATGGTTAAAGTCTCATTAAAGATGTATAATGTAAGAGCTAAATCTGCCTAATGCAGACCATTCGTTTGACTTGAAATGTTATATAAATCATTAATTAGATATTTATTCATATGCAAAGCCCATAATCGAATGCTTCTGATTTTCAACGGATATAAACCTGATTGCTAGGTAATGATTTAATTAAAAAATGGATAATCAATTTTCGTTATCAATTTTTTAACTATCATAGCAAGAACTGTCAGCTTTTTATCTAAATCTTACATAATGCATCTTTTAGGCAACTATTCTCCCAAAACAAGGCATCTTATGGTCTAGTTTAGCTCTGAACTACTTATGGTCTATCCACCACACATGTTCACACTGTTCAAAAGACTGGCATGTATCATTCAAGTTAGACTACTCGTCTAGATTCCCAAACTTCCAGGAAGAATTATTGTAAGAGTCCATCATGGCATAGATTTTCATCCCATAGTAGGGTGTTAAACCTCATTTCATTTCACCTAATTTCATGCCAGCCCCTTTCTTAAACCATCTTGGTGACAAGAATATTGGATTTGATATAATATATAACATTTAATTTTAAAGGGGTGGCACGATTCATGCAATTCCACCCAAATCTACCATGTAGGCTATATTAACACATATTACATGTCAATAATTATTAATATTGATATTTGATAATATACTGTCTATGCCAAACTGTCATTTTTAAATGATTATGATATCAATTGAAATAATGGTGGATTTGTGGGTGATATTATGTGTATTACACAAGTCATGGCCCTTGGTTACAACTTCTAAAGTTATGTGGAAATCACATTCTGACACAAAATTATAGCTATGATTTTAAATTAAAAATAACAATTTGGCATAAAGAACTGTATATTAGCAAATATCGATATATATTATATTATACTGATGGATATGGGTAAATCGCGGGCCCATAGCTACAGAATTTTTGGGAGGGGCTGAGGATGTGGCCGGCTAAGAACGCTCCTAAGAAATCATTATTGTTGGCAAAATATTTGAGGGGGGCTAATTCGATTTTTGGGGGGGCTAACCCCCCGTGGCTACAGACCCGGTAAATCGTGCTACCAAACATTTAGAAATACTGCTCTTTTAGCTAGTGGACAAAATCTGACTTTTTATTTATAAAGAGCTGCTAGTGCAGTGTTTCACTTTTTCATTAGAATTTTGTTTTATTTTGCCATTGATATCAATGAATAACATTCATCGCATGTGAAATATGCACTTATTCACGTCTAATAAAAAGGCCTACATATAATTACATAATTTACTGACAAATAATAATGTCAATGACAGTTTCATTGTTTTAACTCGTACTCGAGTCGTAGAGAAGATCTGTCAAACCATCAATCAACCGATCAAGCAAATGCAGCTCTGCATTATTCATCAATTTGTTTCAGCAGATATCTAATTCAAAGCTAGGTTATGTTGCATGATAATTATGCAACTGATACATAGGCCTACCTTCGATACTTGTACCGAATTTAGTTTAGCATTCAGTGAATGAGGTCCGTTATATTTTTCTTCTTCGCCACCTGGCATTGGGGTTTACTTTTGAATGACGTCACTTCCGGACTAAAAATAGATTGACTGACCCAGAAACAACCATAGGGGATTCCCCTTTAAAAGGTACGTTGTTTGAAAACAAGCAAGAGAAAATTTTGGTGTTTAACGTTCACTCGACACAAACTAGGTCCATTTCGGGAATAACATGTTTCAATTTTATTTCAATAATTAGCTTGCGCGTAGGGCGCTTTACTCTTTATTAGTGGGAGGAAACCGGAGGACCAAGATTGAAGAGAAAACCCACGAGGTTCGACAGGCGACCCTACTCCTTGTCACGTTCAACCGGGGAATTGTAACCACGCCAGTTGACTCAATGACAGACCTTATGATACAGCATGCACGTGCTAACTATTCGGCCATCCAAGTCCCCTGTTTGAAAACAGGGAGGAGTTCATGTATGATATTTAAATATTTATTTCATTATAATGGTAAGTATATTTGTGAGTGGCAACGAATAACGCACAAATGACCGGTACAATTCCACGACACATTTACACATTGTTGCAAGATGTGATACTGTAAATGATACTGGGCATTATACAGTCATGACGAATGAGAAAGTTATCTCCCTTTGTCGCCTGGGAGATGATGCCTACCTATACTTGAAGAAAATTGCACAGGTTGAAACCTTAGATACATATAGGCCCTATACATGTTTTTTATAGGTATAATTTGTGGTCAGTTTACATTTTCTTTTTAAAACAAGTTAAATTAATAATAAACCATAAACCTGTACATATAATCACAAAATTCTACTTTAAAATAGTGATGGATTATTATAAATTTGTGCTGAGAAATGATCCCTTTTGACAAACAAAAAAGAATTAAAGTGAAAAATTGAAGGTAAGTACCCCAAAAATAGCCTTAGAACAGAGGTGGGGTAGAGCTCTAGTTTGTCTGTGAGAGGCTCTTCCGAAAGCTACTTCTTAAATCTCATACATTTATTGGCCAATCCAGCAACTGACGCAATACGCCAGCAGTAATTCTCACCCGCTAGACAAATGAAAACCTGGTTATGTGGTTGTCCATGAACCAGACAAGATACAATTTCTTCTTAAAGAACTCCCACCTGTACTTATGAAAATTTTGATCATTTTGATGCCAAACAAGTGTCAAGGATCACTAATAGGAAGCCACAGAGATGTTGGTCGAGGAAGTTCTCCGGGATTTTCAGCATGGTTTCTCCTTGACAGTGGTGCATGACACTGGCAAGGACAATGCCTTGTCGATTGAATGGGACAAAAAACTGAGGTCCTGTGTACACATTAGTGTACACTGAAAGGACCCATGACATTTAGAATTTGGTATAAGAGTAGATTGTAACGACCAGCAATCGATCATAATTATGTCACTTTGCAAATGAATGATAACTTGGAAACCACAAAGTTAGATAACACAATTCACATACTTTAAACGGCATAACATTATTGGTAACACAAATACAAATCCTGGCAGCTAGCCAGAACAGACGTGAAGCCAAACCGACATCATGATCTCCACATCATGTCTAGGTCAATTCTGGGTACCTTCTGAATTAAAATCACGGATCAAACCAAAGAATGTACCGTACTGGTAGTACCAAATAATCTGTCACCTTCACCATACAAGGGTAGGGCACGGAAATATGCCTAGTTCATTTCCAAGAATCTTGTTAACCTTATTTGTGGATACAATTAGATCATTTTTTGGCTTTAGGTATTAGGTAATAATAGATAATATACACATATGCTTATAGTAGAACTTGGTCTATAAGTAGCCTACATTGCTAAACATTTGTCCTTTTAGATAGAACTTGATTGGGAATAGCAGTACATGTAGTTTGGATGCTTACTGAATAAGACACCCCCCAAAATATAAGAAAGTATTTTTCCTTTGTAACAATCTACAAACATTTATTAGCATATATTAAAATAATATTAAAAAAAAAAAGTTAAATCCCACAATATTGTTGTAAAGTACATAACAAATATTCTTATTAAAATTATGCATATATTATTGAAACTATAGATTTAAAGTGTAAAGAAATTTACACAATTCCAGAAAACTACCGGTACCTCGTTACATGTTATTGGGATTTTATTGAAATAATTCACATAAATAAATTATCAATCATATTCTCTGCACTAATTCATATACAATTAAATTACAATTTAATGACATATTCTGCTGTATGTATATTTTATTTGGCACAATAAATTGCACGTTATAAAGTATTCCTGAATTATGTGATTAATGTGTTAATTTCTAAAACTAGAATATATTATATAAGAGCTGGGGAGTATCAAAAGGAGGGTGTCATAAATCTATTATTGTTAATTTCATGATGCTCCCACCCGAATTTGAAATTTTATCCCACCCTCAGGATTGACAATTACCATAAAATATTCAGTTAGAAAATCATTTTATTTTCAAATTTTTAAGACATTTGCTTTAGTTTATATTGTATAATAAATAGTTTAGCATATATTATTATATTGATTATAGTGTTAACATACTTACAGTGTACACAATTTCTAAAATATTATATAAAAAGAACTGGACCCTTTGTCCACAAAACCTCAAATCCCTTTTAACAACATTAAATTATTAAAAAGTTTGTGAGACAAGTCCCCTTGAGCAATTACAATACAAAAGACTAAAAGTCATTGTGGACAAAATATTATTTGTTTTAAAAAAATAACCCTGATTGATCTAAAGCCTGCCTCTGACAGTTACAATTCCATGATGATAATTTCATGCAAGGTTTATTGGTGACAAATATTTCTAATCCAGTAATGCTCTTTGCATATGCTAATGAAATTTTCAGCTATTTTATTTGAGGGGCAAATGACGGTCATGATTTATTTTTTGTGTTGATAGCTTTTTTACCAGACAAAATATAATATATTGTCGTTCAATTTATTTTTTGAAGTACATGTACTTGTGTGTAAATGAATTAAAAAAAAAAATATTGGCTTGCCAAACCTTATCTTGTGGCTTCAACGTATATAGATACATATTTATGTCGTCTAATTTACTATATGACAGGTTACTGAATATAAAATTGCGGATTTAATTCTTTTAACTTCGCAACAGAAATAATAACTGTCTGTGACAGGTTTTATACAGATGAACTATGTGTAACAAATACATGTACCGGTTAATTTGTCAGATCAAAGTTCAAATGGAGATTCAACCATGAATGTACTAAAATATATATATACATGTACTGATAATTTCAACTGAAACCGATTGGAGGTATTAGGGCTATTATAATATATGATACAGCCATACACCGTGCACTTTAGGGCTGTTACAATAAAATGATACACTGAAACATCGTGTATTTTAGGGCCATTACGAAACATGTTATGTATTTTAGTGCTGTTGTTAAACAATACATTGTGTATTTTAGGACTGTTATGATATATTATGTATTTAATGGCTGTTATGATACATCATGTATTTTAGGGCTGTTATTAACAATACATTGATACATCATGTATATTGATAATTTCTTCAAAGTGATACAGACAACATAAGTGGTTATAAACTGAACATGCATCATAAGCATTACTTTGATATACCAATGCAATCACCCCCTAAACATCTGGTATGCAAACAGATAATTAGTGTTTATGTTCCACACAGCCAGAAAGAGACCAATCCAAAATATGGAGTTCTTTGTAGATCATGATGATCAGCATACACCAATTTCGTGGAGACTTTAATGTATATACATGGATATAATATAATAATAAATATGATAAAATACATTAAATATATATTTACTTATTATAAATATTTCTATATAATTGTGAACAGTGAATATAACATACATATATATATTAATTATTAGGCAGTAAATAATATTACTAATAATAGCGAACATCTGTGATTTGTAAAAAAACAACCTTTTGATTAGTGAGAATATTCCTTCTCTAAAACTGGATTTTCATTTCTGTAAAGTTTGTGTGGATATTTGTATTTTTAAAACTCCAGTTTGATATCTTATTCAAACTGTTGATTACTGAAACATATCTAATACATTTCGAAGAACCATAAGCAGACTGGATGTAAAATTTTAGGTTTCAGATTTAAAGTATAGTCACTAGTCAAACAATCCAAGCAAGATTAAAATTACAAAAATTCTGAAAACACTGACCAGTACATAAATTAAATAACTTCACAGATAAATGATGTGGAGCTATGGCTTTTGATCAGGTTCATCATTATGCCCAGTTAACAATTCCAGCAAGTTTGATAACAATTATTTAAAACACCATCTTATAAAGCTATTAAAATGGTTCGACTGCAGGGGCAATAACACAAAAAAAAAGAGAGTCCCAAAAGTCCCAGAAATTTATCTGCGGAAGCATTACAGGAAGTTGAAACAATAGACAGGCAAAAAGAATATTGTAGGAAGTAAACTGTCTGCTTATGGTATTTTAATGCAGAAGGTTATCCCTCTTATTAAAGAAATAAACAGATCATCTCTTTAATGTTTTGTACAAATCAGAAATATTTACTTCTAACTATAAGAGAGAGAGAAATGGGGTTTAACGTCCACTCGACACAAACTAGGTCATTTCGGGACTAACATATGGTTTTAATTTTATTTCAATAATTCGCTTGCGCGTAGGGGTCTTTAGCAGTGGGAGGAAACCGGAGAACCCAGAGAAAACCCACGAGGCTGGACAGGCGACCCTACTCCTTGTCACGTACAACCAGGGATTCGAAACCACGCCGGTTGACTCAATGACAGGTCTTATGATACAGCACGCACGTGCTAACCATTCGGCCATCCAACCCCCCTTCTAACTATAAAGAACACACAAGAGTCAATTTTTTCAGTCAAATGTAACTTAGTCAACTTGATTAAAAGCTCCGAGCTACATGTAAAATGAAAGAAACGAGGGACTGTATTTATGACACTTAATTTATTGCAAAAAGATATTTCTTGATAATTTATATGTACTTTAATCAGATTGAGATTATAGATACAGAGAATAATATATGAATCTGGAATTCTCGTCTCATTATTGATGAACATTTTTTGTTAACAAACTGATTCATGTGTACATTGCCATATAGCTAACTAATAATTAGTTTTTCCAACATTTGGCATTTATCATGGAATCTAATTAATATCATGGACCACTTATACTACTGGTACTAAATGACTAACATTATTTGTGGAGGATTGACTGCTAGGCTATACAAAAACATAGTATAGCAAAAATGTCCTTGAGTATGTGAGACTAAAAACATACAAGAAAAGATCATTTTGAGGTATGGTATGTGAAAAGTTAATGGATTTCATAGTAAGATGCCAACTTTTCATAAAATACACTATCAAAATTCACAGTAATATTAGACCTTTATCATAATTATTTCTATTATTTTACTTAAAATTGTAAGCTTTAACCTGATTTTTTTGTCAATTATACCCCTGACTGATACTAATTTTAAATGTACCCACTGATATTTGGCATTAGCTGACAAATGTGTTTCAATTACAAGTTATTGGGTATTTGGTCCATTTCTTTGGCCAAAGGTTGGTTCTTTTTCATTATGTTCTGCTTGAAGCCTTATACAAATGACTCATGGACTGAAAATACTACATCAATATCAATTGCAGACTATACAAATTCTCTTAAATTTTCTACATAACATATCAATACACCAAAACTGCTGGTTAAAACTATTGTGAATGGCAGTGTCAAGCACGTGAGTTAAAAGCAAACATATTCAGTCTTATAAAATTTGATTTGATTTTAGTTTCTTATTTTATTTCAATTTACATTAGGGTATACAAATTGAGATTTTTAAAATAACTACTAAACCCTTTTGATTTTGTGTAAAAAAATAAAGTGTTGGTTTAGTAAGGTTTGATGTGTTGTTTATATTGTGGAGGGGGTGGGGCGTCTATCTGCAGTTAGAATTTTATGTCCACATATCAAGCCAATGTTCAAATAAATGAATTTGTGTTCAACACAGTTTGAAGCCAAAACCAAACTAAAATTAGTAAACAAATTGTCTTAATATTAATTGACACATCAAATCAAACCAATGCAGCACTTTATTTTGACCTTAATGAAGAGAGGTTTAGCTCCTGTATATAAATTAAGAAAGCTCTCCTATAGGTGCACTGTCTAACCATAGCTGATGTATAAACGTATACAGACTGGAACTTACTGACACCTGAAATGTACAATAAAAACAAAATGAGTCACCCCCCTTTACTCTTCTCAAAACATAGGTCGCCATAGTAGAAAATTCTTACTTACAAATGATAACTTTGGAAATAATTATTCTATCTTCTTCTCACTAAACTGATCTGATTATAGGCAATTTCACGAAGATTATCAATTTCTGTCTGGTGTATTCACTGATACAAAATATATGACCTTTTTATAAAAAGTGGTCATTTCGGGACTAACATATGGTTTAATTTTATTTCAATAATTCGCTTGCGCGTAGGGGTCTTTAGCAGTGGGAGGAAACCGGAGGACCCGGAGAAAACCCACGAGGTTGGACAGGCGACCCTACTCCTTGTCACGTACAACCAGGGTTTCGAAACCACGCCAGTTGAATCAATGACAGGCTTAATGATACAGCGCACATGTGCTAACCATTCGGCCATCCAAGCCCCCAAATTTGTATTCAACTAACCAGGAGACCTGACTCATCATTGAAAATTTTGAGCAATAATGATATTAACCAATCACAATGGCTATCATTAGACTTCAAAGAGAATATAAAATTGATAGAGGTAGTTAGATTTTCATGTCAAACCGGACAACCAAAATTAAATTCGGAATGAAATAAAGATTAAGTTTTAATAAAATCGATAGACATTTATAAACATTTTATTTTAATAGTGTCAACTTCTGAATTATTATAAACCAAAATAGGATACATATGTGATTATTTACCTTATAAGGAGTTGGATTGAGGGCTCGTTTGTGGTCCTGTCGTATTGTTTGTAGTGATTTCATGGCTTTATCTCGTAGTTCTTTTAATGTGGGTAAATGTTGTTGAATCTACATAAAACAAATGAAAATGTTCCCAAAAAACATATCATATTGCAGATATTATTAATTCAAACAAGCCAACAGTGAAGCCGATGTTCCCCGCCGCAATCTCCAAATAAATAGATGTCACAAATTTATTAATTGTATCTATACTTAGCCCGAGCAGAAAATTGTCATCATCGAACATAGTCATGGTATTGATGTAATGAAACTATACACCAAGTTTCATCACTCTCAAGATATTGTGACACAAAGCAACGACCATTGAAATTGCTTATCTTCGAAAGGTGGGGGAAAAATAGTTCTGTGTCATAGCAATCAGATGAAAAAGAGAATCATCAAAAGATTTTACCAAACAATTATATCATAGGTAGAAGATGCCAAATATTGGAAAATGTTCATTTCATCATATATTTGTAAATACTGAACAGAATTGAACTGATATTTATTTTATAGATTCAACTTTCACAATATTGTAAATTGTAGTTCCAAATAAGCTCCTTTAATAAAACCCTTCAAAATAGCGTTTTATCTTCATTACTCTTTAAGGAACCAGCCTAAATTATTCAACTTCCTAGATTACCTTGCCATTTTTCCAGTAAACTTTATGTAGAACTTGAACAGATGCTGGACTGACATAAGCCCTCTTTGATTCTTGGAATGGATGCCTGCATAGAGTTCTCTCCCTTGGTGATGGTGGTGGTTCATCTTGTTGATTTATTAAATCTACCAGAGCATTACCTAACAATAAATAACACAAACAAATGATAATTTATTGTATGTAAAGAATATCATTGCTGAAAAATCATGATGAACTTTCTCATCCAAACCCGGAATCGAACACAGGACCTCTTACTCACTGAGCCACGACATTTCCCAGAGACATAATTAAGACTATGTACCCAGGGCTTGAAATTCGTTTTTTCGATCGAAGGCCAACTTTGAAACAATAATCGCCATATCATGGAATTCGCTAAATTGGAGATACCCGGATGTGTAAATAATTCAGAGTTTTTCCCCTTTCAGAATTCGTCTGCTCATTATTTATAAATGATATAGCAATGATGGATGACAAAAACGTTTGTATTTCTTCTTTCGGAATCAAGGCTGTATTTTTTTAATAATAATAAACAATTTGCGAATTTGTGATAACAAGCTCTTTAGGCTATTACATTTTCTTTAGTTTTTGCACACGAATCGACAACGATTTGTCCACCATGTTGGTATTTGTCGCGCTCACGTACGCAATGTTTTGAATCGACTCGTGCTCTTTTTATTTTGGTTCCTGCACATACATAGGCCTATCAATGGTATTTCGTCATTCGGAACCAAGGCTACATTATTTTAACAATTTATACGTAATATGAGACAGTTTATTATTAATTAGATGAACAAAAACATCGTATGGTTTGACTTTAAAACACGTAATCCATTCTTCATTACGATCGTGAAAATAAGATTGTTTCGATACCGATTATCGATAGTAAAAATAACTCTCGATACCAAGCACTAATCGGCGACCATACATGGCCGTGGATAATTAAAAATCGGCCATGAATCTGCGGCCAAATTCTAAAATTCGAAGGCCATGGCCGCCGAGGCCACCGGCAGTGTCGAGCCCTGTATGTACCATTAGTATATTTAACAATGTTACACTATTTGATATTCTAAATTGTGCAAAGCCTTCAAACTTGATAAAACAAAAAATTTATTTTGTCCCATTGAGTTTCTTTTTGACAGGTCTTTATCACATCCATGAGATCCATTTTTCCATCTGAAATGAAAAAATCTAACCCTTTCCCAATTTCTCCAAATGCATTAAAATAAAATCTGAACACAAACCATCACAACCATATAATCTGTAGGCTACTTTACGTCCTGGTATGGTAACTTTCTCCATATCTTCACTTAATTTAATACGAGCCTTCTTGTTGATTTCTACTAACTATAAAAACAAACATTTTAAGTTTCATTTAATTGTATTCTTTCAAATAACTTTCAGGAGGGTTTGATGTCTGGGTGATTGAATGAATGATCTTTAAATCAAGTGTAGCTAACAGCTTTATTTACACTAATTGCTCTTTCCTACTTGTCACCTTTTGGTTTGGAATGTCTTAAATTTCATTTAATCTTATTCTTTCAAATGGTGAGTGATCTACTGAATACCTGTATCTTTAAATCAAGGGTAGCTTTATTCACTCTAATGGCTCTTTCTGGCCTGTAACCTTTGGATATGAGCTGTCTTTTAAAACAAATTAATAGAGAAAGAAAATAAACTCACCTTAAATACACAGCCTAAAGCTGGTTGTTTCTGACATGTTACTAAATGGGTTCCAATTCCAAAACTATTGATTTCATGTCCCTGAAATTAAAAACAAATAGAATCTTAAAGAAAAGGGCATAACATATGGATAATATTCTGATTTGGCCATAAAACAATTAAAAAATATTTTCATTGTTTTAAATCGCTATATTTATTCAAGTAAACTTGGTTTCAATATTTCCTGAATAAAAAAAAAGTGTTTAAAAAGGGATGAGTTGTTTACAGTTTGACCTCAATCATGTACTCTGACTTGGTCTCAGACAATATGTATATGACAGCTTTAGACCTATCAGGTATCTAGAATGTCTTTGTGCACTGATTTGTGCCCTGGTTTATTTGCGATTCATAAGAAAACCTGGGTTGTTTTAATCATACTAATATTAATAAAATATTGATGAAAAGAAAAATCCGTAAATAATGTACTTTAATGCTAGCTCTACATATGGCTGTATTCACAAACAATCTCCCTTATTATAAAGTATTGATAAATAATAATACAAGTATACTTTAATGCTAAGGCTTGCAAATACATGTCTAAACGAAACAAAGTGTTCCATCTTAAATAGCTTTATTAAGCCCAATGGTGTATATAGCAACAATGCCTTGTCAACACTGAGTTCGGTTGCACAAATTGACAGTGATACAAAAATAAATTTAAAGTTTATACCTGTTGATTTAAGGAATGTATGGTATCTTCATTTATATCATTACTAGCCACAATAATCAAATCTTTAAACCATTCTACATCAAATCTGAAAATATTACAATACAGATCAATTCACCACACAACAAGGAACAGCAATACTCTCTACTCTCTATATTAACCCTTTCACTGCGTATACCTGGTAGCACCGGGTATTATAAAATGTTGGTAAAATGCGCGTACCCGATATTACCGTGTACTCTAAAGCCCTTGCTAAAATTAGTACCGTAACTGCAAGTGCCATCTATTGTATTTTCTATACACTAGAACATATTTCCACGTGTTTCAAAGCGGCAAACCATAAAATGGCGGAGTGCATAGTGACAACGTAGACTATGCACTCTCGACGAAGTCGTGAATGACGTCTTGCTGACCAACACGTGGACAATTTCGAGGCGGGTGATACACATAATTCGTTTCCAGTTACTTGATAATGATAGTAGTCAGGACAGTGATTGGTATTATGAAGTGTGTGATTTGTTGCGCGACGTTCCGCCCATGGCTAGCTATGTCTCCCGTGCATGATGAACAAGCCCAATGTGAACACGATAGCCCTGTGTCTGCAGTAGATTCTGACAATAATTCTGATGTTGATAATAATGCTGGCCTGCTGGATCGTAAAAGACGTAGGCAATTCCTGAGTCCCGAACATGTAGATCTATTGACTGACTATATTGATAATGATATGGGACTTGGGAATGAAAGTGAAAGTGAAAGTAAAAACAAGGTATTGCAATCCGCATGTGCTCATGGCAGCGGGAGACGTGATGCACGTGTTCGTGGCGGCATTGCTCATGACTGCTATTGATATTTTTGTTCATTTTATATATCTTTATCAAAATCCAGTGAAAAAAACAATATCTTTTAAGTATTTCATGGAGAAAAATTCGTTTTCGTGTTAGCTTTAGTGAGAAATGAGAAATCCAAAATGGCCGCCATGACGTCACGTGACTACATTATTATGCAAATTTTCAAAATTCTATTTTTTCCTCTTAGCCCAACTTCATGCCCATCCCAACACACAAAAAGATTTTTCATAAAAGCTTCCATAAGTACTGCTTGGCATTAAGTTCCAACCTCCCTTTTTTCCTCAAAAAAGGGTCTAGCACAGGCAGTGGATTTACGTCTAGCATTGAAAGGGTTAATAATTGAAAGTGTGAATTTAGCCCATTTAGGCTGGTGTGTTCGGGCATCTTGAAACATGTTTTATAAACTTATGATCTGCATTTTTTAGAATAGTATGGAGGTTAACATATACCCAAAGTTTAGTGGTGGGGGTGGAGGAAGGCTCATCTTTTTATAGGCCCCTCCAATACCACAATGTACATATTTGTTAAACCCTCCACCCGAACGTAATTTAAAATGGAAAAGCCATTAGGAGTAGTTTCTCCAGAAGTAATTTTCATACTGAGAGAATCCATGAATAGATTTCTGTTCTAAATGTGCAGAGTTGCCTGAGAAAATTCCCCTCAGAGAGAGAGAGAGAGAAATAGTGTTTAACGTCCACTCGACACAGACTAGGTCATTTCGGGACTAACATATGGTTTAATTTTATTTCAAAAATTTGCTTGTGCGTAGGGGTCTTTAGCAGTTGGATTAAACCGGAGGACTCGGAGAAAACCCACGAGGTTGTACAGGCAACCCTACTCCTTGCCACATACAACCGGGAATTCGAAACCACGCCAGTTAACTCAATGACAGGTGTCATGATACAGCACGCATGTGCTAACCATTCGGCCATCCAACCCCCCAAATTCCCCTCAGGAAAGTGCTCGATGAGATTATCTGTGTAGTCTACAATTGTTCACACAGTTGATTACTGAATTCCATATTTAACCAGTTAAGTGGTCAACATCCTCAATTTGAATTCGGACAATCAAATTTTCTGAAATTCTCATGTCCTGGGATATTATAATAGTCATTATAACTGAGAATAAAAATATTCGTAAATTAGACTTTTCTGTTAATACATAATACATAGTTTTGTCTTGTAAAATTCTTTATAGAATTGTAAAATATTCAAAATATCTTACGCCTTAGCAACTTTTGTATAAATACGACGAACATGAAGAGACTGGTAAGCCAAGTCTCCACTATCTAATCTAATACCCTTTGGTGTATAGCCACATTCATTTAATGCCATAGCAACAGTACAAAAGTTAGGTAAACCACTCCTGAAATTATAAAAATTTACTTAACAAAATATGGAAAATTTTAGAAAATAAATTACCGGGTCTTATTTCATGAAAGGGAAGTAACTCTTGTGACAAATTTACTTGTCGTGTGACCGTATGGTGGTACAAAACATGTTTACGACATAAGAATTTAACTAGCTTCTAGCCAAATACCTGCATTTTTGCAGATTTGATGTTGACATATAGTTAATAGCAAAACTGATAGAACTATAATAAAAGAAGACATTAGAGTAAACCTAGCCATAGATGATAGAAGTGAGGTGATTATATACAGTGTTAAAATGCATTGAAGTAACACTAGAATCATACGATGTCACGGAAAGGTCTGTCAAACCATGGTGACATGATGCTGAGTATTTCTACCTCATTTTACTGAAGAGTTAGGAACTATGGAACGGTTCTCAGTATCCTCAACAGATTTTGGCTATGTTTTTAATTATTTCTTACCGTATGACATCATATGTATCTATAAGAGCAACAAGATTATCAGGAAAAGCTTGAGCATAAGATATAAATGCTGCTAATTCACCAGGTTGAACTTGGTCAGCTAAAAAATCTGGTAATCAAAAAGAAAAATATCCTTTTAAACATCAATCAATTTTTCCCCCATCAGGATAGATGATCAATTTTATATTTTGGCCCAGGTTCAACTATATACATTTATGATGTTAATCTAAAGTCACTGATACCATTCGTGCATTTTTCAGACAATATTGAATATTTTTCCAGGCTTAATCCATGCTAAATAAAAATTGTACTAAAATTGATTATTGAACATTTAATTAAGGAAAAAAACAAAATATCAAAGGTAGATCACGTCCTGGCTTGGATTCAATTGGATTAAAAAGAGGTGCCTCAAAAAATTGACCTTACACTATAGGTTGGGCTACCTGGTTTATATCATCTTCTGAGAGGCTAAATTCATCATATTGAACCATTTTTGGCCCAATATTTGCAAGATATTCAAAATCCCTCAAATAACGATCTACAACTTTAATACGGGTAGCTTCAAATTGTCTCTCAAATTAAAACTGTGAGGAAAAGTATTCACCTATCACAGATGTCAGCTTTGATTGCCATTTTAAACAAATATCTACAAAATCTACTTTCTCGGTACTATTCTTCTTAGTTAGAGTCTGAAAAAAAAATATACAGAATTAGGGTTGGTTGTTTCATTGGTCTACCCTATTCCTATGTCGATTAATCAAAAACTATTATCAAGCCAACTTTGTAGACCCAAGTAAATCATTCAATTGTATTGGTTATCTGACATTTCAATAGAAAATTCTAACAAGAGACAGCAAAAAAAAAAAAATCAGTTGCTAAAGAGAAAGTATAGAAAGGTTACCCCATCCGTCAGTGGTTGTCCGTCCTTCTCATACAATATGATTAAAACACAGATCCTAGTTCATTTCGTTTTTTATAGTTCAATATTTCGTTTTACTTGTCTTTTCTACACTAGGATCTGGAAGAGTTGTTATATTACCGGGGCGTTTTGCTTGAAGTGAGGCGTAAGTCAATGAAACAGTCTGTTGCAGCGACTTCTTGGTGTGCCATGCACGGAACTGTGGGTAAACCACTAGAAACACCAACGCTGATTGATTGATCAATGTCTGACGTCATAGGGTCAAAAGCTGCTCGTACGACCCCTAACACGACCTTCAAGTACAACTTGTCAGATCTTCATGTAGTGTAGGCCATCGAAAGTAAAATACAAACGAAACGAAATATAGATCTGTGTTTTAATCAGATTGCCTCTCATAAAACTGACAAATAAAACAGATACTTAGGATAATGTGCTCCACAATGAATTTTAAAATATTTACCCTTATAGATATATCTTCTAATGAGACATATGATGTAATAAAAGCATGTGCATGAGTTCCACGCACTGGAATACCAAACATCTTGCCAGCAAGAACATTACTACTTCCATCAAATCCTGAAAATAATCAAATCACTAGAATAGAACTCTAGCCATTGCACAAAGCGCTGCACATTCTATTCAAATCAATGCTTTTCTAATTATGTATTCAAATCATTGCCTTTCTAATTATGTATTCAACTTACACTGTTTACAAAATATGGACAATAGCAAGATATCATAGTGACTGAGAATGAAGAATATTGCCTAGGCAGCATTCTCATTCATACTCTTTAGAGTTCATGTCACATTAATTTGTACACAAGACTTTGGTTTTGTGTTTCGTCCCCATTAAAAAAAGGGTATTCTGGGCCTGAAAATTCTTAAGAAGTGTCCAGAGCCAAAAGAATCCCTTGATCCCAAAATTCAAATCACAGACATTTGAGTTGAGATTCCAGAGTCCTCACCATGCTACTTATGGTGGACGGCAAGTTATCGATAGCAGTATTATTATACCAAATCTAACTTACCTCCCATATAACAATATCTTGATGCAGATAAACCACCATCAGGACCCTGGGCTCGTCGTAAACCAAATTCTAATAATGTTGTGTTAGGATTGGCTGCTATACGGAACCTCATAGCATTAGTAGCCACTAAACTAAATAATAAATACTATCATTTAGGACAGAAAATGAAATTTGGTTTATTATTCTATTTATCTGATGATGATGAGTTAGTTGTATTTTACGTCCGCTTCCACCGAGGTGATATCGCAGACAATTCTATTTATCTGCAATAACTGAGCTAATATATGTCATGCAAGCAGCTATGAGGGAAATATTGACCCAATGGTGGTACTAAAGCCTATTCTTTTTTTGATTTCCAACTGTCAGGGGATCTGCCATGCTGCCAAATGTACTACTACATGGAATTTCATATTTTTGTCTCAGCCAAACAACTAGACACATTCCCTTGCCATGCCTTTCATCTTTAACACTATCAGGCTGGAAAATCCTGAAGAACTTTCCATTAGGACAACAAATGATAGCCAGAAAGATATAATGGCTGCCTATGCAGTTTAACACATACGATTACAACAAATAATTAGTTTAACTAACATTCTCATTTTATGATCAGGAATTTTATACATGGTTTATATTTATTTTTTTCAGTCTGATAGTATTACGTACCTAGCATAATTAACTAAATTTAATAATGGAGTTTCTATAAGTTGCACAACTGGTAGAGGCCCTTCTATCATTATTAATGGTACTTTAGGAAATACTATCTCTCCTTCATCTATAGCATAAACAGTTAATTCATCTGTAGTTAAATTCTTCAAATAAACAAAAAATTCTTCCTCTATTGATGGTGATAAAACAGATCTTAGATATTCAATATCTGAAATAAATAATTATCGAAGTGTCAAGCTAGAATAGTTTGTCATCATGAATCATACTAATTGTTAAATATGCATATAATTTTTAAATTCTAACTAACAAAGCTGAGGTGCTTGCAATATTTTGGAATAATTTACAATGATTTATCCACAGGCAATTGAAGGGATTAAAATAAAACTTCTTACTACTGCTTGACTAGTATTACTAATAACACAAGGTGTATCACCCGACATATTGTTTTGGCTCGTTGGAAGATATTTCGAAGATACGAATAGCCAAGTGATAATGCTTCAAGTTTGATTTGTAATTAATAATGCTGTAAAATGACCAATTTAATTACACTGGAAGGTGTATAATGATTAAATAAAGTCTTGTTAGCAATAAAAATGATGGGAAGTATTAGAACTAGTGAGTATTGTGAGATGATAGCAGACGAAATATCTTCAACGATTCAAAACAATATGGTGGGTGATACTAGTCAAGCAGTAGTATGAAGTTTTCCTTCAAGTGCCCGTGGATAAATCATTGTAAGAAGTTTTATTTTAATCTTTTCAAGTGCCTGTGGATTTATCTCCCCATAAGATCACTTATTGTAAACAATTATTATTTTGTTTACCAAAGACTTAACGAATTGTATTTCAAAATTTTTAAATCTAATCTGCTGATTCATTGGTGAGATACATGTAGATACATGTACATGTTTTAAATTTCTTTTTGTCTGTAAGCAGTATATTCATATTAATAATATTAATAAACAGCCCAGCTGCACTACAGACCATATCGTATTTCCAAAGAATGAAAAATAATACTTTTTTACCGTATACCTGCTTACTTACCACTATCTGAGAATTTAAAATTTTGGACAAACTTGATACATTCCTCTAAACCAGCAAATACTGTAAATTCTCCATGGAAAGGATTTTTACGGAAATACAGATCAAAAACAGCTGTATCAAATTGTTTACCACTCTTCCAATAAGAATAAGCCATTGTTATTTGATATAAATCTGAAAAATAAAATATAGATGGTAAAGATGGTACAGATAATGTGAAATGAACATGTTGTTCAAAATTAGGAATAAGAATAAAATAAAGTAAATTAAGTCATCATCAATGTATTTTATGAGTTGAAGTAATCCGAAGGTTAGCAACATTCTACTCTTAAATGGTCATGTAACAACACTGAATTATACAAAAATTATGATTGAACATTTAAGTAATAACACTGTTTAAAGGAACTAAGTCTTTTTTCTTTGAAACCTGAAATGGACGAATATGGCATATGAATGTAATATGAGTGTATATAAACTGAATTACACTGAATTTTTCAACATAATGTTAAATTATATGGCAATCGCTCGCACTTGGTTAATGCAGTCTACATTTCACTTACTCACTGAGGTTTATAGCCTCGTTCATCAAGGGACCTCATTACTGTCATATACTCCTTTACTAAACCAACTTATTCATATTATTAAGGAATAGTGGTCTGAAACCTTCTTGAGTTCTTTAAAAAAAAAATTGAGTTACTTCCCTTGATTAATAAAAGGCTTTGATCCTTGATGGAATTCTGGGATGGAGTGAAATGTGAGATGCCTTTTTTTAATTAGTCCTTCTGATTGTCATAAACAATCCAGGCCATCTTGTGGCCTATACACCCCAATACCACATGGTGGAGATGCCAAACTCTCATTTCTAGTATGTAGAATCCAAAGAACTAGTTTACAAGTGATATTTTTGATTTGTTGCCAAGAATTGACTTGTGATGTGAGGAGCACATGCACATGTTTTGAGATTCAGACCCCAGTTTGTGGAGCATGTTCTCCCCTAGGCGTACGGGCTCGATTACAGTTAGGGGGTCAGAACCCGAAATGCCCGAAAAAATTTCGGGTGTACAGACAGCGGCGCCGATCTTCCTCGAGAGGCGAAGAAGCAGAGCTCCCCTTGTATTGTACCCCCCCCCCCCCACAAGAAAATTTGTGAATATTTGACGGCTGCAAACATAATTTCCTGCTATTTCAGCCCGTCAACAAAGCAACTTCAAAGTGGTCTATTATAGCCTAATTAAGATGGCTGACTCGAATTCCAATCAAAAGATCAATCGTTTACAGTCTACGGAGACGGGACCGTTCGGAGAAAATTTTGAAAATTTAACAGCTGCATACGCGTTTTCCTGCTATTCCAGTCTGTGAATACAGCAACTTCAATTTGGTCCAATATAGCCTACCTGGCTGACCCGAATTCCAAACAACCAATCAATCGTCGCGGGGTATGGGGAGCCTCACCCTCCCGGAGAAAATTTTGAAAATCTAGCCACCACAAATGTGTTTTCGGCTATTCTAGCCCATGTAAGCAACTCCAAAAATAGTCAATGGTTTTGTAACCGAAATCCCATTCTAAATTCCAACCATCCAATCAGACTGTTGCAGCTGCATTCACAAATAATAATCGATGCTCGAAAAATGTCGCACAAAGTAGAGTGGCTCCAGACAAAATGTTTTAATCCATAGTCAACTCAGTACAAATTTGTGGTATTCAATTAAAAGAAAAGTAAAATTAGTGTTTTATTAGGGCTCAATGACAGTTAGGGAAGAAAAACTAGAAATGCCCGAAAAAATTTCAGGTTTACAGACAGCGGCGCCGGTTTTCTTCGAGAGGTGAAGAAGCAGAACTGACCTTATATGGACCCCCGAAGAAAATTTTGGAATATTTGACAGCCGCAAACGCATTTTACTGGTATTCCAGCCCGTAAAATTAGTGTTTTATTAGATTTCGGGCACTTTATTTGAAATAAAATTTTTTTTTCACTTTACCCTTCTGCCCGAAAAGTCAGCTTGCCCGAAAGTTAGGGGGGCAGCTGCCCCCCCTGCCCCCCTGGCTCGTACGCCTATAAGTTCTCCCATCATTTAACAGATTTTGGGAAACTGTTTTTATTCTGAGAACTACAAATACATCAGAACTTGACCTAGTGAGGCCTGATAAACTTTATTTGCATGAAATTAGTCATTCAGCTGATATTTGGGAACCTTTATTTTCTGAGGACTACAAATTCATAAGACTTGAAATAGTGAGGCCTGATAAACTCTATTAATTTGTGTGAAATTAAAATCCAGCCTAAATTGCTTATGTACAGACCCAAAGACATTTCAAATAATCCAAATGAATAATAAGACTTAGTAAAGACTTAGTTAAATCCATACACATGTAGGCCTAACCTAATGGAAGATCTGTTTTGACATGAGTGTGCCAATTTTCCCATGTTAAAGTGTGGATGCCTAGAACTCTAACTAGCCTAGATCCAATTCATTCATAGTGACATAATTAATGTAGTATAGGCTACAGTGTTGTACAGTGACAATCTTGAAATCAAATTTGCTGTCTTGTGACTGTGTTGTTGTAGCCTACAAGTGACATTATTTCAACTCAAGTTTGCTGTCTTGTGTCCTTGTGAACTTTCACTGAAGTCTGATGTATAAATCAATGACTTTTATCCCTAAAAGAGACAATATTTTTTTTCTTGTTTTGCTAATTGATGTTTTCCATGTTTACAAGATGCATTTCTTTCTTTATTGTTTAAACTTGTAATCATGCTGATTTGTCTTGCTCACAATTATTTTGATAATTAGTTGCTCATACTGTAGTGAAACGAATTAATCAGGGTTAATCATATTCTATGTTTAGACAAAATTGTAAACATTTTTTAACTATTTTGCTTATTTTGTATACAATTATGGCTAACCGTCGGAACGAGGTTGTTGAACGCAAGAGACCTACTGTCATTTGATAGATTTGATGGATCCGTATTAAATAGATATCTGGCCACTGCCCATTTTTTTATCTTTCGAAGATTACCTTGAGTACTCTGATGAGATGAATCCTCAGACAATTCTTGCTATCAATAAGATGATAACCGCAAGATTGTAGATAGAGGAGAAAATATTCCGAAGTCGTGAAGATTTACGCACACAATTTATTAATAGATTCTCCGAAAATAAGTCTTCATTTGGTTTACACCAAGCCTATTCCTCATTCACTTATGACACTGCTATCACTCCTGCAGAAAATTTAGAACGCTTGGTGAAATTAGCTACTCAACTTGGACTTGGAGTAGGTCGCACCCAACTCAAACATAAATTTGTTTCAATCCTCCCTACAAACTGTCAACAAGTCGTTGCCATGTCAACGAATGACACAACTAATTTGAATGACATCACAACTAAAGTTCAGTGTTTCTTTGATATAAATAACCCTGACAAAACAGTAAATCCTAGTAAGGAGGTATCCTTCTATACGTCTTACACCCCAATACCACATTACAAATCACTCTTGAGACTATAGAGCAGTGATTCTCAACCAGTGTGCCGTGGCACACAGGTGTGCCAGGAGATCTTCCTAAGTGTGCCGCGAAATTTTGAACGCACACTAAGAAAATGCAAAAAAACACTTGATCCTAATTAAGTATTCATTGGTGTTATTTAGTTTCAGTCATTCTGTCTATGGTTGTATGTGGTCTATGACTTGCCATGTTTTTATTTTGCAAAATTCTAATATTTTTCATATATATTTAGCCAGGTGTGCCGCTATTTTTTTTCATGTGTTCCATAGAGAGAATTGTTCATTGCATCTTAAATATTTGTTATCAGGAGCCCATATTCTCACGGTAAGATAACAACATCAATATTAATTGGAATGGACCAATAATTCCTTTCTGTAATGTCAAAGACTGTGGATAATATTGATTTAGAGCTTTACACCCTTTAAATACAATATAACTTCGTGTAATGGAGTGATATGGTGGAGAATTGCCACAGAACACTGGTTATCATTCCAGGCTCCAGCTTACATGAGTTGAGCAAAAATTTCTATGCTTGAGCAGAATAAATACAACTATTTCATCTGGAAAGATAGTGTATGTATTTCTAGTCAAGTGGATATTCAATACATAGTGAATTCTATTGAGATAATAAATGAAAATTCATAACAGGAAATATTCAAGTAAACTCTGAATCTGAAAGTAGAACAGACATCTACATTAAGTTTACCAGGAATACAATATAACTTCTTGTAATGGAGTGATATATTGGAGAATTGCCACAGAACACTGATTATCATTCCAGCTTACATGAGTTCAGCAAAAATTTTTACTGCTTGAGCAGAATAAATACAAATATTTCATCTTGAAAGATAGTGTATGTATTTCAAGTCAAGTGTATATTCAATTGTGAATTCTATTCAGATAATAAATGAAAATTCATAACAGGAAATATTTAAGTCAACTCTGAAACTGAAAGTAGAACAGACATCTACATAAACTTTACCAGGAATCGTATTTGCAACAATAAATGTGACCATAACATCTGGATCCTAGACATTTAATTGATTATTCATCATTCTGCATATACCGTATCAATAATAAATCAATAAAGCCATGATTATAATTTCCACTGCTGTAACTGTGAATAATTATTTAATTATGTCATTGACCCTATCCTATAATTCGGGTAGCCTAGACCTACATACATGATGTTACATGTAGGCCTACCGGTAGTTGGGGTATCTCAAGGTACCGGTACTCAATGTCCATTAAAATTACAAAATACTTACATCTTGGTAAATAATAAAATGAAAATATACAAATTTTTACTAGGCCTATAGCTGGCACCAACACATGCTAGAAATGCTGTGTCAGTGTATGCATGTGAGTTAACCCAAGTAATTAGTAATTAAATTCAAACTACAGACTTTTTAATACAATCACAAACTTGACATCAAACCATTTTATTATTACCCAAAAGAATGAAAGCTATGCTAATGATTTTTACCTGTGAGTAAGGCCTGGATAATACCATTTTGTTTATTATCGCCGTTATATTGAGATGAACTTCTAACGGGTTCTGTTTGGGAAGCCATTATTGGGAAATGCACCAAAGTAGACTAATCTTCCAGTCCTTGAAATACGTTCATAGGTTTCTTACTGGATAAAAATAGCTTTGGATTTATACAATATCGACACCGGAATATTATTTTGCAATAAAATAACTAAATATAATCAAATTACCTTTTATGGTGTAATTTGAAGTTACTGGATTTATAATTGTTTATATTTTACTTTTTAAGAGTAAAACTATATAGAAATTATTAATTCAATTATTGTTTCTACTTTTCGTTTCACAAAATTCCAAACAAGACCAAATTCATCTCTATTGTTGAAGAGCAGAAAATTTTCAGAATGGTTTAAGAGATTGAATGCTCTATTTTTTCATTCAGTGTGAAAGAATGCATTCATCGGACGAAAACTCCACGGATGATTCAGACTGTGGAAATGTCAGCTACTGTGAGATGGAAAACGACAAGGATGATACTCAGTAAGTCTATCATTGCTTTTCAATTACCGGTACTGTCTGTCTCATAACTATGAGTGACTGAGTAAGTAACTGAGAAGTGAGGGCACTAGCCAACTAGGTTATTTATAGTAAAATTCTACTGGAAAATAGTGTTGAATTATTATAAATTTGTGTCAACTATGGTGAGAAATGATTCCTTTTGGCGAAAATAAAGAATCACTGTGAAAAATAGAAGGTAAGAGTTCCAAAATAGCCTAAGAACATTGGAACAGGAAGGGAAGCTGCAGTAGTTTATGATATTTCCATATTGCTATATTGGGATGGATCTTTCGATTTTCTCCAATACTGAACCATAAACAATTCTAAAACCATCAATTAATTTGGGGTTTGCTTAAAACTGATTTCACAAAAAAAATATTCCCCACAATTGAAACGTCCATAATTTTCTTAATAAATTCATGTAAAGTCATATTTTAAAAGGTCATTTTGTGGATGGATTGATTGAGAATACTGGAGGTTTATTTTAGCTAATTTTAAAATTATTATTATATTAGTAAAAAGACAAACTGGTGCCACAAAAAGGTGACAGGAACTAAACGATCAATTGTGCTCGACAAAGCCCGTGACAGACAGGTGTCATAATTCCAGACTTGATTTTTACTGACGTCCGGATAGTGCTATTTTGGGATTATCTGAAAAGTTATCAACATTTCAATTCTGTCTTTTTAATTACTTTTTCAGAAATATATCAAAGAATGATGCAGTTCTTAATTTTCTAGCCATCTTTAGCTTTAGTTTATTCATCGGCCTTTTTCTACTTCAAGCCAATATAGCGTGGCGATCATATCAGGTTGGTTTGTAAGCTGGATTCCTATTAATTAGACCCCTTAAGTGTGATAATTTTCTAATACAGTAAACAGAAACTTTTCTCAAAGATTGATTGTGGCTCAACAGAGATGAATCAGTATTGAGAAAATATGTTAGTCTTATTGCATTCCTTTACTATTTTATTATTTAGCCTAAATTATCTGTTTAAATTGAGCTGGTTAACTCAATTACCTGTGTTATTTCAAGGTGTATTGTTTAATTCATAACTGTTATTTTTTCTGCATTTCAGTCTTTAAATTACCTATCAGGAAGACGTTCACCCGAAGATGTTCTGGAGATGTATTTTGATTACAATGTTTGGGGTCGTGATATGAACGGTGTGGATCTGAAAGTGAATACCAGTATATTTGTTCACTGAGAGAGACTTGAACTTTGATCTGAGATAGATAAAAACTACATGCAACTGCTGATTTAATAGATCCAACATATGAGAATAAATTAAAAGGATGTATTCAATGTAAAGTAGTGGACAATTACTAAAAATAATGATCATTTGGAGTTGATTTTGTAATGCCATCTTAAATTAGCAGTAAAGATAAAATAATTCTGAATCCATTCCAATCGAAGCTAGGAAATTATTCATACATTTTTGTGCTTGGATCATCTTGGTCATTGCAATAAAAAGTATAATACTTTAAATTGGTATATATTGCTGACTTTTTAGATATTTCAGGGCAATCTTACATACATGTATTATTTTGTCTTAATGGCACTTTGTGTTGTGGTTTTGCATAAACTGACCTGCTGTAAAGGAATCTTAATTTAATCAGTTGTAGCTGTTCGGAATACAGATCAGATCAATCACTTTTAGAACTAAAGGTGCCAAAATAAAGGTTAAATATAGGATTTAAGAACATACTTAGTCAAAAGTTCTTTTATTTGACCCCCCCCCCCCCCCACATATTTTTTCTAAAAATGATGACAATCAAATAACTCAAACTGAAAGCAGCATTATGGAAGATCAGATAAAAACCAGACAGTTCTCGCAATAATAGTTTAAAAATACTAATAATGTAGCCTCGATTGTCATTGTTACCGTTGTTATGATAATAAACAAAGTCTCGATCATCCATTTTTACAGTTAATCATAAGCAGCCGTTGAACCGCAGATCAGATTAAAGTCTGTTTAAAATCTTATCCATCAGATGGTGTCGAGAGTTGATTATGGTCTTGTCATGTTAATAAATGTCTAATTAATAGTTTATAAAACATTTAAGGCCTAAAGAAAGACCTGCAATAGGCAGATTTAGCTCTTGTATAATGTATGTTTAAACATGCATTATGCAAGAGCCAAAATACGTCTATTGCGGGTCTTTCTTTAATTAACTTATCACGACCATAATCAAGTCTTGATGCCATCGTTAGCCTGCGATATTTAGTGGATCTGAGTATGTTTTTTGATGGATGATTTGACGTTAAAATGGATAATTAGGACTTTGGTTATTATCGTACGAACAGTAGTAATGAATCGCTAATATCTCGGTTCAGAGTGAAGCAATTTGACTGAAATTGTCAGCATATTATCTATTTTTTAACTATTATAGTGAGAACTGTCAGCTCTTTATCTTATCTTACCTAATTCTCCTATTTAAAGCTAATTCTTCTATGATAGCTATTTAACATATTTTTGAGTTTGCCTTTTTGTTCAGAAATACAATTTCACAGACAGAACTACGGCAATGATCTTACTGGTTTATGGAAAAGTGAAGAAAAATTTGGGGATATTTGGACATAAACGTGACACTTTCCTATGTAATTATGGAATACAGTTACCAGTACTGTTTATTACTGACTGACGTATCAACTAGTATTGTCTAGTCGTTATCAAGAAGACAATAAATGTCACTCAGAAATAAACAGTACCGGTAATTGTAAATTCAATAGAGTTATGTCGTTTGTATATAGTTCAGTTACTAAATACCATTGAAACATGATACACATGTAAGAGAGTAAGAAACCTGTTAAATTTTACATTTACATTGCTATTTATTTTTTGTTTTTCTTTGAATTTATTGTAAATATACATGTAATATATTTAAAACAGAATATTTTGTAAGTAAAAAATCAACTAATGTATTTGAATATGAATGACTGTGCTAAGAAGAGGATTTATTATACATGTAATGTACTAAATTGTTTAAATATTAAAACTGATACATGTTTAATGTAATAAGGACTGGATAATGAATGTCGATATAATATAGTCATATATTAAAGAAGTAGTCTGGCCATTACAGACTTATTATATATTTGATTCTTTATCTAGTATTAAAGAGTTACAACAATGCATAACCCGAGTTAAAAATCGTCCCTGTTAATAAAATAATTAACACATGCTGTAATGTTGTGAGAGGAACTATCATCCACATTAAATAAAAAATACAGCTGCACATACATGTATGTGATGAGCTTCAGTGTTAGTTTTCAAATTAAAGACAAAAAACATCTGTATTTTGGGTTGAACATAGTTAAAACTATTTAATATTGAATAATTAATAAAACATAAAAAGTCTGCAATGGGTTGAGTTCTCCTTTAATTCATAGTTACAATATATATGAATACCTATCGATAAAGTGCTCTTAAAAATCTCATTATTCTATGAATAATTATGTTATCTATGTTGCTTTAATTAATTATTAATTGTAACACTATGAATTAGAATAGATCTTATAATGATGTGGCATTTATGTACATCAAGAGATGAGCTTCAATTTATTAAAAAATTTCTAAAACTGAATACATGGTAGTAATTTACATATTTTTCAAGTTGGGGTAGTTTCTTACTTTAAAGTGAATTCAGTCCCAAGTTAATTGAAAAAGTTAAAATAGTACACATTTTTAATAAATAATTCTGGCCAATCTGGTAAAATAAAAGTCATTTAGAAATATTTTAAGGGAAATATTGTGTAGTTTGTCTATTTTAAAGGTGCAATCTATATATTACCGTAGTTTATTTTTTACATTAATTTGCAAATCAATAACTTTACCATGTGAAGACCTATCACATATTAATGAGAATTGGTTTTTGACACCATTATTTTTATGTATTGATTTATGTACAAGGTAGGTGGTCTTTGATACAGAAATGTTTTGTTTTTCAAAACATCAAGGCTAACAAGTGGATTTTCTGTGTAACAGGCCGTTTATTTACATCAGAAAAATCAACAGGGTGTATTTAACTTCAGAAGTAATGAAAAAAAAATATTGTATATGTAAATACAAAATTTGTCAATGTTTTTATGCATGATAATGTACAGAATTGCTTTGATATTCTTGAACAATTTCTTAAACAATTCTTGATTAAAGCGACTTATTCACTTTGCTCTGAATTAGAAACAGTTAAATCCAAAGCTTGCATCAAATCTAAAATAAATTTGGTAGGTTCTAATTGGATCCAAAATCATTTAATTCTTACCCAAAACCGAAATGTCTGCCAAAAAAGAAATAATGAAATCTTTGAAGTTTGTTAGTTATGAAATCGGATTGTTTTGGATTGGACTCGGTTCGAATACAAGACCTTTAGTTTGTTAATACAACTACTGAAAGATGAAGAAAAAATAATAGAAGTTAGAATAAAATATCAACGTGTAACCAAAGGTATTAATTCTGATACCACTGTATTCTAGTCTACTAATGTTATAGTTGGGTAGCCGATCAGAATCGTGGACAACACAATTATATATGTGTGTGTACAAGAATATGTAATGAGGTCAATAAGGATAGTGCAAGGTGAACATAAAGCAGCATGAAAACTTTCCACATATAGCTAATACTGATTTTTTTATTGATTTTTTTTTAGTGTTGTATACTTTATGCAAACTTTACAACTTGACTCCTTAACTACTGCTTACATGGTGTTGTGAATGTTTTATATTTTCTAATTTTGAATTGAAATAAGCTTGGCTCATCTGACATGAGAATGGATATTTTTTACAGGAACAAGTGCAGAAAGGAGAACAGTTCAGATAAATGATTCATACAGTTATTAGAGCATTCATAGTTTTAAGTTATGGTAGTCATTGAGTTGTAAGGTAGCCATATACTTCAGTCTATAAATACACCTAATTGAGTATAAGCTAGCTATTGTGATATTTATAACATTGTCAGATTAAATAATATGTATAATGCATGTACCAGAAATATATTTAATTATATAAAAAGAATTACAAATCAGCTTGAGTTATTTTTGTGTATTTTGTGTAAAATATATATTCTTGGAAGTAAGTTAATTTTTCTTTTGAGAATTTCTTTCTGCTGAACTTAGTGATCATTTGTGACCAGGATATCACCCGTCTCCAGGGCTGGATTTAGATGATAAGATACCCAGGGCTATTCCATTTATGAGCCCCCTTCAAATCCCCCACTCTCATGAATAGGGGGGTGGTCGAATGGTTAGCACATGCGCGTTGTATCGTAAGATCTGTCATTGAGTCAACTGACGTGGTTTCGATTCCCCGGTTGTACGTGACAAGGAATAGGGTCGCCTGTACAACGTCGTGTTTTCCCAGGGACCTCCGGTTTCCCCCCACTGCGATACAGCATTGAGCAATGATGAAAAAAGTTTAAGACTACAGTGAGTGGAAGAAAGTCATACGACAGTCAAAATTGGTATACCCCTAAACTAATTTATCTGGACTAACTGTCTCCTCCTACAACTAGCTACACACAACCAGTCAGTGATTGGCTGCACATGAGGCATACATACATCATTAGGAGAAGTTACGCTAAAAAATTTATGTGTTTAGAGTTTGCCACCCATCAATCATCCTATCACTGAGTTGTAAATATATAAAATCCATACCCATATGCATAACTGAATCCATGGTATTTAAAATCCTGCAAAATTCACACAAGTATTTGCTTTGCATATTTTCAAAGAGAAAATGATGATGTAATTATTATGATGTCATATATTTACATGACATCAGTAAGTGAAGATAGGTTTTGCCAGGCAACAAAACATACGTCCCACAACTGTTAAGTAGTCTGGGCAGTCCACAAAGGTTGTCACATATTTTTTTGTTGTTAATGAAAGAATTTACAAGGCACTGAATCTGATTAAGAGTAACAACCAAGCGGTTATCAGAAATTATTAAAATTTGTTTTGTTTTGGAAAACAGGACCAGTAGACTGTAGAACGTAATGCTGGTGCATGGGCAAAATTTCTCTCATAGCACACTGTATGGCGTATGCCCATCTTCATTAGTTGGAGCAGAATAGTAGGATGTTAACTCCCATTTCATTTTCTCTAAAGCATCCCAAAGTGATCACAGGCAATAACTTTGATAATCAATTGGTGTGACACTACAGGGTAGAGTTACGTTGCGACTATCCCTCGTCACGGCACTAAAAAAAGAATTAGCTGTGACATTATCGTCTAGGACCTTCTTCGACTTCACGTTGTGGGATCAATTATTTCAATCATCAATTAACTGACTCTGGAACACCGTTTATGTTGTTGCTAAGTTTATAACAAATACAGCAAACTACAAAGGTTAAATACTGAAAAACTACAACATCTATTAGAGGTACTTTAGGAGTTATTAAAATATCCACGGCCTGAGTTTACTATCCTTTCCAACTCAGACCTAATGGCTTAACGTGGCAAGACCTACATAAATCTTGATAGTTCTACATAAGGTTCGCGCTAGAATGATGTGTTCACCCCAGCCTCTAAGCCGAGGAGGCTATGGATATGTTCCCATTGAGTTCCGAATAATGTCTTCCCTACGGTCTCATGATATCTGAGCGTAAATCAAACCCGCTCTTACCTATATAGAATAGTATAATGCGGGGCAATTACCATTTTGGGGTAAGTGTTTCGTATAGGCACCGTTTTACGTCAACACTATTCTAGTTAATTGTACTAATCTGTGCACGAGATAACTGGACTATAGTACCCTTCTTCCAGCAATGGATACTGACATAACTGTCGGCGAGTTAGTCTAAGATAGTAGTAGAATAATGCAAGCTACTTCATTACCCTAGTTTTCGTCACACATCATGTAGGTAACGAATTTCTATATTAAACAGAACACCTTTCTTATAACTAAAATAAACCCTATAGTATTACATTCGCATCTCAAGAATATAAACAATGTGTATAACTAAAATAAACCCTATAGTATTACAACACGCCCCTTTGCAATGCGTTAAATAAGCACGGTTGCTTAATTAACGCCTATTATGTCACATACAATAAATACAATACAATACCAATAATTAAAAGTTCTGAATATGTCCATTAAAATTTCTAAGTCCTAATTCTAAGATATCATTATACTTATAAACATGCTACAATAATGTGATTCCTTGTCGGCGCTCATTGTCAATATAAATACTCGGTTAAACGTTCCAACACATTAAAATCACAATTTCAATGTCAATAAGTTCACTGTTTCTAACACTACATAATTTCAAATCGTGTTCAGAATTGTTGCTCTGTAAATTTTGGTGATCCGTTAACACTTCTTTCATTTCCTCTTTAGAACCATATCTGCTTATATGCCGGAATTCCCCTGTCTGTTGCTGTGCCTTAAGATAAGGTACATGACTTCCCGTAATTGATCCGTGCACTTCCTTAATCAGACCAATATAAATTAAGTTTCTTTAACCTTAATTTATAACATTTATTTTAATCATATTCTTACACTTAAGTTTATTTAAAATTAAGACTGTATTTACTTTATTAGGAACTCTCCTGTATTAATCCTTAATTCAACTTAACCTGTCCCATTAATAAAAATTAGCAGTGTTAGTTAGTACTCACCACCTACGGTAATTAATAAATTAAAAACTCATTACAATACTAACGTTCATAGTATTACCTGTTAACAGTGAACAGTTTCATCTCATTAACAAATCATCTTCAATTAATTACCCTAACCGTATCTGGTTATTGTTTAAGACATTTCACCTGTGCTATAAACCCACCGTTAACATTGAGTATATAGGATGGAAAGGTGTATCTTTCAATATATAAGATACTCTACGGCCCACGAGAGTTTCTCATAAGGTTAATAAATCAAATTAGACAGTTACGCCGCTTTTTCTAATTTCTATATAGTTACTCTCAATAATCATCTTAAATGTTTTTTTTTGTCCCGTAAATTCGAAGAAAACAGCATCTTGAAACAAATGTGATCAATATTTATTTCAAGACCTGATTGTACTCTACTCCTGGTTGTAATAACAATTCAACCACAAGCCGAAAGTTATTATATTCTTCACGTTTAACATATAACAAATAGAGAGAGAGAGAGAGAGAGAGAGAGAGAGAGAGAGAGAGATGGGGTATAACGTCCACTCGACATTAGCACCCGCGTAGGGGTCATTAGCAGTAACAATTAACAAGAGTATCGCTAACGCTGCAATATACGTCCACATTCCAGCTTTGATTGATATGGTACTTTTTAAAATGAAGAGAATGAAATATGAAATGGCTGTAATATGACAAGAGGCAAAGAAGGTTAGGCGTTGGGTTTGTTTTGCCAAATTTACAGACAAAATATTAACAAAAAAGTGGGTATGACACTGCAACAGGAGGTCGGGGCATGTACAAAAATAAATAGTTGCTGTCTTTACGGTATAAGGAATAAATATGCAAAGTTCCAAGATGATCAATTCAGAATTGCAGCCTGTATATGATAAATACAAAAATCAGGTGTGGCTCTGCCCCTGGGGGTTGAATATGGAACATCAATAGTTGTCTTCCTTAGGGTATATGGTTTAATTTTATTTCAATAATTCGCTTGCGCGTAGGAGTCTTTAGCAGTGGGAGGAAACCGGAGGACCCGGAGTAAACCCACGAGGTTGGACAGGCGAACCTACTAATGTCACGAACAACCGGGGATTCGAAACCACGCCAGTTGACTCAATGACAGGCTTTATGATACAGCGCGCACGTGCTAACCATTCGGCTATCACCCCCCCCCCCCCCCCAGCATGCACCAAAACCAAAAACAAAAGGGATCATCCTTAAGGTATAAGGAATAAGTATGTAACGTTTCCAGACGATAAGTCAAGCTTTGCGCCCTGTAGGGGGGTGGCTATGCCGCTGGGGGTTGGGCATGTACCAAAAACAATAGTGATGATCCTTAGGGTATAAGGAATCAGTATGCAAAGTTTGAAGTGGATTCGTTAAGAAATGCGACCTGTAAACGACAAACAAATACAAAAAAAGGATGTGGCTCTGTCCCTGGGGTTAGGGCATGCACCAAAAACAATAGGGGTCATCCTTAGGGTATAAGGAATAAGTATGTAAAGTTTCAAGACGATAAGTCAAAAATTGCGCCCTTAGGCAACATACAGACACCCAAAAAGAAAATGGGCGTGGCTCTGCCCCTGGGAGCTGGCTGGGCATGTATCAAAAACAATAGTGATTATCCTTAGGGTATAAGGAATAAGTATGCAAAGTTTGAAGTGGATCCGTTAAGAAATGTGACCTGTAGACGACAGACAAATACAAAAAAGGGTGTGGCTCTGCCCCTGGGCGTCGGGCATGCACCAAAAACAATAGGGAACATCCTTCGGGTATAAGGAGTAAGTATGTAAAATTTCAAGACAATCAGTTAAGAATTGCGGTCTGTAGGCGACACACAGACACAGACACACGCATAAAAAATAAGTTCTTGACTTTTCCGTTAACATTAGTATGGTTTTACGTATACACTACGAATGACATATCAGGGAATTCAAAATTTATCCGACAGCTAACCGCACATTCGAATCCAACGTTAAATTACCCATTTTACCATGGTATGTTTTCCCGCTTTTAACACATACTTTGAACTTATTATCTCCTGTTTACGTTTTTAACAACACAACACGAAAAATCCAGAAACAGTTTAAACCATATGCATAAGCTACTCGCTATATTACAAGGTACCGTGTTTCCGTTTAAAACATTTATTTAAAACCTAATACCGCCACCCACACTATCTCGCTAATTTAAACAGGGTCATTCAGTTCAGCCCTGAACCGAAACGCATTTACCGCGAATTACACCGGTTTATACCTTAACCTTACCCCAGTGCCGGACTGGTGTGCCGAAGGCCCACCTGTCAGGTCATTGACCAAAGCCCACACAAGTACGCGCCGAATGCGCATCACGAGAGCGCCGAAGGCGCACGAGCGACCGAGGAGGTCTGTTAGGGTTGTCCCCCCCCCCCCCCGAAAAAATCTGAAAATTGACAACCGCAAACCCATTTTCCAAACTTTTCAGACCTCGACTTCGTTTATGCTGGGTTATTTTCTTCAGTCTTTCTTTCCCCAGCATAACCTCAGTCTCTTGTTTTATCCTACACTTAAACCGGACACATCATTTATTTTCTTTTACATAGCTTTACCGTTTCAATTTTAGGATCTTTCGTTTCATTACTTTCATTATTTATTTCCTACGTTTATAGAAAGTTACCGATGTTTAAACCTAAACCTTGTATCGTATCTACTATGTAGCACTATGCAGTTCTATGAGTCGCTGGTTAGATGTGGAAAGCCACGCTAACAAAAACCCCACATCTAACGTGTGCGCATACTCTCTCCTCTGCTACATATTTTAATAGCCTTGTGATCGTCCTTTTTAACTTTTAACAAATCCCTAACCTCTAAAATGCCATTAAATCTACCCCTTGGTCTTTTTGGCTTTCCATGGTCAGTTTATTAGGAAATATGTACCTACCTAAAAACGACTGGAAACTTCTTCTTGCGAGGATTTCCTCCAGGGTAGACATCCTGGTCACGGCACCAAATAAACGTAACTGTGACACTGCGGGGTAGAGTTACGTTGCGACTTTCCTTCGTCACGGCACTAAAAAAAGAATTAGCTGTGACATTATCGTCTAGGACCTTCTTCGACTTCACGTTGTGGGATCAATTATTTCAATCATCAATTAACTGTCTCTGGAACACCGTTTATGTTGTTACTAAGCTTATAACAAATACAGCAAACTACAAAGGTTAAATACTGAAAAACTACAACATACTTCTTGATAGTTCTACATAAAGGCCCGGTCCCACTGCACTTACGGATGCAAAGAGGATGTAAAACGGGGGAAAAAACGTGCCCTCCGTTTGAAAACGCCATGCATCCGCTGTGTACTCATTGCATACGTGTTTCATACGCTCTATCCATCGAGCATCCGTTCACTTTGATTTCACCCGCGCAAAAAGTTTTGAGCTGCACAAAACTTTTATAACGGATGAACTTTCTGCCGTGTACGATGTAAATGCGCGACATAATATACGAGCACCAAACGTTCCATGTCCGTTATCATCCATTAAACGTCCACTGTATCCTCTCTGCATCCTCGCAACTCACATCCGCTCCAGTTGAAAACGGAAAGAGGGAGCCAGGAAAGATAAGGTACATGGAACGTCTATACATCGTTAGTAGCACGAAAATAGAAAGGATGTAAGCGTATGCATCTCGTATATAAAGTTTTCAAAACGGACAAAGCGTTTGTATCTGGGATGTATCTGGTATATTGAAGGATGTCTGGAGTTTGCCTAACCCCTTCGGAGCTGTCATCCACTTCCATCCGCTAGGCTTCCGATGAACATCCATTTAACATCCCCGCTACATTCTTCCCACGTTAGTTCTTTTCCGTTCTGTTTTCGTCAATTTTGTCCATTTCTGGAGCGGATGAAAACGGATGGAGCCACCCCCGAAAGTTTGCTCGTCCGCTGTGTCCTTTTTGCATACGTTTTGTGTCCATCGGCCACTGGGACCGGGCCTTAAGGTTCAGTCTAGGATGATGTGTTCACCCCAGACTCTAAGCCAGGGAGGCTATGGGTATGTTCCCCTTGAGCTCTGAATATTATTGTCTTCCCTACGGTCTCATCATTATATCTGAGCGTAAATCAAACCCGCTCTTACCTATATAGAATAGTATAATGCGTCATGTATTAGGGCGGGACAATTACCATTTTTGGGTAAGTGTTTCGTATAGGCACCGTTTTACTTCAACACTATTCTAGTTAATTGTACTTATCTGTGCACCAGATAACTGGACTATAGTACCCTACTTCCAGCAATGGATACTGACATAACTGTCGGCGAGTTAATCTAAGATAGTAGTAGAATAATGCAAGTTACTTCATTACCCTAGTTTTCGTCACACATCATGTAAGTAACGAATTTCTATATTAAACAGAACACCTTTCTTATAACTAAAATAAACCCTATAGTATTACATTGGCATCTCAAGAATATAAACAATGTGCATAAATTTGAACTGGATAGTGTGTCCACAAGACATTATGGAAGACAGACAGGGTTGATAACATTATACTCCCACATTTAAATGTGCAGGGATAAAAAATACAATATAGCTTCTGATAGTTTATTAGATCCATACAGAATTTCATATAACATTTTTTATAATCTATCTAGCACTATTATAAACTATTTGATAAGTTGAAATAAAAAATTATATTTTTTGTTCTTCATATATACACCCACTGATATTGAAATATGGAGCTAATATTTCTCACTACACATAAAAATATACATTTTGCCCTAATATTATCAAAGCCACTAATCCTAGGCTCAGACTGTTGTGCGATGTGTTACGATAGTATTGTCCCTAATCGAGTTCACGATCTGCTACGTTTTGATACGGTCAACACGATGGCTAGGACTGACCTCAATATATGATGAGACCTGATAGGATCACCACGATTTGTGAGTGAGAACCTAGCATCAGGTCCATCAATTGAGTTTTTGACAGAATCAACATCACACAATACTGTAGTTAGCAAGGAATTTAAAATCCCTCAAATGAGAAAGGATACAGTTGCCCTAATATCGATAATAAATGATTCTATCCTCGTTTTAAAAAAAAATATAACAATAATTATGGAATTACTTTTAAAGTAAACAAATGTTGGTGTATCACGGATAAATTACAATTAATGATTTAACATGAAATAAAGAAATACAATGAAAGATGTAAAAAGTGATATATCTACAAAAGAATTATTTAATTTTCTATAGTATATGTCTGACTGAGTGGCTGGACATAATTATTTTGAGCCTTTGAACATTAACACGCCATATTACTTCAAAAGTAAAGACAAATTTAGAACTAAGATATGCCAATTTTCTACCCTAATTTAATATGGTCCAAATGATAATAGCCTTGTTACAAAAATAAGACAGCTGCATGTTTCTGACGGTTATCATTCTATATCTTGTCTTAAGTAAAACATCAAAACTCATTTGTGAAAACATTTAGATTTGTCCCAGCAAAGTTCATGTCTGTTTTATCAACTTTTCAACTGTGTCTTTAGAACAACCATTCCATAATTTCCTGAAATAAGAATATTACTTGTATCAAAACAAACTGAATTTTTATTCAGAGAAACCATCTTGAATTCTTTTTCTTTATAAGGATAAACAGTGCAGTGGTGAATGAGCTAGGTCTATGATATGGTTGAATAGTGCATCCTCACTTAGATTGGGTTAAATATCCTTGTCTTTGAATAGGACATGTTATCTTAGTATTCTAGTCTACTGAATTTCTGTCTCACCTGAGTAATTTCCCCTTCTCAACAGTTTCTTCAAATTCTTTGGCTTTGTTGATGGCACATTTTATAACCTGAAAATATAAAAGAATGAGGTTATTAATTAGCATGACTGATTTGTCCAAATTCCACAATAAATATGTTAACTCACCCAATAAATGCTCAGCTGACTAACATAGTACATACAGCACTTCTTTTTTACTTTCACAATATAAAATTTCAATAAATTGTTTACAAATCTCAACAGACAAACTGTCCTAATCTTTCAACAGACAAACTATCCTAATCTTTCAACAGACTGTCACAAATTTCAACAGACAGTTACATATTCCCATATACTTTGACCCCCCATAGTTTAATACATGTGTCCAGAAATAACTCTCACCTCTTCAGGTAAATCTGCTAATCTTGCAGCATTAAAACCATAACTCTTGGGACAAGCCCCTTTAACAAATTTATAAAGGAATGTGATTGTCTCTTGAGATGGATCCTCTGTCTCATTCTCTACCATACATGCCTGAAATAAGTATATCACATTAAATACAAAGAGTTATATTCACTTTCCCAACAATATTTTAATATAACAACAGCATCTTGCTAACATTCAGAAGACCCAGCATGTTCTAGGTAATTCCTAGATCCAACATTGAATACTATTATCAAGGGACTTAATATTATGTTTGTCATCTACTGTACCAATTGTATCTAATTTCTGCAGGAAAAGTTGGAGCTATCTGAATTGAAAAATAAACTCACCATGTGACCAAGTCGTACGTTTTGATCATGACTGAATTGTTCAACCAATGAATGATAATGTGTAGAGAATAAAGTACGACATGATATACTGCGTGATAATTCTTCTACAACTGAACAAGCTATAGCTGTTCCATCATACGTAGCTGTTCCTCGACCTGATCATTATAAAACATTTAGTTAAAAACATACAAATCAACATGAAATTGAGCTTGCATTTTTGCACCAGCTGACATGGGCTAATACAGATCTGTCAGTGCACTATAGCATATTCTTATTTTAGTCTCCAACTGTCACATCTCCAATAGTATACACAAGACCTTAGTTTTTTTTAAAATATTCAAATGACTAGACTCATTTCTTTGCCAGACCATCTTCTACCATTACTTTCAGCAAAGGTTTGTGAATTAGCAAGAGCAATATTGGAGAGCCTTGATTACCTAAAAGAATTGACCCCTATAATCATGTATATTTCAAACTCACCTAATTCATCTACCAGTACTAAAGAATGTTTTGTAGCATGTTGTAAAATGGCTGAGGTTTCACTCAACTCGACGTAGAAAGTACTTTCACCAGACATAATTCTGTCACTAGCACCCAGACGTGTAAATATTCTATCTATTGGTGTCAGACAACATTTTTCTGCTGGTACGTAACATCCCTGAATTATATAATTTTCACAATCTATAACTGATTTAAGAATCAATAAAAATAAAGTGAGCATTCCTTTTGTGAGATGACAATCTGTCTTCGTTCAAAATTGCCCTTTCACAGATAAAGCCAGTGTTGAAAAATATTTACCATTTGAGCTATAACTGTTATCAGTCCGACTTGCCTCATTAAAGTTGATTTACCACCCATATTAGGTCCTGTAACCAAGACAACCTTACTATTACCACAGCAACCATCTTCTTCGTCATCTACATCCTAAAATGTATACATTTATATGTAAAGGATAAAACAAGTATTTATGGCGATTACCTAAATCTTTTTTACCACTAAGTCTCTGAACACTTCACTGCCTCTACACTGGACGTTAACAAGATAATTTTGATTGTTATTATTTGTAAGATTCAACAAATTCAATCAATCTTATTTAAATTCCAATTGCCATGGGATCTTTTACATGGCAATACATATCTATACATGGTACTTGAGATACTTTTTATTAAGCATTTAATCGAGTATATCCTTTAAGTATGTTGTTTGAAGACTAAAAGGTTTTTTTTCTTTTACTTACATCTTTAGTTCCTATGACAGTATCATTAGGTATAAAATCACTTCCACCAAATGTTTTAGTTATACATGGATGTCGACCTTCACGGATCTCTATAAATGGCTATACAAATATAAGACAGAAAAAATTCTAATAAATAACTTGTCATTCCTTGTTAGCCAAAACCTACTCAGACCTTGAGGTCTTATGAATGGGAGCAGGTATGAAAAAGAAGTCAGATCTTATGGAATGAGCAAATAATACTAAAAAAATAAAAACACTGACAGAGGGTTGTCAGGTTCCCACGTAAGCTCACCAGTGACAATTTCATCCGTGTTATACCAGCTATAAAGTGCAAATTTTAGAAAAAGAAAAGGAACACTTTGAACTCTGTGTCCCAAGCTTTAAAAGTCAAAATGTGAACAGACAGGTAATACTGCAAATAGGATTTAAAATTACGAAAATCGAAAATTAGTACCTGTGTATTTTCATCAGGCATTATGAACTCTGGTCGACACATGACACCATCACTACAGCGGCTATATTTAGACATGGAGATCAGAACATCCAGTACTGACATACATTCTACTACACCACTCCATTCTTTGTGTCTGGAAAAACAAAACAAAATTCAGCACTGCTTAACAAGCTTTTTGGTTTTTTCATATCAACTACGTGTTTTATTTCAATGCTGGTCTATGAACAACGTGAAAAATAAGAACAGACATGACACTAAACTGGCCAACATTACCCTGATTTTCCATCTTTTAACGTTTAACTTCTGGTCTGCCCAAAACTACTGCAACCTCTTGGCACCTCAAATAACTGTGAATACCTGTGAACTATTTAAGGACTGTATACTAGTTGTTTTGATGTAATTTAGGGAGCAGTAGTTTGGGGCAGTTTCAAAACTGAGCTACAAAACTTTCTAGGAACTCACCTTTCATCAAAACTGTGAAACAATCGTCTCATGACATCTTTAAGTGCTGCATCTTTTCTATCTTCCGCGTCTGTTAGTGTAACCAACATGTCATCTATTTCTGTTGTACGATATCGTTTCCAGCCTTTCTTAGAAGACATTAGATTATAATCATCTGGTATTCTAGGCACCGCAACTTCTGGTATCTCCATCTGATAACGATTCTTACCAGTTCCCCAATATACTATTGCCTACCAACAAAACAAGTCATTAACGGGACATCCAAATTTCATAAAAATTGTCTGTTTGTAAGATACATCCGTTCAAAAAGATTATGATTAAGGTTTAAACAAGCCAACAGTGAGGCTGATGTCCCCCGCCGAAATAGGAAAATAATTAGAGGACACATATAAATTTATCACAAATTATCTTTTACAAAGTATTGAACAATCAAACAGTATATCTTTACTTATAGTCTAACAATCAAAGTAGGAGAGTTATTGTTTTCCAAAGTCTCGACCAATCAAATTGCGTATCGCTCTGCTTACCCTGAGCAGAAAATGCTCATTATCAAACTTAGTCAAGGTATTACTGTAATGAAACTATACACCAAGTTTCATCAATCTCACTTAATTAGAACTAAAGTTATCGTGTCCCAAAGCATCAACCAATCAAATTGCTTATCTCTGCTTACCCTAAGCGGAAAATGCTCATCTTCGAACTCCATCAAGGCATTGACCTAATCAACACATACACCAAGTTTGAACATTCTAGCCCAATTAGGAAGAGAGTTATCGTGTCCCAAAGCATCAACCAATCAAATTGCTTATCTCTGCTTACCCTAAGCGGAAAATGCTCATCTTCGAACTCCATCAAGGCATTGACCTAATAAACACATACACCAAGTTTGAACATTCTAGCTCAATTAGGAAGAGAGTTATTGTGTCCCAAAAAGTGTGACGGACAGACAGACGGACAGACAGAAGGACAGACAGACGGACAGACAGACAGACAGACAGACAGACGGACGAACCCATTTTAATAGTCCCCTGCTTTCTTCGAAAGGCGGGGGACAATGAGAAGGTAGCTTATAATTTCTAGATCTGCAATGTTTAAGCAATGATATGTTCTTATCTCAATGCATAAAGCTGATTAACCAGCAGTTGCCAGGCAAGATACGCCCACTTTTTGCAAGAGATGGATAGAGAACAAGCTATAAAAAAAGCGATTTTTCGTACAATCAGTGGCCACATTTTGAAGCTGCAGATATTCAATGCCAGATGATTTTTATATGAGATTTCACTGAAGACTTACCCTACAACTAAGAGCTTTACGTTGTGAATCTAAATAAGTATTTAATTCATCTTCTGTAGATAATATATCTGTAACAGCTGTATCATATTCTTCATCTACACCTTTAGTAGGTATTATAATACCATCTTTCTTAGCTTTATCATGATCAAACGCAGCCTGAAATATTGTCATATAATCAACTCATTCGCTTCATTTGCTCAAGATACAAAAGAGAGAGAAAGAGAAATGGGGTTTAACGTCCACTTGACACAAACTAGGTCATTTCTGGACTAACATATAGTTCAATTTTATTTCAATAATTTTCTTGTGCATAGGAATCTTTAACAGTGGGAGGAAACCAAAGGATCCAATGAAAACCAACAATGAGGGACAGGTGACTCTACTCCTTGTCATGTACAAGCTTGGAATCAAAACCACACCAATTAAGATACAAAAGCACAATATTCATTAAAACTATACCCATGACAGACTATGTGGTATTTAGTGAAACTATACACCTGTGTCTCCAATTTTACAACCATATCGCTCATACAGTGCACTTGCGGTAATTCTACTAATAGGTCTTCAAAACTAACAGTTAAACTTAATTTCTATCACATATACATGGCATAATGTATATTAGCTTCTCATACCCTGCCACATGCATGACACCTGTCCATACATATGGCTTACTGGGGTGATATATTCTGATTTGTATTTCAGAAGCCAATGCAACTTACATGTACGTCCCACAAGTTGACTCTTGTTTTGTCTCACCTATAGAAAATGAAATTATTCAGAATGAAATTATTCTGACCAGTCATGAATGTACAAAAACAGTACAGTTCCAAGTGTCTGGAGGTCTTTTACAAATATTACAAAAATTCTTAAACATAGTGAATTACATGTATTATCTTACCAACCTCAAAAAATTTCAGACTTTCAGCAATATCAGGAAAATGTCCACCATCTTTTTCCATGGTAACACTCTTTTTTAACAGTTTGGATCTAAAATATAAAGTGTGGCACAACCTAAAATATTTGTCTCTACTCTCATTAGAACCATGCAGCTAAGACTGCTGGACCTCACTTAGATGTTGCTCATAAGAAGATGGGTTTCACTATTAGACAGATGTTATAAGGCTTCAAATAGCAATATAGTCAAGTCCTTGGGATTTTTGAGTCTGGTATCCCCTGGACAAGGAAGAACAGTTATTCGAGTGCAAAGGAAAACAAGTTCCCTAGTACACATTGGTGTGCAAGTAAAAGAACCCTCAATAGTTAGATTTTCGATAAAAAGAGTAGAAAGAAATGTTCAATTTATAGCACACTGCATGACCTATGCCCTTCTTCATTAGCCAAGGTGGTTCAGATAAATATGACGTAAAGCTCCATTTAATTTAATGTCCATAATATATAAAGGTCTAATTAACAGTGAACACTTACTTGAATTTATCTTTTTGTTTTTGACATTTTTTAATTATTTTTAAAGATGATTCAAATGCTCCTAATGTGGACAAAAAGTCTTCGATTTTTCTTTTACTGAAAGGAAAACATGTAACCAAGCAGTTTTAAAATACTTTTATATAAAAATAAGGTCAAATGAGTATATTTTTTAAAAAATTCACTAGTTTTACCTTTATTGTATTGCTACAATATTGTATTTAGGTATGCTATTAAGACATTAATAACTGATCATAGACAATAACCACAGAAGTAATTATCAGAAATACATAAAATTTGACAAGATTCTAGTTACAGCTAAAACAAAAAATATGTAACTGTAATCAGATGACCATCGATCAAATGAAAACCTTAGCTTGGTTCACAAGATTTTTCAATGTGATCAAGGGCAATAACAACGAAAGTCATTTTTTTGAAACTGTTGTAAATCAATAGGCCTCTTCGTTTCATGGACATAAATTCTTTTATCGCATGAAAACTTCAGGACTGGGATGACAACAGCATAAAACCACATTTTAATAGATTTTTTCCTGGTTAATCGTTCTTACCTATATGTTACTTCTTCATATAATATAGCTCTACTGTCTGGATGATGTTTACTACGATTAGCTGATCCTAAAACATGTATTCTGAAACAAAGTCATTTCTAAATGAACAATCTGCAAGATGAAACTCAATTAGATTTCAAGAGCAAGAACTCCTTACACCAAGATCTATAAGTGACCGATACCTAAAAATTCTATATTACATTAAGAGATTGCATTACATAGCACTTATTGACTACAATGCCCTATCTAAGGAATTTTAAATCTATGTTACCGGCTAAGTAATCTTTCTAAATCTGGTATTTTCTTCAATACTTCTACAATGTCTTCCACTAGTTCCTGCGATGCCATTAAATCATCTACAGCATCCAGACGGTCGTTAATGGCAGCCGGCCGACATAATGGTGCACACATCCAATTACGGAACAATCGTTTTCCTAATAAAAAATTAAAATAGTTAAATCCTGGTTCATCTAGATCTGTAACAGAACTAATCTCTTAGTCGGCCAGCAATTTCTTGATACCAAATTTATTCTGAACATAAAAAACAATGCACAAATTCATAATCTGCAACTTACCAAATGGAGTTGAGCAGAAGTTTAATTTGTGGAGTAATGTCCCTTGCTGATCTCCAGAAACAGAATTTTCAGCGACATCTAGATTAGTTAACGTAATTCCATCTATTACCTGAAATTAATAATATCAAAATTTCATAAACTTATGTCCTGCAACATATTCAGAAGTTTCTCAATTAAGAATCCTTTTCTTTTTTTTTCTGGAATATCAGAAATTGAATAATACAATTACTTTTATAATTAGAAAGGCTAAATAATTAATCTAATTATCTGGGATGTTTTACATTTTGAAAGTTGGCTCTTAATTTGGATGCTTTTTGTGCCTTCTATAGTCACAATTAACCGCTGTTTCTACAATAAGATTGCACATATACACTATATGGTCTTCAGCCAATCAATGAGAACAGTCCTATCAAATTATTTCTACTCCTTGTAACTAAACCATTCTGATGGATGACAAAAAAATAAAGATTATTCAGGGCAGCACTGAAGTTTTGCCCTGTGTGGAATTTTGTAGAGAATTTCCAGACTATACAAGGTAGGCTTAAATTGTTAGATTGAGACCAATAACCGAGTCTCAGTTTCATGTGGTCTTAGAAATTATCAACTAGTTTATTCAACATTGCGAAAGAGGACCACGAAAGACAGAGAACCTAAAAAAAAAGGATTAACCATGAACTTACCATGTGTTTCTGATCAAATTCAACAGCCTTGATCTTTCTGTCTAAAGGTTTATATTCTTCAAATTTCTTCATTGATAACAATTCTTCATCTAATAGACAGTATTGTAAATACCATGTCATGGCACCAAGGGCACTAACTGCTAGTTCATAATCATCTGCTGATGTCATACCCATACTATCTCCTGTAAATCCAATCATATATCATTTTATATTGTTACCCAAAACAAACATAATTGTTATGTCCTTGAGTTTATTACAGCTGCTGCTCGAGAGCTCATTGGAGTGTTGTGGGGGTTTTTTAATGACATTTCCACTGTTTTCGTACATACGCTGGTCATACTTATAGCCTGAACAGTAATGTCAATTATGACAGACCATCGTTATACAGCGAAAACCACTGTCATGACCCATGGCATCCTTTCTATTGTGTTTTTTCTTGTATTATTTGTTAAATTTTTCTTTGTTTTATCAAATACTGAGTTAGTTTTCATTTTAAGTAAAGCTTGTATCATTACAGACCCGGGACTGTACAGTGGTTATTGTTTATTACTAATAATGTCTGTGCAGTTTGTGTGTCATGTCCGCAGGTTTGTCTTATAGATTTTATTTGTGTGTGGTGCAACCCTTCTACACTTACTATTATAAGAACGACAAATGTTTTGAGAAAGGAATAATTTGAGCCCTTTCCTCTAGTATCAATCATAATTAATATTTGTGATCATGAACCTTTAATAAAGCGCCGAAAATTAATGCAAATCTATAAATATTGAAACACCAGTTCAAATCAAAACAAACCTTCCGCTAACATAGCCTTTAGTGTTTCTGGCCATTCAAATTCTTCTGTTTCTTTAAAATAGTCTGCTTCTGCTAAAACCTTTAGTGTTTTATTGCTATCCCAGAACTCTGATCCTGACGATAAAGATTCCTTGATAACGGAGGTTAAATTGGTGTTTATAAGTGTCATGGAATGTTGGGATAACTTTCCTCGCTCGTATAATACCTGAAATTGAGATTAACCGCGGTACAAATATTTGAATAAATAATGTCTTCTGCAGTGGTTGACTCCAGAAACCAAATGTGGAAAAAGTTGTCATTTACTGATTTTTCTTGTAGTCTTAAAGGACATTTGGAGAAAACTGTGCCCATGCTCATAAAACATTCTTATTGATCAATAAACCCCCAAATATCTGGAAATTATTATATTTTAGGAAGTGTGTTGCAAAGTGATTTTTAATGACATGTTCCCTGCAAGGTTAATTAGGTCATCCAGTGTGACCTAAAGACTTATTTTAAACTAGAAGTATGATATGACCTAGAAAAATACAAGCAAAAACTGAAAGTGATTATCAAGCTCTCAAATAAAATAAGAAAAATTTCTTTTAATGTCAAGAGCATGTTTTGGATATTTATAGTGAGTGGTGAAGTGCCCGATGCAGGGTATGCTGGAAGATCTAATATCACTTTTAGGTCTGTGAGAATCTGAGAATCTTCAGGAGTTAGGAAAGCAGAATTCTGTAAGGATCTTCGGGGGTCAGGAAAGTCAAATTCTTCAGGAAGTGGAGAGTTGGAATTCAGTGAGCTTTTCAGTGATCCGGAGATTTGAATTCTGTAAGGATCTTCAGGGATAGGAAGAGATGATTTCACTTCAGTGAAGATCTTTAGAATTAAGATTCTGGGTGATATTTCTATGGCTGACAAACTGAGATATATTAATTACCTGTGAAGGAGTATGATGAGCTATTAATGTTCGCAACCTAGAACAATGTCTATCATCTGTAAACTGACCAACCTAAAGAAAATAAACCCAAAAAAATGATAGTAAATATAAGATCAACTCATACATTAAATTAACAAATTCAGTCTCATACAAATTATCAATTTCAATCTCATACATATTATTTCATTTGAAATCTAATATTTTGTAAAATTACAATATGTAAGCTTATAACTTACATGAAATGTTCCAATGGATGTATCCACAAAACAAACACCATAAATACTACATTCATCTGTATTATTACTCTAAAAAATAAAACAAAAAACATTCATAACTATTTAATTCCTATGATGTTTTCATTACATTAGTGAACTGTTTGTTCTGTGTTTTCTTGAGCTACTGGAATTCACTGTATAAAGTATAGAATAATAATAATCTATTACTTAAAGATACATTATGGGAGATTTTTTTAGAGAGTTGGCCATTCTTGCTATAACAGTTCAAAAGTAGACGATGAAAGAAGAATATATTGAAAATTTCAGTCAAATTACTTTATTCTGAACAAATTTATCATCGTTGTAATATTTGACTAGAAATGGTAGTCAAATATATCTTCACCTTGGTCGATCGTTTGATTGACAGGCATTAACTCCACCTACATAATCTTGATTATCAAGTAATGTTTTCAATGGCTTGAGACGGGGTTGCAGTTCAATTCGTATCACATTTATTTTTACTACATAAGACTTTTATTATATAGATAAGAAGTGAAAGTTTGAAAGGAATGGACCAAATCAATGAGGCATAATTATAGCCGACTTTTTGTTAGCCTGCGTGTACTCTTGTACTGTAACGTGACTACGTGACTCCCGAAGCAGACAATACTGAATAGGAAACACTACAGTGATCCAATGGGGCTGCAATTCAACTGGGGTGATGTTAGCTATATGTTTATCAATTTTTCTGTAAACGCAAGTGACAAAAGAGCGTATAATACCAACATCCCAACTCTCATTTTAACCACAACTGAACATAATATCGGTAGTATTTGTAGTAAAATATGTTTAATCTTTATTGAAAATATGCGATCAAGTAGGCTATGTCTATATATAACTGCCAACACTGTTTGTTGTAAATTGAAATAACAAAAATAAACTGTAGCATGTCTCTCCAACAGATGAGATTGGTGAAAGTGGTATTAGATATTCTAGAACGAGTAAGCACACACTACAATTTGCACAATCTTAGCTCCTAATTTAATCTAAACTGACCTTTTCAGCAACAGCTAGAAGATAGTTATTATTAGAACTGGTACAATCCCCATCTAAATGTTGATATGTTTTAGTACCTTGTGATGATATCTGACACAATTCTCTACGTACAACTTTATCAAACTTTGTTACACTTGATGTCACTGTAATAATTATAACTCAATTAATGTGGAAACAGAAGACCAATAAAAATGCTCATTATTTAAATTTTAGACATACAATGACTTAAAGGAGCTAAATCAATATTCTTTGGCACCCAGAAATAGACACAAATGGGTCACCAAGGCATATAACAATGTAATATGAATGTATATAAACTGATTTACATTCAATCGTTTCTGTTTTTTTCATGTAATTTCTAATCAGTTATGTTCGGTGAAATACGTGAAGAGTCCAAATTGAATGTCAGTCTTTGACGTCTAGTTATTCCAGTCTACACCTGTAGTATTCTCCTGTGGAGTATGTTTAGCCTCGTTCATTGAGTCGCTTCATTACAAATGGTGCTTGAAAGCATTCTGGCATGCGTTTTGTGTGTCAATTTGAAAATTTTCATTTTGTCTTAAATATTGGATATCAGAAGCCCATCTTTAAAAGAATTACTGAGACAGTAAATAGATATTGATGTTTTTATAAATCTGATGTATTTTAAATTATTAAAGATTGTGGAATGAAATCAACTAAATGAAAAAACTGATCAAACATTATGTAAAGATGTTTAAGCTGTAACTTACTTTGTTTACATCTTTCTGCCATCATGTCTGGTGTTTCCGTCTGTTCACATCTCCCGACCTTATAACCTTTAGCAATTAGTGCATCAGCATACCTACTGTATGCTATCTCAGGGAATCCTGAATGGGCATGCTCTCCCTAAAGAAAAAAAAGGTCAATAATCTATATTCTATAAAAGCATGGTTAGGATTAGATCAGAGATGTTTTATATTTTATTTATCTGGTTTTAAAATTGTTTCAATAGTGCACAACCAGATGTACACATAATTTTGCTTTTGCTGTTAATTAACAATCACATTGGCTGTAACCCAATGTAGGTAACTGTCAGTTATTGAAAATAAATAAAACAGCTTCATAGACTGTCCCTGCTTTCTTACCTTCATGTAGATTAATCCTAACTCATTAACAACTATAACAGAGTCCATGTGAAATAATTCATAGAATTTTCCCATCTGAAAAAAATCCAAAACATACTTATTCAGCAATCATGATAATAAATATGTTAACATAAATGTGTATTCTATCAAACAATCTATATAAAGATGTGTTGTCTGCTAACATTTCATAATTACGTTCCAACTCAAATCTGAATCATTTGGTCTCAGTTGATAACTTATGACAAAAGAAATATAGTATAGTTAAAATCCAGGTTAAAAGAAAAAGTTGCCAGGCAAGAAGAAAAATATTTGTGAAAATTGTTTTTACCTTAAAAAACAAAACAGTATCAAAATAATGGGCTTTTAATTCCCACCACTGCTTCATCGCCTATAAAAATACAATAAAATTCTTAAGATTTTTCAAGTATTAAATCTTATGGTAGTAACTGGTCATTTTATAGTTTCAAAGTCTCTGGTGAAACAGTCATGGTAGGGCTTCTATTTCATTGATGTCAAACCTATTCATAAGTTGTCAATGCTGTTTCTGGAGTGTAGTTAAGTAGTTAAATTTACGCCAAACTTCATCCCAATCTAATGAAGACTCTTTCTTATCTTATTATTAAGCAGCAGTTATAAACAATCTTTAGATTAATAATTAAGCTACATCTAGAAAAACTGTCAACATAAAACCCCAAGACTGGTAAATTTTTCTGTCAAGATTGTTTCTAGTTTCCACATTCCCTGTTTCTAAAAAAAAAACTAAAATATGGATACAGACTCATGTATCTTTGATTCAAGCTGGTGGCGTATTTTATTCTGATTCAAAATGGTGGTCATTCACAGTTCATCTGGCTATCACAGTATTTAGTTTACTGACAGTGAAGTAATGTTTTAAATAACATACCGATGACCACCATTACTGTACTAAAAGATAAAGATTAACAATCAATATTTGTATTCAAAAATCATGAAAAGATGAATTTAGTTAAGAAACTTACAGGTGTCTGTTTCTTCAGGAAATCCTCAGGAACTTCCAAGGTGCGCGGGTCATATTCAGGGTCAGACTTCTTTCGACCTTTTATGTCTCTAAAATTAAATATCAAACTTATTATCTGTTTGCAAATTAGTCATTTAAATGCCTATATCAACCAGATTAACCTGGTAGTAAATACAGCCAACAATAAAAATTCTTTTAACTATTAACTAATCCACAGCGACTTTTGTCGACACCTATAACGTTACTGTTATGTCTAGGCCTATACGACAACATTCTCCTAATGACGGATTACCATCCTTATTGAACAACAGTGATTCAGATTTTATTGGTGGTGTAGATATTTATCATTTTGCATTAGAACGTGATAGAAGTAGGCTAAATCAACAAATTTTAATTACTTAAATAAGCTTAAATTAAAAGTGAGTCATGATGAATGATGTTTAGTTAACAACAGCCTACAAAAAAACAGAAATAACCATCATAAACATGAATTTTTCATGACATGTCTAAATTAATTTTTTGTATAAAATTCATATTTATGAAAATGACATTAAAGACCACGTAAGATCAAAAATCTAAATTACATGTATGTATAGCCCATGGTTACTATATCAACTTTACGGCAAGTTTACACCAATCTGATTAAAATTAAGTCGGCTGTTAACGTTTAAGTGTCCGACACACCAAAACGCTTTTCAATTTTTCAATTACGACCTTAATCCGGTTGATTGGCTGGCGACGTCACAGGCACTACACATAGGATATACATTATCTATACAATATCTCACCGTCTGTACAATATAGCACTATCAATACACACGGCAAGTTGACAAGCGTCTGTTGACGGTCCAATTACCACGTGACTGGCCTAATCATAATCACCGAATTATCGTCTTTCATTTGTGATTGGAATATTTTAGTGTGAATTTCAAATGCCGTATCATGCCGTAGATCCATTTAAGCTGCCTTTGTTTAAATAGGCCACGTGTCAAATGAAGATGACTCAAGAAATTAGCACATTTACCGGTAATTTAGATAACCCCGTAGTACTTGATATACCAAACGTACAGAAATACAAATGGCGCCAGTCATTTGTCGATATATTCATTATTAGCTATATATAATAATAATAACCATTTCTATACATAAAGAAAAACTTTTATCGTAACTCAATTTGAAATTTACAGTGAATATGGAATTTTCCGATGACTATGCATAACATGTACAATAGATCGCCCTCATTTCTCAGCCAATCAACGCTGGGAATCTTATTACCATTTACGGTTACATGTACTACGGGTGTAGTAAATGAGGTTAAACTTCGGCACGAAAATTGCACGGGATCATACGTGGAGTTCCTGGTGCCGTTTGGTGAGTGATTAAACTGTCAATGCAATTGTAAAATACTTTTATTAAAAAAAAGATAAACGATTGTTGTTTAAACGCCAATCAACAAATAATACGAGGCTACTTATTACAAAAACACTGGTGAGCAATAATTATTGGGTAAATAATAATTATAAACAACTGATGAGTAAAACTTAATGGTTTTATACAATTAATGTGTGGGTGTACGATTCTACCATTAGTTCGTTCATGAGGTATTATGCACACGTTCCACTTAGAATGATGTCTTTGATCTGGCCGGCGTAAAAAAAGATAATTACCTAATCAACATTCTTAATCCAACTAACACTCACTGCTAACACCGACGTGTAAATTAATTTATAACCCATGCCTGTATAACTTTTATAGTCGGATTGATTAATTAATGACAAATATTAACGACACTACACTTTATGTGGAAAAGCGAAGTGCTCGCAGTAAAAAACACATAGCTGGACCGGTATATTATTTACATATTAAAAGTGTTTGTCCAATAAGTTCCATATTGTAAAAAATTAATTAAGAGTTCAAGACTTCAAAGTTTAAAAGTTGTAGGCAATCTAAATTGGATCTTAAATTAAAATGAATTACAAAACGAATTATTCCGTAGTCAATTGTTTTATTTAATTAAGAACTAAGGGAGATTAAGGAATCAGTCAGGCGTTAATGAGTACACACGCCGGCTGTATATAGGTAAGGCTGACCTTAAAAATATCTTTGTTTCGCCTAACGCGACCGACTAACTAAAACCACCCCCGACTTAAATTATTTTATTGCACTTTTCCGCGATCTTTTTATTTTATTTTGTGTGTCAACCTGAAATATATCACGAGAGTTATTTCCCTTTATTATGGCTATGGTTTGATTCATTATTGAAACTGGTTGATCAAGACGAAAGCGTCATAGGTGTCGCTTCTCAACAAAATGGTTGCAGACGAAAGCACGTCCATTCCCACGAAATGATTCTGCCTCTATGTCTGTGGGGCGTCGTTTTAAACATGACGACGATATTTTCAATATCCGTTTTCGAGAAAAATAAAGGCACAACCCGCACGATCGTTAAAAACGTGTTGAGGGAGTTTCAAACGTGAGTTTGTCGCAATTTGTGTGCGAGTCGTGCATCAAGAAAAATCCCGATGCCGATGTCATTGATTTGTTTGCCAATAAAAGAAGACGAATGTTTGCACCCGGAAAATTATCAAGCTGTCAAATTAGCTCTTAAAAAAAAAATCTGAAAAAAACCCGACCTACCGACCCTTCTCCTCGATTGTGGGTCGGGTTTGGTGAAACAAAGATATTTTTAAGGTCAGCCTAATTAAGGAATAAGCATTCCGAATATGCATTCGGTCACTGTGACGTCACTGGCGTCTGAGGGGATTAAGAGGGTTTCCAATAATTGGCAAAGTCGTTTTCACGGGAGGTCCATTTTTACGACTTTAAGTGAAGATAACTGAATTAATTTCAATCAGATTGGTGTGAACTTGCCGTAAAGTTGATATCCAAAAGTTCCCAAACCCATCTTATGTGCACTTTAAATTTATATTATTTCATCCATTTACATGCTGGGTATATCTACAGTAGTTTTTTAATGATATAACTTTAAAATGCATAATAATATATATATTTTAATACTATTGACCATTATGATGTGGGTTTTTATGACGTTATGACATCAAATCTCTGGGTCATTTAAGAGTTAAACTTATCTCTACAGAAAGATCACTTTCATAATGACTTAACAATGTCCAATAATAACAATTGTTAAAAAGACTAAAAGGCAAACTACCACCACGGTTGGTACACTATCAAATTATCAAGACTGGAAATTTTCATGCTCATTTCTAGATGTATGAATGTTTTATAAAGACATCTCTGATTAGCCTTTTCATTATTACACTCCAGCGATTGATTAGTTTAGTTATAATCTTGTATTAACATAATTACCTGATATTTTCTGGTTGTAGAAAATCATGTTTTAAATGTGGGAAACTGGAACTATCTACACCTGGTTCACTTGTCTACAATCAAAACAGAAAAACATTTAACTGGATCAAATATTATACTCTTTTAATGATGTAGCATAACTCTTAAAAAAAACCCAGAGCCATGGTGGCACAGTTTCGATCTTGGTTAATGAACTTCAACATCATGTTTGAACATGCTACCTCAGTTACAGAAAGGGTTAATCTAAGACAGACAGCCATTAATTAATGCTTTGAGAGAGAGAGAGAAATGGGGTTTAACGTCCACTCGACACAAACTAGGTCATTTTGGGACTAACATGGTTAAATTTTATTTCAATAATTTGCTTGGGCGTAGGGGTCTTTAGCAGTGGGAGGAAACCAGAGGACCCGGAGAAAACCCATGAGGTTGGACAGACGACCCTACTACTTGTCACGTACAACCCGGAAATCGAAATCACGCCAGTTGACTCAATGACGGGCCTTATGATACAGCGCGCACGTGCTAAACATTCGACCATCCAACCCCACTATTGATGCTTTGAAGATCTGTACTAGTCTGTTAGCGGTTTTAAGGGATTCAGTGGATAACCATGCAAATGAATTGCCCCAAGTAGGTCAGTACTTGGCTTTGCAATATTTAGGCAAGTCTGGGGTTATCTTTGATATGTTACATTTCTTTGTGTTGAAAGCGAATTCCCTGACTTTGATGAGTCAGATTTCTAAGCTAGATATAATTAGCTGGCACCATTGATTAACTACAAAACAGCTACTTACTGAATCAGGTGCTGAGAAGAGCGATAGTTTTGATTTGGTGTTGATTGATACATTAGGTTGAAAACTTGATTTATTGCTTGGAGTATCGGTATTCTCTGCTTTTACTTTCTTATTTCTGGATGGTTTCGATTCACGCTTCCTTTTCTTAATTTGCTACATAAAAAAGATTAATTGTTAAAATCGCTGACCGAGATTGTGCATTTTTCAAACAATATCTTATTCTTGCCTGGTTAATCCACGATAAAACCTACTGAGATTGATTATATAACATAAAACAATCTCATGGCTTGGATTCAATAGGATTAAAAAGAGGCACAATGGTGGATTTTCTATATTGTCTGCAGAGGATGTATAATTTATAATATCTTTACAAGGGATTCAGATTCCCTCAAATAACAAACAGTGGCTTTATAAATAACATATAGACATTAGTTCTGGGTATTGCCACTGCAGTCACCATACGATACGTATTGCGATTCAGGTGCTACAATACGATTCGTATCACTATTCATAACCAGGTTAATATTTACCAGAAAAACAACAGGATAAATGAATAATTGATATATTTAGCCCTGCCGATATTGAAGAAATAAAACTGTTTTATATCATGATATTGATGTGGATCAGAATAAGGACCAAAACAATTTAAATGTGTGTGTGTACCTATGGATAATGGGTGATGTGGATAATTAATAGTGACATGTTACTTACTGGAGCAACAAAAAAAACTATCGCAATACATCAATTCAGTGTCTTACGAATCAATACGCACATCGTGAGATGGTGAATCATAATATATCTATTCAATGATAGATCATGCCAGCACTAACAGGCAAGGGTCATACAGACTTAGGCCACAAACCGGAAGACTAAAAAAAGATATAACTTCACTACATTCTAAATTTCCCAGATAACCTAGTCATTGTTTTATTTGGATGGAACTACCTTGATTGGTGATTCTGGTTCGGAATGTTCATCTAAATCTGATATATCATCTTCATCTACACCGCTACTACCCGATTCATCATCACTATCATCTGATACAGGTTTAAATTCATCACCTACAATGCAAAATCTTTTTTTTATATATAAAATCCAGAACCAGCATCCCTACTTGAGGAAAAAAGAAATAAAATGAAATGGGGTTTAACGTCCTACTGTTCTGCTCCTAATCTGGGCTAATGAAGACAGGCATACACCATACAGTGCACTATGAGGCAAATTTTGCCCGGGCAGCAGTGCTACGGCCTAGTCTTATATCGAATTCCAACTGCCAAGGGATCTTTTACGTGCATGCCAATGTGTACACAGGACCTCGGTTTTTCGTACCATCCGAACGACTAGACAGCTGTCCTTGTCAGGTCGTTCGTCCTGCATCACTGACAAGGGGAAACAAAGCCGGAAAATCTGGATGAACTTTCTCGGCCAATGCAGGGATCGAACACCTGACCTCCAGGCTAGCGAGCCAGCGTCTTACCCACGTGATCCCCTGAGGAAAAAGGTGACTAGTCAACTATGACTTGATATGAAAAATATACTTTACAAGACCTAAAATCAAAATCATCTGAATTTATATCTAATCAAAAATACATTAAGAATGCGCAAAACCCTTTGTGTTATGAAAACCTTTTAAGACATTCCTCTTACCTGATTCTTCATCACTATCAGCAGATGGCATTATTTTACGCCTTTTTTTCTGTGATTTCACTGAACGTTCTGGTCTACCACTTCTTTTCACTGGAGTCTTTTTTGGTGTCTGAAGAAAGGGAAAAAATATATTTCTGAATATTGCAATATTTTTGCAGCCTGGAGTTTAAAATAGTACGCATTGGTAATAATTCTCTTCATTGTAACATTTCTATTTCAAATATACTAACAATCAAATATCGAAACCCAGAAAATACACCTGCTGGATATAAATCATTTACCGTATACTCTCTAAACAAACGTATCCAACCATGGCCATATAAGCAGATGGTTAGACAAGGGGCAAATACGCTGACAGCCTACCTCACAAAGAAATCCCACAAATGTGATATGCTAAACAAGTTATAGGAGGTTTTTATTTGGTGTTCGGTGCAAATGTTACTATTAATCCTCCAGCACTTGTAAATATTCGACTTCCCTGATAATATTAAAAATAAGTGGCACATTTAACATTATGATTCTTAAACAATTCACTGCTTTTTGTGTGGTCTAAGTACTGAAGGGTTATAGAATGACACACACCTTAGTTTCAGCATCTTGATGATTTTCTTTACTATTATTCCCTTCATCTGACATCTCATCATCAAATATGTCAGCTGTAATATACAAATGAAATGAAATGGGGTTTAATGCCCTACTGTTCTGCTCCGAACTGGGCTAATGAAGACGGGCATACGCCATACAGTGTGCTATGAGGGAAATTTTGCCAGGACAGCGGCACTATGGCCTACTCTTATATCGAATTCCAACTGTCAAGGGATCTTTTACGTACACGCCAATGTGTACACGGGACCTCGGTTTTTCGTCCCATCCGAACAAGGGGAACCACGCCGGAAAATCGGGATGAACTTTCTCGGCCAATGCAGGGATCGAACACCCGACCTCCAGGTTAGCGAGCCAGCGTCTTACCCACTTAGCCACCATGATCCCCATCTGTAATATACAACACATGACAATATCATATTATCATATATCTCGGCTGTAATATATAAAATATTAAAATATATCATCAAATTAGATTATATATCACAATGAAACCCTGTGACAATGCAAGCTACACTCTGAAATGTCATAATAATTGGAGATGGAAGCACTAAAAAACTATAACATTCCAATCATTGTTACAAAAATTTAACTTTCTTACGATCTAATTCCATATCCTCTTCTTCTCCATCTTCATCAGTGGACGGCTGTAACTCAACTAATAGCTCTGATCTATCAGGTCTTTTCATAGCCAGGGCTTTATCTCCTTGTTCTAAACCTTAAATCAAATACGACACTTCACAAAATCAAGATAAGATTTCATGATAATTGTGGTCCATGTGAAGAAAATAATATAAATCTATTTAATTGCCATTTTTGATGATGCAGCAGTATCCGAGAACCAGAGTATTTTATTTTGTGTGGCCGTAATTGTAGGAATTGATGCTTTCAATAAAAAAAATGTGCAGTGTGTACAAAAAAGAAGTAATCCTAAATATGCATTAAGTCTTGATTTATGGTCATCTCCTCAAAGACGTCAATAGGCCACAACATGAAAGCAATAATTAGGCCTATAAGGGATTAATTTACAAACCTGGTCCAAATATAGAGGTATTAACCATATAAAAAGTGCCACCTTTCTGACATTCTGGGTCCTTTGACCCCTTATATGGCTTTATATTCCTGAAATATGAATAATTGTACATATAATATACCAAATTACACATGCTAAAATTCCAAATTGCACATGATAATATAATTTTAAATTATAGAGGAGCAATGATAACATTCAATACTGATTTTATTATCCATATATTACTGGCATTTGAATATTTGATTTTGGACTTTTTTTGATGCATTTACGAACAGCCTTACAACAATCTACGTGAATTTCTACGCAAGCTTATCCTCTGTGTAACTTGATCACTGCAATTCATGACAATAATGGCTAGTTGCAAGTGGGCTTTGCACATGCAGACAGCCTAAAAATATTAATGGTAGGGCAGTGTACAATGTATGTATATAACTAAAACTAAATGTTCATTGAAAACGATCAGAGCATTGAATAAGCATTATTTACACAAGTTTGCATTTTGAAATTTTGATTCAGTACAGTACATGTATGTCCTTACCTTAATCTAACCCATGCTCTGCTGGTAGGATTATCAAAAAATTGAACATGAATTTCCGGTACTTTACCACCTTTATAAAATTTATTGGCTGTTGGATGATTACATACTAAACTAGGCCACCATGGATAGCCTTCCAATTTAGCCCATACTACATCATAGAGTTCAAAACCTAAATATACAAAATTAATTTGATGATAACTGAACAATAAATATATTTACTGTTCCACAATGCATAGCTTTAACAAGTAGGCCCTACATGTAGGCCTACCCAGTGACATAGACTGTTATCACTCTGCTTAACTGCAGAAAACAATACTCATTATTAGTCATGGTATTGATGTGGCCTGTATTAATGTAATTGTAATGAAACAAGTTTCATCATCCCCTCTCCCCCTTCCTCTAGACTTATTAGAGTTATTGTGTCCCCAAGTCTGGACCAAAAAAATAGTTTATCTCTGCTTCAGTGCTTAGCCCAAGCACAAAATTCTGATCAAACTCGTTCTTAAGCTACTTGTATATATCAGTACCTATATATGTAATGAACAATTTATACACATAAAACTCTGAACATTCTAGCCGAGTTAGACAGACACACAGTTATTGTGCCTAAAATTTTTAAAAGGAGAAACCCATTTTAATGGGGCTAAATCGCTAATATCCGGGACCTAGAAAATAGATACAAATGGGTCGCAACGCTGTAACATGAATGTATATAAACTGATTTACATTCAATCGTTTCTGTTTTTACTGTAATTTCTAATCAGTTATGTTCGGCGAAATATGCCAGAAGTCTCAATCGAATGCCAATCTCTATCGTCTGGTTATTCCAGTCTAAACCTGTTAGTATTTATTGCGCATGCTCTCCAGATAAAAACGTTACATGTCATTTCGGTCCCACATCATTTCGGACTTACGACATTTCAGACTCAAAAAAATATGGCCTTGACGTTTCGGACTTGGGCAGGAGACATTTCGGACTCGGACAGATGACGTTTCGGACTCGGGGAATAAGTTGAAAGGAGAGGTGACATTTCGGACTTGGGAATAAGTTGGAAGGAAAGGCTGAACACAACTGTCATCGTTTCCCGTAAAAGTAATTTATTTTTTTTAAAAAAAAAGAATAATATGCTGTAGAATTTATTTCAAAATGACCTACACAAAAAACAAAAGTAAATATTTACTCGACATGCACTGCTTTTACAAGCCCCTAGAATGTTTTAATGATAATCCGGAAGCTACACGTTGACACGCATTCCTCGACAAGCTTGCCATAGATAGCAGTACCAATCGATAAATTAGTGCATACAAAGAAAACTCTTTTTGGAAAATATTAGAAATGGCAACGATCAATATGGGTAATTAAAGCTGATTAACCGATAATCCCTATGTTATTGTAGTATGCGCAAAGAAACCTTACAGTTCTTTAGTGGACAAGGAAAAACAAGAGTTGTCAATCAGCGATAATGACGGCCGTGTGTTGATTCGATTATTCCAACTCCCTTAAAAGGCATTTAGGCTTTCACAATTATAAAAACATTAGCAGTATTATTACTAAATATACACAAATTTTCAACAATATTGTATTGTCAAGTTCAATACTCGCCGATGAAACAAAACAAAATAGAACAAGCAGTGTAAAATCAGTGTTGTCTTTTTATTAGTGGTCGCAAGAATGGCCGATCAATTAAATAAAACAAAACAACTATCAGACTCACATAAAACGAAAAAAAAACCCCAGATCTTACAAATATATCATACAAATGTTCAACAGTCTTATAATTATTCATCCAAGTCTGAAATGTCGCCAGACAGAGTCCGAAAAGTCATCAAGTAGAGTCTGAACCGTCGTCAAACTGAGTCCGAAAGGTCGTCTGTGTTGAGTCCGAAATGACGCGGACCGAAATGACGTGCTACCATAAGAACATGGGGTCACCGTTTAACATGACCTGTGGAATATGCCAGCCTCGTTTTTTGAGTCCCTAATTCAAATGGCACTGCAACGTATTGTGGGACACGATTCGTGTACCAACTGTAAAATGTTTATTTTGTCTTAAATATTGGATATCAGAAGCCCATCTTTTCCTGGTAAGATCACAACATCAATCAATGTTGATATAATTTGTCAAATAATTTGTGTTTTCAATGTCGAAGATTTTGGATGATATTGAGTTAGAGACTTAGCTACTTTAATACATTGTCCTCTTAGGCTCTGACCCATGCTTTCTTGCACAATTAGCATTTTTGATAGGCTGTCTTATCATGTGTGAATATATATAAATTTTGTAGCCTGAACTTATTTAATTTATACCTCCATTTACAGGCTCGTCTTTTACTTTATTTTTTGGTGTTGCTGTCTTTGAATTCTTAGTCTTAATCACTGACGGTCTTGGTGTACCTGCAGGCAAAGCATCACCATTTTTGGGTTTGACAAAATTATTTTGAAGTTGTACTGCAGAATTTTTCGTGTCAGAATTCGGCGATTTTTTCGGTGACAAGACATGATTGGCGTTGTTTTTCGCCGGAGGCGTTTTACTAAAGTAAGAAAATAAAGTGTTTGGTTGTGCCTTCTTTGCTGACATTGTTGATTTGCCAAATAATTTTAACCAATTTCTGAAAATTACAACTAGGTGAAAGGATAAGTGAAGTAAACTCCCGCGTTTTTAGTCTTTATCAACAGGACATGTTGTACGATTACAATACACATAAAAAGACTCATAGGACACGTCTAACGTTTACGATTTTAGCATCCTGTTTCGACTTCGTTCAAAAATATATCCGTTTAATATAAACGAAACGAAAATAAATGCTTTCAAAATTTGAGAAAGGTTTCTAAAATGGAACATTTAGGTTAAATATGGAAAAACCCTTTGATTAGCAAATGTTATGTCCAATGACAGCAGTAAATCTATTGTAAAATATAAGTGAAGAAAAAAACAGGCTTTTTGGAATATAAGCGACTGGGGGGGGGGGGGGGACACCAGGTTATTTCCGAGCGTAGCCTATATATCTATAGCGATGCAAGATATATTTTAACCCATTTTAAATATAATTCTCCCGTTGTCACACCACCCCCTTTTCAAATACAGCCCAATAAAGTAGATGAGAGTAATAGTTACAATTAGAAAGATTTAAAAGGACCGACAAAAATAAATGTATTCAAGCTATTCGAATTTAGACCTTTTTTTAAAGTTTTATATAAGAATAATATGCTGATAGCACAATCTGGGTTTATAGTTACAATCCAGTTTAATATTGCGAAATTTGGAAACATGTCGATCAAAAACCTAATATATAAAGACAATTAAGTTTTTTTGAAAGTTAGTAATACTAATAATTATAATGCATATTATTTGTAAAGTGCCAATTCATTCAGGAATGTGGGGGGGGGGGCGAATGGTTAGCACGTGCGCGCTGTATCATAAGGTCTGTCACTGAGTCAACGGGAGTCACGATGGCTAAGTGGGTAAGACGCTGGCTCGCTAGCCTGGAGGTCGGGTGTTCGATCCCTGCATTGGCCGAGAAAGTTCATGCAGAACGGAGTGATGCAGGTCGGAGGGCCTGTCTAGTCGTTCGGATGGGACGAAAAATCGAGGTCCCGTGTACACATTGGCGTGCATGTAAAAGATCCCTTGACAGTTGGAATTCGATATAAGAGTAGGTCGCAGTGCCGCTGTCCGGGCAAAATTTCCCTCATATAGCACACTGTATGAGACGTATGCCTGTCTTCAGTAGCCCAATTGAATTCGGAGCAGAACAGTAGGACGTTAAACCCCATTTCATTTCATTTCATTTCCCTTTTTCCTCAAGTGGGGATGCTGGTTCTGGATGCTGGTACGTGACAAGGAGTAGGGTCGCCTGTCCAACCTCGTGGGTATTTTTCCGGGTCCTCCGGTTTTCTCCCACTGCTAAATAACCCTACTCGCAAGCGAATTGTTTAAATAAAATTGAACCGAAATGACCTAGTTTGTCTCGAGTGGACGTTAAACCCATTTCTCTCTCTCGTTTTCTCCATTCACAAATGCATGCTCTAGCTGCGCGTACATGTACTCTATGGTCACTATATTTACACACATATCTCGATTCACTCTAGCTAAAATGCACTTGTAAATAGACGAGTTTTAGGTTTGTTTTAAAGATTCAAGTGATGGAGCTGATTATAGTCAATTCTGGAACAAACTTGCAACCAATGTGTAGTTCCTTCTTTAAAGGGCTCTATTTTTTGGAACATTGAAATGGAAAAAAATGGTTATAAAAGCACATATTAATGTAATATGAATGTATGTAAAGTGATTTATATTCAATTTTTGAACAAAATATTGTAATTTCTAAGCAATTATGTGAACAGTTCATATTGAACTGTATTCTACACGTTTTTTGAATTATTATTTTGTTGTTTGTGAATCAGCCTTTACTAATTACTTCCACACTGTGTTGTAGGATAATGTTTTTATCTGTTCAGTACAAAATGGTATTCGAAACCATAGGGCACACGACTCGTGTACTGATAATAAAATAATTGTGTCTTAAATATTGGATATTAGGATCCTATAGTTTCACGGCAAAATAACAACATCAATATTGATTGACATTAATCAATGTTGAATTCTAATTGGTGTTTTTAATTTCGAATGGAAAATACTGAGTTAGAGACTTAGCTCCTTTAATGCGAGAGCGTCGTGATGATTGAGTAACTATCCTGGCAGCATTGTTTGGATAACTTGAAGATTAGAGATTGGATTTTGGTTTTGACCGATAAGGATATTACAGTAATCCAATCTTGAAAACACTAATGATTGGACAAGTATGTGAGTGGCATTGTCGTACTCGTACGTCGTGAGTCATGACGTAACGTCATGTAACAAAATTTGTAGCTCTGTTTAAACCCGAATGATATTGTTACGCAGTTAGGTATTGGTTGTTAATCGGACTACTGACCAGTCATAATTTGGGACAGAAATTTGTGCCCAGTATAGCAGTGCTTGAGCGGGATTAGGTATAATCAAACGAAACACTGCAAGGAGTATGTCGTATCTGCAAATGGATGATTTGAGCCCATAACGAATCTTCTCTATCTCATCGACGAAGAAGCTATTAAATCTATTTGCCAGATTTACATTAGAATCTGTATGGGCAAGTTTAGATTCTTTTTGAAAAGCAGGAACTGATTTTCGAAAATGGTTCTTTTTTTGTCGGATCCCTGTATCAGCCTGGTATGTATGTTTGACAATGTAATCGCTTAGCGTCGTCCTGGATGGCTTATTATGCATTCATGATCAGTCAAAGAATACCAAACTTACGTTTTCTGCTCAACTTACGCTCAAAATATTTTGTTTAGGACGTGAAGAAATTTAAATTGACATCTTTTACCTCATTTTATATTAAAGAAAACATCAATCATTTACGAATGAACGATTTATAATCTCGAACAATAAGGCATACACTATTGAAAACAATTTTCCAAAAATAAGCCATATTCCAATGTGGATTGTATATAATGCTAAGTTAATGTTCCTGGTGGTGCCAGAAATCATTTATGTGTTTAAAGAAAAAAACACAAAAAAATCGGTTGTTTGATCCTGTTAACTATATTTAATCTAGAATCGATTTTGAACTCATATTACCCTGTACAATAATGTAATAAACTTGATTTAAAGCAGCTAATGATGGCACTGATCGTCTTTATTTTCACGATGGAAATTATTTATTGATGGCGCTATTAAAATGAAATTGTAAAGCCTAGACTATGCCCGGAAATAATTACAATATTTTGATATTAAATGTGAGGGATCTATATAAGCAGAACATTAGGAAATTGCATGTTTACGACTAAATATATAGCTGGCCATTCGTGACACTATTTCTTTGTCTTGGCTTAAAGACTGTTTTGTCGAGCGAAATAATTGATTTTTACGGTCGTAAACCATTTTAGTCTTTTCTAGAGTGTCACGTCATTTTAAGTCATAAACACGTGGATAGCCCTAAAAATGCTATAAAAGTTTTTAATTTCCGTTGACCTGTTATCGTTTCTTTCTCAACCTGTGAGTGAACAGGGTGAGCGTTTTTACAATGTTGATAAAATAAACACAGGTAATAATTGTTAAATTATATGCTTTGTTCACGGATTATTTTATTGTTAATGTCAGTTAAAGATGCATGTAAGAGCTAAATCTTACGGTGGCTGATAAGGGACACGAAAAATAATATAATTTGTTTTTTTTTAACATTCACCCAAGTCAATTTTAATATAATTTGTTTTTTATAATTTTCACCCAAGTCAATTTTAATTTTCACCCAAGTCAATTTTAATATAATTTGTTTTTTGTAATTTTCACCCAAGTCAATTTTAATATAATTTGTTTTTTATAATTTTCACCCAAGAATTTCCACCCAGCGCGTGACGTCATCTCAATTAGCCTCGTTTCCAAAACACTAATGACCTAGTTTGTGTCGAGTGGACGTCTCTCTCTCTCTCTCTCTCTCTCTCTCTCTCTCTCAAAGTTTGCGTACGAGGGGCGACCATTTTGTCCGGCAGTTTCGATCAGATTTTCAGAAAATTCGAACTCAATCATCATTAGGGCTTAACGGTGATATATTCAAACGTTTTTTTTTAAATCGGATACAAAATGTGACCTCTAGAGGGACCACAAGCTAAAAACGAGATTTTTCGTACAATTAAGGGTCGTAATTCAGAAAGTTAAGATCCAATAAGCGCGAATATCGAAGGAAACCAGATGATAATTGTGACCTCTAGATTGTCCACACGCTAAAAAAAGTGACTTTTCGTACAATCAGGGGCCATAATTCATGAAGTTTCAATCCGATACATGCCAATATCGAAAGGAACCTAGATCTTTTGGGGATAAACCTATATTTCAAGTCTCGTCAAAATCGGATAAGAATTGTGACCTGTATAGTGTCCACAAACAAATTATGGATGGACGTCCGGACGGACAGGGGTGACGACAATATACGTCCATATGAAAATGTGGGCGTATAAAAATATCTATTTGATATAAGGTAAAACATAATACATTGCAATCTGCTAATTACAGTATGAGAACCATATAAGATAAAACATAATACATTACAATGGAAACGAGGCTAATTGAGATGACGTCAAGCGCTTGGTGGAAATTCTTGGGTGAAAATTATAAAAATCAAATTATATTAAAATTGACTTGGATGAAAATTATAAAAAAACAAATTATATTAAAATTGACTTGGGTGAAAATTATAAAAAACAAATTATATTAAAATTGACTTGGGTGGGAATTAAAATTGACTTGGGTGAAAATTATAAAAAACAAATTATATTAAAATTGACTTGGGTGAAAATTACAAAAAACAAATTATATTAAAATTGACTTGGGTGAAAATTAAAATTGACTTGGGTGAAAATTAAAATTGATTTGGGTGAAAATTATAAAAAACAAATTATATTATTTTTCATGTCCCTTATCAGCCACCGTAAAATCTTCCTATTGCAGGCCATTTTTTTCTAGCTTCAAATGTTATATAAATTATTACTTTGACATTTTATTCACATTAACAAGTCCATAATCAATTCCCTAGACCACTGGATTTGCGTGGATTAGACATTGTCTGCCATATCTTCTTCAAACGTTAATATGAACGCCACTCACGTACACTGACGATTCAAGGACT